CGAGGGAAAAGTATACTGTCATTACCATTACTCCACCCAGTTTGCCCAACGGTGTAACGGCTGCCACACGGCTATCTTGAAGCAGTTCGTCGAAATCTTCCGCAACGGCCAAAATCAACACTGGCACCCGGAATGCTATATGATCCACAAGTTCTGGAATGTGCGGCTTGCACCCAACGGACAGGAGTTTGTCCGCCCGGAACTAGATACCGAGGCGACAGAACAAGATCGCGACTTCGTTAGGAAGCAGGAGGATAGGATGGAGGAGAAGGTGTACCGAATCTGGAGAGTGTTGTCTACGTTCGAAGAATCTTCCGCCGCTTGCATATCAGACATGTTATTACATGTCAGTAATGGCGCTTACATTGATGGTGTCGTTGTTGCGAAAAAGTTCATATTCCATGTTGAAGTTCTGTTCAAGGCTTTGGATGGACTTGCTGCTGCAATATCATATAGAAAGATGAAAGGTATGCAAACACAAACATGGTGCCGTTTATTATTTTACATTATATTTTGTAGCGACTCTAACCGAACATTGGGGAAATTTAGATCTACAATACGGTCGAGAAGCCAAACTGCTCTGCAAAAAGATCGTTGCGTTTTTCGCATTACTTTCCAAAACGCAAGAGACAGGTGTTCGCAAACTTGGCGTCACGCAAGAATTGCTGGCCCTTGTAACGGGTCTTGCCCACTATCTGAAGCTCCTAATCCGGATCGGTCTACAAGGCGCTCTGAAGTTAGAAAGGGAGAGTGACAATCCAGACCAATTATACACATTCCTAGACAAACTGGATAGCCTGGGTGAATTGGATTCCATCTCGGCGTCCAATCTCACAGATTCCATGTCGGAGCTGTCGGACCAACAGTCCGATTGCTGTGCTGCCTGCAAAGATCCAATTGATGACGAGTGTATCATCCTAGGCCGGCGCAGGTGGCATTTGAAACCCCCTCATCTCGTCTGCGGGGCTTGCCAGAATGACCTCACAGTGGACCTGCTAAATGCGCGATGGAGTGAGGATAAGGATCGGCCGTTCTGCCGTATATGTGCCGAGCAGAAGGGCCACGCCCCGAATGGTCAAAGGGGGTTCGCCTATGTTAGCAAGCTGCAGCAGTATGTATTCTTGCTGCAGGTTGCGCTTGCGAGACTGCTCTTGGTGTTACGGTCTGGCGGTACTCTGCCACATACCTCAGGTATTTTATCTTTTTCCCGTGAACATTTCATCTATCCAAGTACTAACGTGTGATGTATAGACGATCCAAACCTGAAGAAATACGAAGCGAATGACGGCCACCGGCTAAATGCCTCCGGAGAGCTCCAGACACCTCAAAGATCCAATACCCGATCGAGATCGTATGGGGCAGGCGGCGCACGGGATGAAAACACCGGTTCATCATCCCTAGAGCAAACCGTCGGAGAAATACGAAGACTTCACTCGACCCGCACAGAACGCACTCTCTCCACAACCTTTAAGAAAGCCCGCGCTTCGCGGATCATCGACGGGCCTCAGGGAAGATCTGCGCGGCCCGGTTCTCCAGGTGCCAGCGGGCCAGAAATGAACAATCCAGGTTTCCAGATCGTCGAAGAAAGAGATGCTGCTGGCGAACCAGTTAAAGACCTAACGTTTGGGAACCAAGATGCGCTGACTTTGGATGACATACCAAGAATAGTCGCTGCTGAGCAAGCCAAGGAGCAGAGACCTAATGCATTCCGCCATGCTGGGACTGGCCTCGTTACATCCGGCGGCCGAGCACCCAAAATAGTCAACGGACATCAAAGGGAAGTATCCGGCCCAACTGATACGCGTGGTGGTGCTCCGGCGCCCAGAACTACAAAATATTTTTCAGAATTATCCGCGCTTGAGTACTTCATAGTCCGACATGTCGCTGTCTTGTCCATGGAACCACTTCTAGAAGGGCACTTCAACCTTGAAGAACTGCTGGGACTCATAGAATCGCGCAAGCCTACGATTTGGAATATATTCGGTCGCGCGTTTAAGAACGAGGGCCGCAAGGGTGGGAAGAAGAAGGGCGTCTTCGGCGTCGGTCTGGACGCGCTGATCGAGAAGGACGGGACAGAATCAACGCATGGAGTCGGCCCGGGCACTTTGCGCATACCGACGTTCGTCGACGATGCGATTTCTGCCATGCGGCAGATGGACATGTCTGTCGAGGGGGTATTTCGGAAGAATGGCAATATCAAACGCCTGAAGGAGACGTCAGATATTGTCGATACGAGATACGAGCAGGCGGATTTCAATAAGGAGAATCCTGTGCAAATCGCGGCGCTGCTGAAAAAGTTCTTGAGAGAAATGCCGGATCCGCTACTTACGTTTAAGTTACATCGGTTGTTCGTTGTTTCTCAGAGTAGGTTATCCCCTCCCAATGTGTCTCTGTTGTCTAGTTTCTCTTTCCTTTCTTCCATCTTATATGATTGAGTCCTAACACAACGATCTAGAAATATCGGACCCCGAAAATCAACGTCGCATTCTACACTTGACTTGTTGCCTGCTTCCCAAGACACACAGGGATACCATGGAGGTTCTATTTTCGTTCCTGCACTGGGCATCCTCTTTCTCCCATATCGACGAGGAATCCGGTAGCAAAATGGATGTCCACAATATCGCAACCGTCATGACTCCTAATATTCTCTACTCAAGAGAGAAAACGGTGGACATGGAGGATAGTTTCTTGGCGATAGAAGCTGTCACGTCGTTGATAGAGTATAATGATACGATGTGCGAGGTGAGTAGAAAAGAAAAGGAAAAGGATCAGCCACCTTGGAAAGCAACTGTGGGAAAATACTAACTATCTTTTTTGTGCAGGTACCACAACAACTCCAATCTGTCCTTACAGACTCGACCCTCTTCAACGGCAGTGCAGAAATAACCACCAAAGAAATCCTCAAACGGTACGGTGGCGATCTAAGCAAAATCGCCACTCCACAACGCGCTCCGCCCACGGCAGAAGGTACCCCTGTCCGCACCGGCTCGGGCCGTGCAGTCAACCCACCCCTCGCCACACGCATTGACAAGGATCCATCGCAAGCCAATGCATGGCAGATGCAGAGCTCCGTGCGACATGTGCAACCCGCTGGAGCCGGTGCTGCACCACAACCCCAAGGCCCACAACAACAATTGGATCAGCAGCAACAGCAACTGCCGCTAAGTTCCCCGCAGATGGAATATGATTACAGCTCCCAACAGCAGCAGCAGCAGCCGCCGCAACAACAGCCCCGATTCCCAGACCGCAGCGCCAGTGGAGACAGTTATCACAGTCAAGGCCAACAAGAAGAGCGGCAACAACAGCAACAGATGGCGTTCAGGCAGCGGCAAGCAACCGCCGCCGCTGCGGGTGGGCCTATATGAGGTCATCTATCCACCCGGCTCCCCTCCAAAAAAAATTAATAAGGCATGCTGCGCTGAGCTGCACTGCACTGAATTCGCGAACAAAAAAAAAAAAAATATCCTTTTGGGGCTTCGTTATTGTCAACCTATGGCTACCTTGGTTATATTGGGGTTTTTGCCTTTTAATTTTCTTTCCCTGGCCTCCTCTATTCCTCACCTTTTCTTAATTTCTTAATTGGTCTTAATTCTTTTCTCCTTCCCTTCTGCTCACTCCCTCCTCTCCCTCTTCATTATTTTCCTTGTTTCCTTGTTTCTCCTTCTGCTCCTACTATTTTCTTTCCTGGCCGGAAATGAAGGGTGTTGGGGTTGAGACTTCCCCTTTGTGTTCCTTTCTCTTTTTTATACTTTCCCCTTCCCTGCGTTTCTGCGTCGTGGCTTTCTTTTCACTTTCATTTTTCTCGTTTTGTTTGTTAGCGTTTATCGTTTTGGAGCATAGAGCAAAGGAAGAGGGGGGAAGGGTGGGCGTACGACCCTTTCTATCTATTGATCTATTGAGAAATAAAGGGGCGCTGCCAAAGGGAGAGAAAAGAAAAACTCACGAGAAAACGAGAATAAGAACGAAACAAACAATCTAATATTGGGATAGGCGGATGGAAGAGGGGTGTGATTGATATGGTATGCTATCATCCTCCAGTCTCCAGGCCGGCTTGTCAGCAGTTTTTATTTTTTTCTTACATTTCTTTTGCCTTGATTCTTTCTCTTGTGCTCTTCACTTCATCCTGAATTCTCCGTTCCCCTATTGTTTTCAAAACCCCATTACGACTAACTACTCTGCTTTGCACTAACCAACTACATAACATTTCTTACATTATTACATATACCTCCCCTTGCTACTATTTTCCAAAACATCTACTCTTCTCGTTGTTCGACGTATATCTCTTTCCCCTATTCCCTTTTATCGTTCTTGTTTTTCATTTACCGAAGATTACCCTATAAGTTATTCCCTTTTTTTCCCCCTCAATTTATTTATTTCAGTTCCTTGGCTTTTCTAACTTATTCCCATTTTCCTTCCCTTTTCTTCACTCTCTTCCTTTTCGTCTCCTTAGTTTCTTTGTTGGCAACTCTTCCCTGCATATCCAACTTATGGCATCTTGTATTTGCTTCTCCTTTTAATTTTGATTGTTATAAAGTCAGCTTCTCATAATGCTGGGACTTTTCTTTAATTTTATTTTACTTAGCTTAATATTGAAAACAAAGGCCGTATATTTTCCTGTGCTTCTTTCCGTGTTTTTACGTTTTTGTTTTGTAGATGATACCACAACCTCGTTCTGAACGAAATCCCAATTGAGAGTCAATATTTCAGGTTAAAATAATAAACGGCATGAAACAGCGCTTCAGCCTTGGCTAAGAGAATCGCTAAAATTCACGTGACTTCCCATGTGACAGAGCCGCACTAGTCGAAATAACTCAAGGAATCTCATTAGCTACACTACAGGATATATACACAGAGAATTACACTTTCATCACGAATTAAAACGAAAGGGGTTAGAGCTATCAAACTTCACCTACCGCCCGAAAGTCCTACGAAACTATCACGCTTTTGCTCCTCGAAGAACAAAGCCCGAAAGCAAAAACCAAATAAAATAAATTAGAAAAATGACAACCCCCTCCTCCACGTCCCTCCCAGATCCCACACACCGAAAGCGCGAACTACCCCAGAACGAACTCGAAGCGACCTCGCAGCTGAAACTGGGCGAATTCCAAAACGTGCCGACGCTCTCGTTATCGGAGGCGCGGTTGGTTATCAACAAAGTGCTGGATTTGAGGAGGAAGGGGGATCATAAGTTTGAGGAGAGGGAGTATGTTGTTCCGTTTCTGGTTTCCATTTTTGCTGTGTTTGCGGTTTGGGGGTTAGTTAGGAAGTTGGGAGGTTGAGCTGAGATGGAACACACCTCCAAGCAAAGCAGCTTAAGAGGGGAGATAGAAGCTGAGGGGAGGAAGAAGGGGGAGTAGGAAAATTACGATATAGGTTTTGCTCACATTTTTTCTCTTTTTCTTTAACTCAGGACCCTAGTGAAAACGCAAGATTACCTTGAGCTCTTCGCGCGGTTCAAGGAGAAGGAAAACATCGAGGCTGTCGAACGCCTTCTGTCTGCGCACACTGAACTTGAGTTCTTCGAGCGATCGCAACTTGGTATGTTGTCCCTTTGCGCATTATATTACCAGCAGCGCATCGGCAGAGAAAAGAGTGCCTCTAACGTTGCTGTGCTACAGGGAGTCTATGCTGCAATGATGCCGAAGAAGCCAAATCCCTGATTCCCAGCATCGGAAACAAAATCTCCGACACCGAGCTCCAAGAACTCTTGGATGAATTGACGAAGCTGAGGAACTTCGTGGAGTGAGCAAGACTAGCGAATGGGCGCTGCGTTTTTACCGTATTAAAAGAAACGTGAATGCTTAGATCTCCCTCCTCTCGGCTTTTATGCTCTCTCCCCTTGCATGGAGCAAGATGAGAAGACGGAGAGCGTGCATACGCATGCACATGCGCATATGCCTGTGATGGATGGAATGCAAAATGCAAAATACAGTCGGATTAACGTTTATGATGACCCCATGATGAATATATATGATGGTGACTTGCGGCTGCAAGGAGTACCTAATACGGATGTGTTATGTGTTTGTTCTCTTGGTGCAGTTGGTCAACCCGACTACCAGATGGATGGGAAGTGGGGTATTTTATCACACACCGTACTCTGCGCCGTATCTGGCTTTACCGGTACCTATAACCACGGCAACTATTTGCTTTTTATCCCGAATACCGGCCCAGAGGTAGTACACAGAAAAAAGCCATGGCGGACCAAACCTATCGCCGAATCTTTTAGCACGATGCTTTGATGGCTTACCTTGACGACGAGCACGGTCTTTCTACCCTCAAAAGGGGAAAAAAATAAACAAATAAAGGGCGCTAGTATTTGGATAGAATTGCTGCCTAGTTTTGAACTTACACTTTTCCTCATAGCTAGTTGACAGTTTAGAGCAAGTAAATGGGATGAATGGCCTGAGAAAAAGTACGGAGTAGGTAGAGGTTAATCAAGCAATGGTAGTAGACAGATGATTACAAATGAAATGAGGGTTTGCAAAACTTCCTTTTTTTCTCTCTTCTTTTTCCCTCTTTCTAATTGTGCGGCAGCTCAGCTTGTATCTCTTTACTAAAAGTATATGGAACAGGTGAATCGCTATTCGAGGGAAAAAAATGAGGCGCTAAGTTGGGCTTCGAATGGAGGTCTAGTATAAATACAATTGTAGAATTATGGAAAAAAAAAATTAAATAAACAAACTGAGAACACACGAGTTACGCCAAATGCCTGAAATGCCAAACAAGTAAAAGAAGAAAAAGATTAAAGAAGGGTAACGAGACGGTCTCTTCCGATCTACTTCTAGAAAGAAAACCCCACTCAACGCTTCGTAAATGCCACCTCAGCAGGTAATCTAAAGGTAGCACAGAACATCTTTTTCGTCGGCGACACAAGCCTCACGCTCCGAATCTCCAACTCCCGCCCCTCATCCTCCGGCGTAATCGTAAACCCAAGCCGTTTCGAAATGCGCTCGCAGATATCCTTGCGCTCAACAGCCTCGTCCTCACTGTTCGTCGAGAAGCAGTAGACATGGATGAGCGGCAGCCGGCGGTCCGTGTACGGCTGGAAGAGCTCCTGCATGCCCGCGTAGACGCCGCGGAACGCGTCCAGGAACTCAATCGCGGTGGCGGGCAGGTTCATGACGTAGTGGTCGAAGGTGCGTGGGCAGGTCAAATATTCCGTGTAGAACATTTGGGGATTACGCTGGCGGATCGGCGAAGTCGCGAGCTCTGCTTTGGGGATCTTGACGCGGTGGGCGACGGTCCGGGGGCTTCGTTGGTACAGCTTCTCGCTGGCGAAGCGGATGAAGTCGCGGCCGTTCATGTTGTGGGGCTTCACGAATTCGCGCACTTTGTTCTTCGCGATGCCTCGCTCCAGGCACTCGTAGCCGTATGGGTTTAGATCGTTGGCCCAGACGAAGACCTGTTTCTTTCCTGCGGGGATGGAAAAGGGGCCCACGCCGGCCATGACGTCGCAGACGGCCTCGCCCTTTTTGAATTTGCTAACCATGCGTTCATGTTCGGTGGCGAGACGTGTGTTCCAATATACCTTTGAATAATCGAAGGAGTATTCGCAGTCTTGCTCGTGGACGGTGACGTTCATGTCATCCGGACCAGCAAGGATCTCGTATGAGAAGGTGCGGAATTCGCTGTGGGATCCAACGTCATCGGTTTTGTTAATCACCGTCCGGGCTTGAGGGTGTTTGTCTATCAAAATTTCTCCCAGTAGGAATCTATATGGTAGATATTGTTCGCGGAGATTGAAGTGGGCTGTAGGTACAAATTAGAGCTGAGAAAAGGGAAACAAAATTGGAAAACGGGCGTTGGTTTGAGGCACGTACCCACGTGTCCGACTTGAGTAAAGCCAACCGGCAGTTCCTCCAACTCTTGGTCCGGAAGTATAGAATCGACGATATCCTCTGTGCACCAAAGAAAGGTTAGCAACGTTATCTTTTCTCTTAGCTCTCTCCATCAGCCACTGTCGAGGGCAAACATACTGTATGTGAAATAGTCATAATCAAGCAACAGGTTGAACGGGCGCAATTCCATTGATTTGGCCTCAACTAGCCGTTGAATAGTAGGAGACCACGTCTTCACATCTACATATTGAATTGAGAAGACAGAAAGGTTAGCAGGTCATGCATATGCAAAAAGTTGTCCACCCAAGCCGAACTCCTCACCCGAAAGGGGTCTAGCCAGGAGAGATAAATCCCACATACCATCAGCTTTGATATCCTCTCTAAGCAACAAACATTTTCTCCCGTCCTGCTTCCCATTCTTTCTCTGATACCAATGATCTGTAACATTCTCCAACGGGCCCTCCCGTGCTGCGCGCACTGGTATAATGCGATTCGCCAGCAACAAGTCCTTGCTTTGCAGCAGTTCGCTCTTTATTGGGCCAATTGATTGCCTGTCAAAGATGGTAGCGGCGGAGAGGGGGACAGTTTTCTGGAAAAACGAACGGTCCAGCGTCCGCATCATGCGGTTGACTGGGGCGCGGAACATGTCTGATTCGGAAGTGATGGGGGTCGCGCTGGGGGTTGTGCTGTTAGGGGTGACAGAAGCAGCGGATACGGAGGGGGCCTGTAACGTGGCAGTATCCCCCATCTAATCTCGTTCTTACGCTATGTTAGGGGTATAAAGGTGAGAATGAGGCCGTGGAGGGTAGAAGAAGATCGTAACTGGACACTATAGTGGTTGTCAGTGAGTAGTGCCGGATTGCGGTTTGCTAGACCATCATATGGATATATATCAGTGCCGGTTAAACCACTTATAATATCTATATTTTGTATATATATAACAAGCACAGTTTCGAGCGACTGTCAACAACGTCTGTCTGTATGTTATAACCTTCAAGCTGCTAGCGGGTGAGAGAATTTTGAGAGCTTGTAGATCACGTGCCTTATCTTATCAATCGTTCCTGAAACTAATGTACATCAGACAAGATGTGAATAATACTAGAAAACACGATAGTCACAGTAGAATTGATGCAGAGATTCCCACACAATATATGTATAATATGTAGTATAGAAATTAGGTATTTCCAAAATCTTGAAACCCCCAACTGCAGCAAACGGCGGGCGGAGGATCACCAAAGCCGTCCAACTCACTCCAAGCAAAAATAAGCACACAAAACCTATATACGTAAGGCCGAATTCCAACAGTATAGGGCATCAGGAGGGTCCAAGAAGAAAAAAGAAAAAGAAAAAAATACAATAAGTATAATCGCACACGTGTCCTTTAAAATCCTATCCCTCTTCCTTCTCCTCCACCCCTTCTAGCACATCAAATCTCGCCGAAATCCCTACTCCGCCTCCCAAGCCTGAACCCTTCCCTCTCCGCCTCCAATAACTCAATCCTCCCCCTCAGCGCCTGTATCTGCACATCCCTATTGCGCACGGCGGCAGATGTGGCATCCCTTCCCTTGATAATGGACTGCGTGTGAAGGTATTCTGCGTTCAGCAATCCGACAAGTTCTCGTTTCGCGGCGGGAGGCATGTGAATATTGTGCTTGGAGAGGAGGGCGAGGGTATTGGAAACGATTGTGCCGGTCTTTTGGGGGCTGGTGGTGGATGTGGTTGTGGTTGTAGAAGATATGATGGGCGGGGCGGTGCCGTGGGGTTCTTGTTGATTATCGCGGCGAAGGAGCGGGAAGGAGTTAAAGCGGATTGGCGTTGGTGTTTGCGGAGGGTCAAGATCAAAGGGGTCTACTACCGTGGTGCGAGATGAGGTTGTTGCGGTATCTTGTCCGTATGTAAGAGTGCTGCGCGTGGTTTGCGGGGTTGAGAATCGGGATAAGGATGCGGAAGGCGAGTGGTACGGGCGAAATACTCTGGATGAAGGTGTGGGAAAAAAAGGGCCATCCAGCCCGGCTGGATCTGTATCACGCTGGCCATGCGGACTGCCATCCTCGCCATCATCACGGACACCTTCATCCTCATCTTCGCTCACAAATAAACCCCTCCCATCTCGAAACCACCCAGGGCTTTTTCGTCGCGTACCAGGCTGAAAAATACCCTGTCCCTTCCCCTGCTTCTGCCGCTGCTGCTCCAGGTGTGAATCCTCCCGAGGAGCCAACTGCTCCACAACGCTCCCCTCTATATCCTCATCCCAACCAAACGAGTCATCATCAGTATCATCGTCCTTTCTTTCCTCCTCTCGTTTAACCACCACATCCTCCATCCTACTCTTCTTACTCGGCGATCCCATCTCGCTCACACTAGTTAGTCCATAGCCATAACCCTGCTCATAATCACGAGCCCTCTTCCTCGTCCCGGTGTTGGGGGTCAGTAACCCGGTCCTAGCATCGATCGAGGCCTGTGCCAAAGGTCGCGACGGTGTCCTATTGGTGGAACGGCCGCCAGCCGCTCCCGTCCCTGCCCCCTTTAACACTTTCGCCATATCTCTCTCCCTAATCTCCGCTTCGTCCTCCCATAGGAAAAAATTGCACCGTTTCCCCTGCGGCTTCGGACATGTGTAAACTATATTGATTCCAAACGCAACCATCACGTATCAGTATTCATCGTTCCTGTTCCCCTTTAAAGAAAAAAAAATAATCGAAGATATAGGGCCCAACGTAAGCCAAACAATGACATGACAAGGAAGGGGGGGGATGCCGCACAAAAACTTACACCACCGCCCATGATTCCTGCCCCCATTCTTCGTCTCAAAGTGATCTGCCTGCCGGCGCGGCTCACAGTTACAATGCCATGTACCGTTGGCGAATAGTCCGCGGAGTGGGATGGCGGTTGAGCGGCTTGGGGTGGAGAAACCCCGCGGGGTGGTGGCCGGTTGGATACTATTCCTCTCTCGGGATGACGGGGTGCTGGGGGGATTATTATTATGGCGGGAGAACATTTTCTTTTTTCTTTTCTTTTCTTTTTTTATGGGCGCATCATGCATTTGGTTGGTGGTGTGGTTCCAAAAGGGGGGGAGGGTGAACCGGGTAAGTTCCAGCTATCCCGTTATTCTCAAGTCTTCGCCCGACAAAAGTCGCGTGCTGAGAATAAATATATATATAAATTCAAACAAGAAGAAGACTGGCGATGGGCGGAAGTCATATCGTCGGCCGTTTGTTGATGTGTGGTGGTCACCATGGGAACATGCAATGGGGAACTTGAATCCAAAACGTCATTTATTTTTAGTGGAAAGAAGCGGGATCGAATTAAGGTTATTTAAATACCTTTAGCTTAACTCTAAAGGAGCTTGATATCCTGTTACACGATAAACTAAATACTCAGTGTAGTAAATAATAGAATGCAGCAACACATCAGCAGGAGGACCGTACTTTAACTCTGGGAGCACACTAATAAATAGATTTATCGCGGGATGAGGTTTCCGAGTTCAGAAGATCGGGATGCAGCGAGTAACATTTGAGTGCTAGTAAGCATTATTTTCCATATCCAGTGGGCTTTATTGCAGGTACGTCAAGAATAAGTACATGTAAGATGTATGTACATGTACATGTAATGTACATACAATAAATGGAAGAAAAGGGAATTAACATCGAGTTGTTGAGATTGTCGGTTCATACCTTTGAAACCCAGTTATTATTGCCGGTTAATACTGAATTACCAACATTTGGATCTTTCGACGCTTGTTTGTAGGTATTAATATTCTGTTCTTAGTCGTAAAAACTAAAAATATGGGAATATGGGAATGGGAAAATTTATCGGTGGAATATCAAATAGCTTTTTATTAGACAGTCAAATCCATAGACAAAGGAAGAACAATTTCTCCAACTCTCCTCTGTTGCTCTACCATTCAGGCGCTGCTCTGGGCGTCGCGTCTGCCCCTGTTGTTGTCGTGCTGTTGTCGTGGACAGATGCGCAGGGCCAGCAGCCATTGTTAAATCCGCTTTTTCATCAGGCATCAAAAAAGATTCCTCCAGGGAACAAAGATAATAAGGAGTAATCTTACCATGTAAATGTTCGAATTGATCTATCCATCATGAATAGTTACTGCGTAACTAATGAAGAGAGCAAAGGAAGATTAAAAGGAAGAAAAGAAAGAAAAAAGGAGTTTGCTTGCATCAACGGATGGCGCTAGACCCAGTTGGGACAGCAACCTAACCTCTGCATCATCTGCAATTCAAGCTTCATCTCTCAATCTCCACATCAACTCCATTTCATTTTTCATTTCCAAGACCATTCACAGTACACAACTTACTCAACTTACTCAACTTACACAACTCGTTGCGCTTTTACCCTGCCTCTCCCATATCCCCCCATTCAATCTCTCCTCACACTCACATATTTCCCAAGGTGCACCTACAGCCAAGATGGTGCTCGAAGCCACCATGATTATGTCCGTCATCCATTCCTCAACTGACAGGCTACATACATATATAGCAGCTACAGCTAATCCGTATATATTACTCCCAAACAGTGTCGATAACAGCGAGAGCAGTAGAAATGGGGACTATCTGTACGTTTCAATCACTATCAAAAGGAGATCCTGTGCCGTGGTATAAAATCGGTAATCTAACCTTGAATCAGTCCAACACGGTTCGACGCCCAAGCAGACGCTATCAACCTAATCCACTCCGCAAAGACACAAGCCAACCCCGAATCGTCAGTCGGGCTCATGAGTATGGCCGGCAAAGGTCCAGAGGTTCTGGTGACCCTGACGGCGGATATCGGGAAGATTCTAGACGGCCTGCATCGAACAAAGATCCGGGGACAAGCACATCTTGCCTCCAGTATACAAGTCGCCGGCGTAAGGACCATACCCCCCCCCCCCCCCCCAACAATCCCTTTCTCATTTATATAATGATAACCCCCCTAACCATGTGGCGAAATAATAACAAATATTGAAATAAAACTACAGCTAGCCCTCAAGCACCGGCGCGAACGCGCCCAACGCCAACGAATCATCGTCTTCACCTGCTCCCCCATCGCCGAGGATGAAAAGACCCTCATCAAACTCGCCAAGCGCATGAAGAAATATAACGTCTCCGTCGACTTCGTCGCCTTCGGCGACCTGGACGACGACACCATCAAGAAACTCGAAGCCTTCAACGAGAACGTTAATGGCGCCGACGGCTCGCATCTCGCCGTAATACACCCGGGTGCGAACCTGCTTAGCGACTCGTTGCTCACGACGCCGATTCTCGGCGGGGATGCGATGGGTGCGGGCCGCGCGGGTGGTGAGGAAGGGGTTGAGGGGGGTGTTGATATTGGCTTTGACCCTGCTGCGGATCCGGAGTTGGCGTTTGCGCTGCGCATGTCGCTTGAGGAGGAGCAGGCGCGGATAGAGAAGGAGAGGAAGGAGAAGGAGGAGAAGGAGAAGGCGGAGAAGGAGAAGGCGGCCTTGGAAGGGATTGCAGAGGAGGGCGGAGAGACACAGCCGCTTCTTAATAAGGATGGGGAACCGAGCGGGAGTGGTTCGAACGCGGGGAAGGGGGATGATAAGGATAAGGGAGATGATGGGGATAAGATGGATACAGCATAATTAAAACTGATGGTTATATTTTTTTTTTTTTAAAAAATCTTTTTACGTTGTTACTGTACTGATGTACCTAGATATCTAAATCTTCCATTCCCTTATGCTTGATGCATTTCGTGTGTTTTAATCTCTATAAACCATAGACTCAACCCAACGCCAGATATCCATCCCACCACGCCATTATTCCATTATTAAGTCACGTAAAGAACGGCGAAAACTCTAAACACTAATCCACAATCTTCAACGGGGTATATTGCATCTATCCCTCAACCATCATCATCATCATCGTCACCACCACCACCACCACCACAAAACAAAACACCTGCACTTAAAACAAACCAATCACAACACAAAAAGCAAACCCGCTACCCCCTCCCCTTGACCCACCCAGCTACGTGCCTATCAAACGCATCGCACCTGACCGGCATCTCCAGCTGATAAAACGGATTCTTCATCACATAGTCCGCATACAGCTCGTAGATCTTGCGCATGACCGTCTCCACGCCGGCCATCAGCGGGTCCGTGAAGAGTAGGAATTTAGTCCCCGTCACCGTCTGGAAACAGGTGAGGCGGAACTTGTCGGTTTCGAGCACCTCTATGCCGGTTATGGGTTGGGAGGGGTTGGGGACTGTGGTGTTGGGCGGGAGGGCGGAGGTGGTGCTTGTCTCGGCGCCGGTGGTGCTGGTGGTGCCGGTGGGTGGGAGGGAGGAACTGCTGCTGGTGGTGTTTGGGGGGTAGAGAGGGCTTCTGATGGAGGAAGAGGAGGAGAGGGCGTGGGCGTGTGAGGGGATTGTTGTGCCTGTGTTTGTGGTTGAGGCGGAGGAAGTGGTCGTGGGGCTTGTGGGGAGGCGCGGTGTGAGGGAGCGGGTTATTGCGTGGATTCTACGGCGGGATGGACACTCCGGGGGGGGGCGGAGGGTTGGGAGTTGTTTAGCCAGGTGCGTTTTTGATAAAATCATTTATTATGAGTATATGGATACGCACCCATGAAACGTCCCCGCCAGCACCAGGTAGTCATTCGTAGACAGCTTCAATAGTCCCGACTGGAACTCGCGGTTGTATATTAGCCCACCCGCTTTGTTTATGATGATGAGCGAGTAAACGGCCCTATTTATCGTGAAGGCGCATCAGCATTAGCAATGAATGGTCTTTGTCGTTCGGGAGTTTTTTGTGTAAGGACAGAACGTACATTGTTGTTTAGGATGCTCTCCGCAACGGAGCTGGGTTCGTCCTTGCGGGCAAGGTCCGGACGTTTGGTAATTGAATTGGGGGGATTGCTAGATAGTACGAAGTGTAATTATGCAAAGACAAAAATATGTATTCCGCAACGGGCCAAGGTGTAGGCAGGGATAGGTGTCGGCGCATGCGCAAGGGGGGTTGGTATTGGATGAGGAATCGTGTTAGTTACAGCGCAGGCCGATGATGGTTGGTTGATTAGACCTGTTCGGCTTAAGATTGAAACTAGCTGTTTCTAGCAAGAGACTCTTTCTCAGACCAATAGTATCCGGTTTCGAGTGTTAGTCATCTCAACACACATCACAATATAGTTGAGCAAGTTTCATTAAGAAAGGAACAAAAAATACTGCCTGGGTGTCTAGGTAATTAATATACAAAATAAAATAATAGATTCAATAAATCACTTCGGATACAAGCCATCCATTCCGGCCTCGAAATTAAAACAATTTCTCCAACTTCTTTCAATCCCTAGCTGGCTATTTTCAGCCCCTGAGCAATTTAGCAGTTTCTTTCTAACCCATCGAGCCACGAAGACCCCCTTATTTAAATAGCTCTTCTTGCCCACAGCTGGAACGGAAGCTAGCAAAGCTAAGCATCCGCAAATAGAATTCAACTGAGCCCAATATCGAGAAGTACATGTACATGTTCTGCTCCTGCCATTAGGCGCCTCGCCGCTGGTATCTTCGTTGCCAAAGTAGCATATTTAGCACAGTGCTGGATTTAGCGTTTGATACCACGATCGAGGGCTAAAAAAACCTCCCGATCGATTGTGAAATAATAATCACCCCAGAATATATCTTCACGTAAAAGGACGGTGGAGATGGGTTGCTGCACGCAGGTCCACACATACTCCTGCCGTCCGTCCGTCCGTGAAATGGGGACTTGAGAAATGGAGCAAAGTAGTGTTCTCCGAGTATATATGATATGATATACACATATACATATAAATATGTCCATCCCCTCACGGGCCACTGATGAAATCCAACACCTGGAAGAGTAAGTTATTCTCCACCCGACACCCCTCTCGAGGATCTGTAGCCTGCCGGAACCCGCAACACAGCCATCGTTCAATCACCGATGCGTCAACCCCCTTGAAGTTCTGCTGGGATATAAAAATGAAGGCTTGCGCGCAGGACGTTGTGGATTCGTCGGCTGGGGAGAGGGTGTAGATGCTGCCACTGCTGCTGCTGCTGCTGTTGAGGAGTGATGCGGGAATATTTGGGAGGACCAGGTCTTGTAGTTGTAGTGCTGTCAGAGTTGGTGTTGAGATCGTGCTAAGTGAGAGCGATGCGGTGGGCGGGGTGGTTGCTGCTCCGGCGTCTGCGGCGATGGCGTCTGGGGGTTTGGATCCACAGGCAGCTGTTCCGCAAGGTTTTGTGATGAGAGCTGGGGAAGGCGACGATAGGATGTCCACTTGTTGGAGGGGAGGAGGGTTTGGCATAACATTATTGTATCCAATATCTACGGTTTGATCGTAGAATGTGGAAGAGGCAACCCAGGAGTCGTCGAGTTCAGCGGGAATCGGGGAAGGGAGCAGGTCAAGCAATTCTCGCTCCTCCTCCTGATTATCATGCCCGGATACATGTCTATATCCACCCATTTCGCCGAAAGATATACTCCAAGGTGCTGCGTCTATTGAGTCAACCCCTCGACCACCACCACCGCCACCACTACTACTACTTGCTGAACTCCCCCCACCCGCAGCAAGTTGATTATCGCGATCCGGACCCAAGGGGCGATGGGACCTGCACTCCATTAATTCAGATCTCAACTTAGCAATCTCCGCGCGAGCTTCATTAAGCAGACGATCCGTTTCTTGAACCTTCTGCTCCAGGGTAGCTATATACTGGCGGCGGCGCTCACGACAACGGCGCTGGTTATTGCGCACTCGTGTGAGGGTGTGGTCACGGCTCTTCTTTTGTGACTTGCGCGAGTCATCGTCATTGTTATTGTTCTTTTTAAGATTAGTGGGAGTGGACATCAGGACTGTGTTGAGTTAAAATAAATAAATAAATAAATAAATAAATAATAAAATAAAATAAAGGGTTCCACTGAATTCTTGTTAATTACTAAATCTGCGCCAAGAACAGTGACATATCGCCCTCGGCAATGTGGGGGTTGGTGATAAATAAATAATAAATAACTAAATAATCATGACTTCTTACAATATTTACAGCAGCCTAGCCACATAGCCACTGATCTTAAACAGAATATTGTATATCGAAAGAAGTGGAAGAAAGTTTTTTATTTTTTATTTTTTCCAAAGAAATTGCCGTTCAACAGAATCAGTTGATATCCGAACACGCCCTAAATACATACATACATCACCACCAGATCTCGACGGGCCAGACAGCGCTGTAACAACTCTAACGAGAGGACTTGAAGGGCTCGGACAACAACCAAAACTTGGCTGTGGAACCCTGCCTCTGCTGTGGCTGTGGCTGACTCGCTGTCCACTACAGACGCCAGCAGTGACATATCGTTTGGATAGAATGAGGAAGCTTGCTTGGTCTATATCAACCACCTAGTTACCTCCCTTAAAACCTATTTCTGCTTGAATTCAGATATAAGATATAAGATAAAATAAAATAGGAATACTCCTGTACAATTATTCATCAGTTATAACTACGCCGTAAACCCTTGCTAAAAGAAGAAAAGCCTTCTTTGGTATCTCCATATACATACATATTTACACCATGGCCGAATCTCAGGTGTACCAAGAGGTCCAGAAGCACTACAGCTCCGCTGCCAAAACCAGCGACGAAAGATATGGCCGCGACGTGGCCACTGCCTTTGGATATTCCAAGGAGGAGCTCGCCAGTATCCCGCAGGCCGCGAATCTGGGTCTGAGCTGCGGAAATCCTCTTGCTCTGGCGCAATTAAATGAGGTTTGCTTGCCCCTCTCCCCCTTTTCTCTTCCCCTTTTCTCTCCCCCATCTTTCTTTCTGCTGGTTTCAAAATGTGGCCCCTCTATCGTTTATTGATACACAATATACTAACTCGATCATTACAGGGCGAAACCGTGATTGATTTCGGTAGCGGAGCGGGAATCGATGCCTTCCTCGCTGCGAAAAACGTCGGCCCGAATGGGAAAGTATACGGCATTGACATGAACAAGGTATGCATGCAGGATACATGATTGACATACTATATACCCCCTCTCTCCCCAAAAAGCACAATTTCTAACTTCTAAACACCCCCACAGGACATGCTCGCCCGCGCCAACATCAACAAAGAAAAAGTCGGCCCCGCCGCGGCCAACGTAACCTTCGTCGAATCGCAAATCACCGCCGTCAACCTCCCCGCCGCCGTCGCTGACTGCATCATCAGCAACTGCGTCGTCAACCTCGTCCCGGAGGCAGAGAAGCAGCTCGCGTTCAACGAGATGGCCCGCCTGCTGAAACCGGGCGGCCGCGTTGCGCTCAGCGATATCCTAACCAGGAAGGAGCTGACGCCGGAGCTTAAGGAGAGTATTGCGCTGTATGTCGGGTGCATTGCGGGAGCGAGCCGGGTGGAGGATTATGAGAGGTATTTGAAGGAGGCCGGGTTTGGTGGTGCGTTTTCACTTTTTTTTCCCCTATAACTATTATTCATTTTGCTTCTGTGATTCTTCCACCTCTTTGGGTTTGGACCTTTTTTTTTTTTTTTTTTTTTTTTTTTTTTTTTTTTTTTTTTTGGTTGGCATATACTTACTTTAAAAACCTTTAACTAGACATCCTCATCGTCGATGCGAAGAATGATTTGAACATCTACACGGCAGCACTGGATAACCCCAAGAGCGCCGCCGGTGGTTGCTGCGGTGTAGTGAAGGAGCCCGAGCCGACACCCTGCTGCGGCCCTACCCGAGCAAAGATTGAGCGTGGGCCCGGGATTTTCTCTGAAGGGTTCAAGGCTGATTTTAAGAATGTTGATTTCAACGAGTGGGCCGGTGAGTTTCTTGGATCTCTCTCTACGTTTCTTTTTTCATGTTGATAAAGCTAACCCTGCTATTAATTATTAATACATATAGGTTCGTTCAAAATCTATGCTGTCAAAAACTAAATAAGCGGCATTTATTATGTGCATTTATTATGTGCATTTGTATATATGCCTGCTTTTTCAGGGGGGTTGACGAAGTTGTGTTTTTTGAATACCCCATGTCCATCACTGGCTTCGAAAAAGAGGGGTTGTTGAAACGGGGGAAGGAAGATTCTTCCGCCCTAAGTTTGAAACGCATTATATATCCCATGATATTTTATATAATATATAAAACTAAATTGAATTTATACCCTAAACATGAAACATGATAAACGGTCTCCGAAGGCGCTGTTCTCGCGTTGTGGCGTGAGGAAGGGGGGTGTGGTACCATGATTTCTATACACATATCCAATCGAAAGCAGATTCGATATTCGATCCCTCCCTCACACCTAGGCACCAGGGGGCCTAGTTGGGCAATTACCCAGGCGTCTAACTTGACTTACAGGAAACTCCAGACAAGATATAGCTAGAGTACACTTTAGTGTACGGAGTATGTAGCTGTTGGACCCTGGGTTAAATTCAACAGGGCCCTTTCCTGGACTAACACAGTAACGTTTACTGCCCTGCCACCACAACTGCCTGTATAGATAGCTATGTAACTGCGCAAGAGCTGATGTTTTTTGCCTACATAAAATGGCAAACAACGGAGACCTACTAACGTGCGTTATCCCACTTGGTAGGAGGTGGGGGACGGGGGAAAACTTATGACTATGCTTAATTATCCCGATTAACCTTTCCGTGAAGTAAAATAAGTACAGAGACTACTAGCATAAACGTGAACCCATCTAACCCAGAGAAAAACATAGCCGGGAAGTGGGAAGCAACGTACATATATATGTATATATATAAAGTAACAACGCTAGAAATCGCCTGAAACTTGCAAGTATATGTTTGTTGGATATCGATAGTGTCATTAACGAGCACCCTCGCTGTTGAGAGAGGTAATGAAAGGATGGACCTTTACTGCCTTAAATGATGGTCGAAATCCGTCATGGCATTCATCCCCGCGAAATCACCATTGGCAAAATCATGGCTGGCAAAATCATCCTGTCCACCCTCTGAATCCTGCCCATCTGGCAGGTTCTCCTTGGCGACCCACGCAAAATACACAGTCTCATTGACCTGGATGGGCGGCCCATCAACAGGGGGATCGCGCTCAAACGTAGGCTCTCTTTGAATCGTAAATACAGTGCCGGTGCGCTTCTCAGTTCGTTTGCCAAGAATGATAAATCCCAGCCACCACACTGCCCCGAAGGCGATTGCTGACCAGCTAAGCAGGGGGACCAGATACCACTTGATTGTAGTTGTGTAGACCCGTTTGAATTCCCCGCTAGGCTCAACCCAGGAGACAATGACCGGAAATAAGCTCCCGAAAAGGTAAATTATGGCTGACATAACGCTGAGGAACGGGTTAATGCCGACCGCTTTCTTTCGCCATCCTTCCTTGCCATTGAGCCGGAGGTACAGGATCCCGCCCGCGAGTAGGACTCCGAAAAACGCGTGGGCGGCGTATGTGTATACTCTCGAAAGTAAGCTGTAAGTATTATTCGGCTCCACACCGTACGTAGCCATGAGTAGAACCAAACAGGATCCGAAATGAAGTGTTAGAGCCCCCACTGGTGTCTTTTCAGAGTGATGTTCGGGAGCGAACCATGGCGATTTCAATATCCGTCCGAATAATCGCGCTAAGGTAGGACGGCGATGGGCCCATCGAAGTAGTCGACCGAATGAAAAGTCGCGATTTTTCGCAAAGAACTTGGGGAATGGTAGTATCCCCTCCTTTGCTATCTCTTGCTTCACTCGCGCGGCTGTGTAGGTCATGACAACTATATTTCCGAAGCTAGAGACAGCTAGGAAAGCGTTGAAGATCCTTTGGCCAGTGTTATCACCAACGTTGAGTCTTCCAAAAGTTAATTCGAAAAATCTCTCAGCAAGGTTTACTTGTTCATTAAATAGGTCGGGTTTGGGCACAATAGCCATCTAATTGCGATTAGCAGGTGGAATGCATATTGGTTGCATATCAAACGGATCTTTTGCAGAAAAATCTTGACTGCTCACATATGCAATGTTGACCGACATGTAGAGTATGCCAACTAGGGAGACAGAGGTGATCATGGATACGGGAAAATTACGCCGGGGTCTTGAAATCTCACCAAGGACCTGCAAAAATCGCATTAGAACTGAACATACGTATCTCTTCATGATCACATAAGCCACTCACATAGTTGGGTTGTTCAAACCCGCTGAAAGTGAAAACTGGACCTAGCGTTAGCAATATCGCAAAGAGAACCACCATTTAGTTGACTAACTTATCAATAAGAAGGCATTCGCGTAGTCATTGGCCTGGGTAGACGCGCCACGAAAGGAGGTCTCAGGATCAAAGTTTTTAGTAGCGGCAGACTCGGTTTGTGGGAAAGCCCCTGTGGCAGCGACAATGGCAGCAATGAGTATCAGAAATAGCATTGCAAGTTTGACCATAGCAAATAGGTTGCTCAAAAGGATGCCGCCACGGCGAGACAAGGTGTGGATAAAGCAGGTAAAAAGAGCTACTGCGATGGAAATTCCTCGCACAGCCTCGTTGGTCACTTCTGCATTTGAAGCTTGAAGCGCCCTCACAGCAAAGTTCACGCAGTTTCCTGCAACATTGCCAAACATAATGAAAACCGCGGCAAACGTAGTGACAGAGAGGAGCACTGTGCCTTTGCGATAATTCGGTTTCCGGTAAACATACTGAAGCTGTAAGTAACTTTCAGTACCCAGTCAAATTCAAGCCATCTGAGTAGAAAGTATTAGAGCATACATAGTTAAGGTCGCCTCCACTGCGGGGAATGCCCTGTTCGACCCCTTCGAAGCGACGTCTTGGGGTGCTAAGGCCATATTCGATGTATAGATGCACTCCAGCAAGACAATATATGACACCGAAGAACCAGAATAACAGGGAGACCCCGATGCTTCTCGTTCCCTGAACAACGAAATCAACCGACGAAAAAATCCCCGTCCCTGGAGAACATTAACCACGTATATGTGAGTCAATTGGTTTGAGGACTGAACACAGAGAGAGAAAAGGAGAGATTCGAAGATACAAAGTATGGAGTTAGAGTTAAGAAGAAGAAGAAGAAGCTGCGCGCACCTATCATCCTGTTTATGACGAGGCAGCCAACATCTAGACGGCCCAATCGGAAAGGCTCTTCCGGAGCATCTGTGACGATGGCATTGGGGTCGTTGTCCAAAAGGACAGGCCGGAACCGATCACTGTCGCTGTCAGAAATGTGAGGGGGATCTCCATTAAGTGCCGTCGATATGGCCATCGCTGCAGCTTTGATTTACAGTGCAGCACGGAGCATGGAGCAAGGGGCGTGGGTTCAGTCAGAGAGCTAACATGGTAATCACCAACGAAATCAACTCTGTATTAGCCCTCTTGCAGAAGGACAAGAGAGAGAGAAGGGTGAAGCAAGTGGAGAGTAGTATTTAACAGTAGTCAGGATTATGCTTCTTCTGACTGACATCAACGACGAATCTGCCTTGTGGTTCCCCCAGAGCCGCAACCACCCTTTTTGGGCAGCTGCCAACCACAGGCGCAGAGCCGCATGTCAAAGCTCTCTTCTCTTCGCGTTTCTTCAGGCTCAGGCTCGTGTATGCTCCTCCAGAAGCCATACATAGCCCACTCTTGGGAGTTCGCTAACGTGGACGAAGCACAGGCAGCGAGAACCATATGCTCTCATGAGCATCCATCCTTGGCAAGCCACCAAAGCACCATTCCCTGCTTGTCCCTGCTGCGGCGCTGCGGTGGGAACCCACGCTCTCACTGCATCAGAACTGCATCTGCGCTGTAGTAACCCGCCAGTCCGCTTGGCTTCCTCTCCCCCGGGCCCGGTCCCTGGAGTTACGAAGTGAAATTAACCTAGTGGGGAAGGAAGAGTATCATCAGTCACGGACCACCTTATGGGCCCTGTGCCTCGGATGGATGCAACTCCGTAAGGAGGAGGCCAACCCTTCAACCCCTGGATACATCCATGCCGAGAGCTTATGATGACTCTCAGTCAGGAAACCAAAATAAAGAGGTCGTTTGTCGCTGCCAGGGAGTAACATCCTCATGGTTGGCTTGCACAGCCACCTATTCCACCTCCATCTTCATCCGCAAATCTGCAAAGAACACTTTTTTTTCTCTCTAGGTAGGGTTTCTGCATATCGAATTGCTGCATGAATAACAGGAGGTCGAAAACATCGCATTATTAGCCTTAACAACCGCTTCCGAGGACCAAATCTAATCTATCAAAAGTTAAAATCTGAAATATCGAGGGGCCGCTTTCGAGCCTTCCATGGCCCTCCCTGTTCAAATCAGTGATGTTTTGGTCTTAAGTCAACTGGCTTGGAAGGTATATAATTTCGCTTTCGAGAAGAAGTTGAAACCAAGTAAGTAGTGAATACCTTCATTAGTCTTCCTTTTCTCACCACTGTGGTTCGATAAAATCTTCCCCAAATAAAATAACAAGAAAAACCATATCAACATCTTCGTTCTTGTTGCGAACGTTTAAATTCACCACCAAGTTCTCTTACTCACATAAAGGTGCCATCATAGGCACACAATACAAGGAGTTTGCCAATGACGTTAAGTCTCTTGCAACGAACCTAGAAAACATCTATCGCGTGGCTTCAAATGCTACATTCCAACTTGAGACCTCCCCCTTAGGGCGGTCAAGAGACTCCAAGCAACTCTGGGATTTGTCTTCGCTGAATAAGATACTCGGGGATTATCACGAGACCCTGCAGCATTGTGAAAAGCTACTTCGAGACAATTATCGATATAATAATGCGTCCGATCCTCGTCGAGGCATATCATGGAACAGCTTTGTGCAGCCAGACGTCGATCGTTTGCGGAGCCGGATATCTTTACACAACCTGAAAATATTTTTTGTTCTTAAGCCCTTCGAGATCGATCTTCTCTTCCGCGTCCATCAAGATCTTGCTGCTCGGATGAGCAGTATGCATAACGACCTGCGGCGCCTGATGGGAGTGATAGTCCCAGATTTCAAAGAAGAGATGGACCACCAGCGGAAAGACGAAACTTTTGTCATTGAAATTCCTCCAAATTTCTCGCTTAAATTTCAGCAAGCCGCAGAGATCAATCATCCCGAGTTTGCCAATGGAAGGCAACTGCCTCTCGCGGATACCGCCAACGCATTCGTTTTTCACTTTGGAAAAGGCACGGCAAAGCTCAAGGCAGCTCGATTCGATTTGATCGCCCAGAGGACCGTCTCCGTCATTGCCTATGTCAACTTGCTTAAATGTATATGGCTCATGAAACACATGGAAGGATACCAGGCCAGTGAGGGCTCAGAATTATCTCATTGGCCATCATATGTGAGGGCGCTAAATCAGGTAGGTACACTTATCACTATCCAACTAGTTTATTCTGACCCCTGAAGTTTTTCATATAGAAGCAGTCGACTGATATTGTACTAGGAGTTATCACACGAGTGCAGGCGGTTTTCTCCGGAGTGTATAGATCGCATATTTGCCCCGGACTTGTCACGCGCAAGATTAGAGCAATCTGTATTCCATATTTGGCCGGAAATTCGACGAACTAGTAATCTTCCCTCTGGACAACATCGAAAGCGTGCGATGAAGGAAATCATCACTGTGTATGTTTTTTCTGTTCTATTTCTATTTATAAAACCTACGATCTAATTTTATTCCAGACCCCTTCAGAGTGACTCGCCGAATGTAGTAACATCTCTACGGTTTTTACAAATTTTGAACGATATGCCTTCCCAGCATTGTTTGATTGTTACAGCTGAGGAGCAGCTGGAAAACGGGATGGTTATACCTGAGAGTATGGAGTCACTGGCACGCTTCCACCGTAGCTTCTTTTTCTAATCCCACTAACAGGGCGTATAATTGACGTTAATCTCGAATCCGCAAGTTTAATTCCGCTTTACGCAATGCCCACTTTCTCCCGCGATACCAACGACGTCCTACTGAGGACGCCCGGTGAAGATAATAAAATTTCCTTTCCTTCCATGAAGGATCTCCTCCGGTTCCAGCATGCCTTCACAGGGTACAAGCCATACCTATCCTACTCGCAGTATGTCTCGCAAAAATCCCCCCTTACCTCAACATCTTGCGCTTTCTAACCCTTATATTAGACCAGATGCAAAAGTTGCCTTCGTAGTATCCGACGAAAAACCAATCGTCGAAGATGCCGTTGTACAACTCTGGATACCCAAGCGATTGCAAGGATATTTTGTCAAAGAGGAACAGAGTCGGGCCGAAGAACCGTGGGTAGAAAATTACGACATACTTCCAACAAGTCCAATAACAGTTCCGAGAAGCAGTGTTCCGCCCAGCCCACTCAACATGTTTTCTGGGAGCCCACAAAGCCTGTTCTCTGCGGCAAACCGTTCTAGTACACAGCCGGCTGACCAACGATCACTTGGCTCCTACAGTAGTTCTACAGCTCCGTCTGATTCTAGCCGAGGGTCAATGGGTAGTGGGGATCATGCAGGCATGAATTTTCCGTCGCTAACGCCTTACTCCAGCCGAAGGAGCTCAACAATGACCAGTATCTCCAGTAAAACCAGCCAAAGCGCAGTAACTGTAGTTAACATGGGCGATACCAATGGCTTCCTCCATCAAAAACCGAAAAGGCCGTTGCTTGTGATTTTTTCTAGGAGCGTTGTTGGCGCGAACGAGTTAGCAATTACGGCGATCAAAATCGATGACAAAACAGCTGTGAATGTAGAACGGTGCGACTGTCGGAAAGCTAATAGCTCGTGTGCTATCACGGCCATCGAGCAGGCCAAAGGAAAATCTTGCCTGGAAGCTCAGCGCTTTGTCGCGAATGAGGGGGTAGCAGATTTCAACATAGCGGGACTAGGCTTTACCCGTCGCAAAGACTACCCTCATGCGGCATTTAAGGGCTTAAACCGAATAAGCATCTCTTTCAAAAACCCTCATGGTATGCAAAAACTTCCTCTCTAGTCTTGTTATGTCCGAGCTCTAGGTAACTAGTTTGGCTAACTATACATAGAACGCAAATCGTTCGGGGGTTATAAATGTTCGTGCAAGTTGGACACATGGGGCAATTTCAATAATTGTATCGGATCGGGCCACCAAGGTATCTTTGGCGAAGTTAGAGCAATTGGTCAACAGGAGCTTCGGGCCTACCATCGGGCATCCGAGGGTCACGCCGATATCGTTATTGGTCAAGCACCGCCTAGAGTGTGATGGTGAATATCGGAGGAATTTGTACCAGCACCGTCCTTGTTTTTCCAAAATATACCCCCTTCTCTCTTTTATTAGCCATGGCGTGGTAGTTTTTTTTCTTAGTTAGCATGCAACACAATCCGGATTTTGATTTAGACTTGCAAGAAGAAAATCCATGTTCTGTCAGTAACTCTTTGAGCGTTTTCAACGCGCTGCTGCCTGTCTGTCAAATCTACTCTCTCAATCATCAGATTCCACAAATTGCCTATTCTGTCTTCTACATGTCTTTCGTTACAAATAAACTAGCAACAGAGTGCACACGGAGGCTTACTGAAGAACTGAGAGACTCATCGGGAGGAGAGGGCCTCACGGGGCACGGGCTTGAAAAATTCTAAACGACCAGGTGTACCTGGGACGAAAATCTGAGCATTTATAGTTATTAATAGTGAGGGTAATCCTGCATAGATCAGTCTGCTGCTTATACCACTATTGCTGAGCGGGGAAGCCCCATGTAATTATTAACTTATATACAAATGACATAGTAACCCAAAAAGGCTACCCATATGGTAGTTAGCAGTAGACGAACATAACCAACGCCCCTACCTTGCTCCCCATCTCTCCATTCCTTATTCAGATCATGAACAATTAGTCAGAAATCCCATGTGTCAGTCATATCATGATCAAGGCTCGCGCGGATGCCCTCACTAACTGATTCAACAACAGATCTTTCCCCATTATTGAAACATATGAGCATGCCGCCCGGACACCCGTTAATCCATCAACGCTACACCAAACAGACATTTTTTTTTTTTCCAAAAAAAAAGACAAATATGGAATAAATATACATACATACATACATACATACAGACAGACAGACAAATCAGAACCTCAAACTCCAGGGCACCCCGCAAAACGCAGACAAACTAAGTAACAGAGAAAGAAAAATCATCACCGACAACTCCCAATAGAGCGATCCAGCACTCTAAAAATCTCCATACTGCCCACCTGGCACGGCGCGCCGCCGGGTGAACAACCCAGCTCTGCACGCACGGAGTCCGCGTCGCCGTGTCCGCGCATGCTCGCGATGATGCTCGCGGCGACTTCGCAGGATGTCGAGTCGAGTGTGGTGTCTGTCGGGCTGGAATAGGGGGCCTGAGTGTTTGGGAGTTGCAATTGGGGTTGGTTGGCGTGGGCGTGGGCGTGGGACGGGGATGGGCGGTACGGGTGCGGTTGGGTGGAAGGGACTGGTGGGTGGAGTTGGAGGGGGAGTTGGAGTGATTGTTGTTGTTGTTGTTTCTGCTGCTGTTGCTGGTGGTTTTGTTGTGGAGGCCCCTGGGGGTATCTGGACGCTGCATAGGGTATTGGGGTTGCGTATGGTTGGTATGATGAAGGCTGGGGTTGACATTGTTGGTCGTTATTTGTGGGCGGGCCAAGACTTGCGCTCGTGAAGCTGGCGGTGGGGGAGTACATTGAGGAGGTGGAGGTGGAAATGGAGGCGGAGGCAGAGCTAGGTATATTTTGACCGCTGGGGGATTCGACGTATTGGGGAGAAGGCTGGACGGTAGCTTGCTCTGCTGGATAGTAGGAAGGGTAATTATCTAGTTGAATTGAAGGCTGATTCTCGTTCCGGCCTTCATTTTGGTTCTGGTTCATGGTATTTGGAAACACGGCTGTCGTGGGAGTGGGTAGAGGGACGGAGGGAGACGCGGTCGTGGAGTTGGGAGAAGTTGCAGGCTGCAATTGCGCAAACCCTATTCCAGCCCTAAGTCTATCATTATTTTGATTCAGGTTCCCATTCCCGTTCCCGTTCACGTTCGTTTTTGCATTTCCATTTCCATTCAAAGTCATGGCCGCCCCGTTCTCACCCCCGTTCGCATTCGAGATGTATTCGTCGATTTCCGCGGTGGCGACCCCCTTCAGCTTCAACAGCGATCGCAGCAGGGTATTCTCCCTCGCAACCTTCCTAGCCGCAGTTTGTACCTCTATTGTAGCCTGTACTCCTTGCTGCTCAAACTTCTGCACGCGCCGCTCCAGGTCCTGCTGGTACTCCTTACGCCGGGCGCGGGATCGACGCTGGTTGTCGCGGATTCGGATGGCGTCCGCTGAGGTTGCATCATTGCTATCCTTGTTCCTGTTCTTGTTGGCGCTTTGTATGCCGTGCTGCATTGCTGCTGGTGTTTGGGTACCGTGGCTTGAGGGCGCACGCTGTAGGGCTTGGGTATCTTGGTATTTTGTGGAGCTGGTTTTGTTGGAGACGGAGTCGACGGAATGGCTGAGGATAGGTCGGGGGAGGGAGGTTTCGCCGCCCGTGGCCGAGGCACTTACCCAATCGGAGGAGCCCCGTGACATATCGAGCTATCCATGGATGGATGGACAGAGGGCGGACGGCGGGCTGGGAGTGCTCATAGAAGTAGAGTAAAGTAGTGGTATTGCATTGGAATTGTAGATACATATACTCCGTATTTTGGTTTAAATGGAAGGTTCATCCTGGAGGCTACCTTGCTCTGGGATCGATACACACAGAGAGTGGAACTTGATGTTGATATATGTTTACTCCGTACGGATGTAGATATGTATCCCTTCAGGGGAAATGCTCAACGACCTTAAACAAACAGACTATTACAATAAACTAGCCATTGTGCCAATATCCTATTGATTAAACATCCACATAGCACAATTTCACAGATTTGTTTGTTTGTTGTCAAGTGTTAAAAGTATGTCGCTGGGAGGAGAAGGGGACTACCATGATTTATGGCCAACTTATCATCAACCTGAGACAACCACAACAAACCAGATAAAGTAGAACGGCAGAGAGACAAAGAGACAAATGCCATTTATTCTTTATACATGTATGTTTTGCATGTACAGGAGGTTGTCGAACACTTCGAGGCAAAAATTAGGAGCAAAATTTGGGTGTGCCTGAGAGACAGTGAATGAACCCGGGCGTCTCGCTTCCATCGAATGATAGGTCCTATAGCTCAGTTGGTTAGAGCGTGGTGCTAATAACGCCAAGGTCGCGAGTTCGACCCTCGTTGGGACCATTCACTAAGAAATCGTTTTCGTTTTTTTTTTTACTTCTATTTTCTTATGACTTGTTTTTCCTGACAAACCGGGAAAGGAAATCAAAAATATCTGATATTGTTGACTGCACGACTGTGTAAATTCTTCTCTTTGCACTTCCTCATTAACTACTTATTATCTATACAGCTGCAAGATTAAAAATAAAATAAAATGTCGAAAAAATCAAAAGCTTTAACCGCATGGTCCCAACGAGGGTCGAACTCGCGACCTTGGCGTTATTAGCACCACGCTCTAACCAACTGAGCTATAGGACCGGTCGTCGGTTGGTGGAAAGAGGGGCTAGTGCCTTACGTATATGAAGTCATTATTGAAGTCATTTATCTTTCATGGCGAGCATCCGGTGAAGTTAAACTGGCCCTTGACCATATTCCATATTCCCACGTCCCCACGGTTGGTGGAGTATTTATTTGCCGGGAGCTCGTGTCGTGGGCATATATCTGGTGGGTGATCTGGACGAAAAACTTCTTGGGGCCTCGAGAAGCGTTCTAGCAAGGCAAACAAGGACCAAGTAGGCTGTAACGTAACTAGCTGGAAGGATGTAAAACGTATACGCAGCGTAGCGTATGTGGTTGGACAAAGGAGCTCAAACGAACTGTTTCAGTATGACGGTCACCGTCGTCGTTGGACCGCTTATTTAAAGCAAACCGACGGAAATAAGCATCATCATATTTATTTATCGGCCTCTACAGACTGTACGGAGTGTACCGCTGCGTAGGTTTGCAAGCCATCAAACCCGCTGCTGAGCGACCAGCTTCTTGCACCCGTTATTTAAGAACGTTGTGCTAGTTAGTGCTGTTCTTCAATTCGTAGGTTCAGCGCCCACTGACCTTGTCTGTTTATTTACTTGTCTGTCCCTGTCTGTCCCTGTCTGTCCCTGTTTTCTCTGTTTTCTCTGTTTTCTCTGCTCTCTCTCCCTGCGACGACGCGGAGGATCCAGCCGCAATAAATACTTCCCCTGCTCACAGCAACAATTGGCTGGCCGTTGAAGACAAGACAAGACAAGACAAGTCACCGTCGGGAACTTCACAGCCAACTGGTCAGCCTCGCCTGGAAAGAAATAAAGAACGAAGGAGAGAACAGAGAGAATGACAAAAGAAAGTTTTCATCATATGTAAACCCACTTTTTATTTCTGGTATCTACGCAGTATTTTTCTCTCTCTTTTCCTTTTTTCTTCCCGTTGAAATTGAGATACCTAGATAGCCTAAGTAAGAGAGCTCAGGGCATATTGTGTTTGTTTTGCTTCCATGTTGGATGCACTGCAGCTTTGAGCTCCGTGTTATAACTTAGATCTGCTGTCTCTCCTGACACAGAGTAGAGAGGGATCTATCTATCAGGTATTAGACATCTCTGCCTGGCTGCGACTGGAACCTGCCGGCTCTTCTTCTCTTGTATCACTTGAACATCTCCGTCACTTGTTCTTTGAGTTGTGTGTTCATTATTCATTCTCATCTTGAACCCGTTTGCCCTGGAAACATCCAACAGAAGAAAGAAAGAAAGAAAGAAAGAAAGAAAGAAAGAAAGAAAGAAAGAAACGACAGAAAAGAACAGAAGAAATAAACCTTGTTGGAACACCCGGCTCACACACCCACACTTCATTCATAAAATATCTTCTTACACACTTTCTTCCTTTCTCACCTTACCCACACCACCCAAATTGACGAAACAAAAAAGCCCCAGAGCCGTCTCAACTAGATTGAAGCGGGTGGCCTGAAGCGCTGTCTTCGACCTAGCCCTTCTTCATCTTCCCCCAGGCCCTCGAAAGGGCCTCTGCTACTTAGGTCTCCTCGTTGCAAGCAGCCAGGTTGCGTTCTCATAGCAAAGGAAAATGTCTAATCAAGCGATCTTACGCATTGGCCGTGTATGAAACATCCCTCCCACTCCCTCTCTCATGGTTGGACAAGTCCTGCATGGGTAGGGTATTTTTTTTTTTTTTTCTCTCCCTTGGATTTCTAACAGCTCGATGCTGTGATTAGGAAATTAGCCAGATTCAGCATGGCACGGACTTGTGTAAGTCTTCCTTTTTTGTTGTTTATTTTGATTTCTGTCTTGTTTTTACTTATTTAGATCCATGCAAGTCGCTGGCATGCTTTGCTGCTGGGTCACCATGCGGCATCCGCGCCCCCATTTGCTCACGATTGTTTCAAAGACGCTAACATACAATACCCATCACAGCCCTAGCGGTGGCTTGCAAGGAATCAGATATCCGTAGCATGAAGGCCCTGATCGTGGGCCCTCATGAAACGCCCTATGAGTTTGGATTTTTCGAGGTTTGTGGCCTGTAGTCCAATATCCATCCATCTACGCGGTTATCCGATGAACCACCACGCTGACATATTAGCTACAGTTCTCGATCAGGTTCCCCGAAGGTTTGATTTGGATTCTTCCTCTCTCTCTCTGTGCGCGCGTGCATGTTGTGCTCATCAAAATGCTGAACATGGTTTTTTGGTGTTTTGATCTAGATTACCCTGGAACACCACCAACTGTTCATTGTACAACTACAAATGGCGGCCGATGTCGCTACAACCCGAATATTTACGCCTCTGGAAAAGTTTGCTTGTGAGTGGTAACTCTCTTATTGCCCTGGGACTTCAGATGTATACTTTTCTTTTCTTTTCTTTTCTTTTCTTCTTTCGTGGTTGACTGACAACTCGAGTATCATTTAGATCTATACTAGGGTGATTTTCTCTTCCCAGAACTCTTACGTTGTTTCAAAATATAGTCGCTAACTGCAAGCAAAGGACCTGGCGTGGTGAGCGTGGAGAGCAATGGTCTTCAGCCCAAGGCTTGGAATCTGTTCTGATTTCCATCCAGAGTTTGATGTCCGCTAACCCCTATGAAAACGAACCTGGATTTGAGAACGCCAGGTCTGACCACGATCAACAGAATATGTCTCAATATGTTGCCAAGGTAAACGCACACTGTATCCATGTAGAACAAATCTGGCATCCTTTTATGTTTTATCTCTCTAACAGCTACACTTATCTAGATTCGACATGAGACTCTGCGGATTGCAGTCATCCAGAGACTCGAAGAGTTCCTTGGTATCCAATCGGATGGCACGGTCGTTCCCCCATGTCCTGCCGGGTTTATAGAGGAGGAAGAGGAAGAGGATCGTTTGACCGGAGAGGACGACCGCCCAACTTTTGAGCCTTTCGAAGATCTCCTAAAGCGCAGATTCCTATGGTACTACGAATCTTACATTCTCGCAATCGACGCTGCAGAACCCCAAGTTACCCCTTCACAGGCATTCAAAACGATGCCCTTTGAAAACGTCGGAAACGTTATGAATGGCCGTTTCTGTTACCCAGACCTTCGTAGACGCCTGGGCCTTATCAAAGAGACTATCATGAAAGAGACCGAAAGTTGGGCTGCGGAGGGCATGAAGGCGAAAAAAGACGAGACTAGGATCGCCGTCAACCTCCAGCGGCAGCACGAGCAGACCGTTGCAGATCTCAAGAATAGGGGGAACTTCATGATCGATCTAGACCTCGAGGAGGGGAACCCATTCCTCTGGAACATGACCTACTTTGGTAAACACATGACGCAGTTTGACGGTGGCATTTTCCAGATCCGAATCTACCTGAGCCCCAAGTTCCCTGATGAACAGCCGCGGGTCATCGTTAAGCCACCCCTGTTCCACAATCGTATCTCCAAGGACGGGGTTCTGTGCTATTTCCCAAAGAAGATGGAGGAGATGAAGGCACATATTGAGGCTATTGTGGAGGCGCTGGAGGATGAGGCCCCGCCCTATAACCCGTGGACGACCGTGAATCCAGAGGCGTCGAAATTATTCTGGGGCTCTGAGGAGGATAAGAAAAAGTATAATCGGTTGCTCAGGAGGTCTGTGCAGCGGAGTACTGAGTGAGTTCTCTTTTTCCCTTTTTCCGTTTTTACTCTTTAATTTTTCTCGGAAACTGGTGCTAAAAGATTTCCAATTAATTAATAGGCATTATTTGAGCCCTCTGGATAGACAAAGTTTTCTTCCTTAATTGGCTCCGTCTACTTCATTAACCCGCCCACCTTTCATTCACCCTCGTTTCGCATACAAGCAATGTATCCACTCGCAGATTTAAGAGGTGTACTCTGTGATTACGTCATAATATGGTTTTAATTAATTTCTGGTTTTAAGATGTGTTATTTTGCATTCGGTTTCTATGAAACTCTAATTATGTTATGCCTTGCCCCGTCTTTTCATTTACTCTTTTCTTCGGTTTCTCCTTTCCTCATCTTTTCCAAAAACACGGTTTCTTTTTTGTCACAGGAATGTTCCCATTTTGTTGTCTTAAGCTTTTTAATTCCTATCTTCTTGCTTAGGTTTTGTTTCCCCGGCAGCTACATAGAGCAATAGGGTGTGTTTTCTGTTTTTACCGTAGTTAATGACAGCATATATCTAGTGGATAGTTAGTTGGACGAGAAGCCTCCTAAGAATCTCCGCCGCCGCTAGTCCTAATTGGGTCCTGCTCCACGCCCGAAACTTCAAGCTAGTTGGTCCGAGCTCCCCGTGTCACCGATTTACCAAAATTACACCGTGCTGTTATCGGGGACGGACTCCATGATTATTCAATGTTTCTCAATTCCAACCCCCTGAACCTCATCCTATCAACGTCTATTTAATTATACCGTAAAACCTTAATGTAACAGCTATAGCATTGAACATATCCCTACTAATTCCTTCCCCCCCGAACCATCCTGCTATCCCGTACTCTACTGTGTATTCACGGCCTAACTATCTCCTGAGTTTCCAGCAATCGAATCAGAAAAAAGAAGGAAAACAGAACACAGAGAAACGCCAACCATGGCCACCCCAAATACCCTTGAGCTAGGCACCGTCCTTGTCACAGGCGGCTGCGGCTTCCTGGGCAGTCACATTGTCGACCAGCTCCTGAATTTCCCCTCCGAAGCCAGCTCCGGCTGCAACAGCAGTGAAAAGAATCGAACAATCCCAAGCCCCGTCCGTAAAGCCAACGGCGAGACAGACACCCGCTTCGCCGTCCCTTCGCTCGCGGGCCGCTACCCATCCTACAAAAACACAAAGGTCTGCGTCCTCGACCTGCGCACGGTGCACAACCGCTACCCCGGCGCAGAGTACTACGAGGCAGACATCATGTCCACCGAGCAACTGCTGGAGGTGTTCCGGAAGGTGAAGCCGGATGTTGTGATCCATACCGTCTCGCCGCCGCCGATGCAGTCGACGCCAGAATTATTGTATCGGATTAATGTGGATGGGACGAGGAATGTGCTGGAGGTTGCTGGGGGGCTGAAGGGGGAGTGGGGTGGGGTGTGTAAGGCGTTTGTGTACACGAGCTCGTCGTCCGTGGTGCATGATTGTCATAGTGATTTGATTCGGGCGGATGAGAGGTGGCCGTTGATTACGGGGAAGTTGCAGTATGAGTATTATACGGAGACGAAGGTGGGTATTCTGTTTTTCTCTTATTTTCCTTCTTTCCCGCGAGGATACGAATATATATCTCATGAAAATCTAACATTATTCTCATTGCAGGCCCAAGGCGAAACCCTGGTTCTGAACTTCAACAAAACCTCCCCAACAGGAATGCTGACTACCTCCATCCGCCCCGCCGGCATTTACGGCGAGCGCGACACAACCGTCACAAAGGGCCTGACCGACCACGCCCGCAAATCCTCCCCCTTCGTCCTCCGCTTCCAGCTCGGCGACAACGACAACCTCTTCGACTTCACCTACGCGGGCAATGTCGCCTACGCCCACATGCTCGCAGCGCAGTGCCTCCTGGCCACATTCAAACGTCTAGAATCCGGCGGCGCAGCGCCGCTGGACCACGAGCGCGTCGATGGCGAGGCGTTCAACGTCACCAACGACAGCCCCGTGTACTTCTGGGATATGGCGCGGAGCATCTGGGCGCTGATGGGCAAGGTCGTTGAGCCGGAGAAGGCGATTGCGCTGCCTGAAGGGGCGCTGACGGTTATTGGGGGACTGTTGGAGATGGTGTTTGGGCTGTTTGGGAAGAAGCCGCGGATGTCGAGGAAGGAGGTGCGGTTTTCGTGTATGACGCGGTATTATTCGTGTGAGAAGGCGAAGAGGCGGATCGGGTATGTGCCTGTTGTGCCGTTGGAGGAGGGGGTGGTGAGGTCTGTGGGGACGGTTTTGGAGAAGGAGCAGGGGGTTGAGGCGAAGAAGGAGTTGTAGATTTCTTCATTTCATTTCATTTATTTTCATTTATTTTTGTGTACCTTTTGTTTCCTGGTTCTATCAGTTTAATATTCCACTTCCTCACTATGTACTGTACATTTTCGCTTTTTGTTTAACTAACGAGATATCCCATGGATCAGGTAAATCTTTGGTCATCAGTATATAGGATCATTTTACCTGTTTCTTTTTATTTTGCATGGTCTTCCCCTGGCTGTTATCTCTATATTATTAGCGTCAATGTTTGTGGTGTGGTGTGTGGAGTTAGTTCAGTGTATAATATTAATACCTCAAAGTTGATCCTATACAACACCAAGTATAGGCAAGCATCGGGGTGACTCATCCTGACAATGTGTTGTCTTTTTCTGATCCGGCGCCCGGTTATTCAAAGGGGGTTCATCTCTAACACATAGTAAATATCAAAAGATATGGTAACGGCGCCATCTCAAACTCCGCCGATGACCGGAGCGGCTGTTGCCTTTGGAGACGCCTGGAGTTCAATGGCTGATGGCTGATGGAATGACAGTTGTACAGTGCATACGGAGTACAGTAACTATTCCTTAGGTGGAATGTATAATGTCAGATCCTGGCATATATTCACCAGACTCTATCCAAAACAATAATAATAGAAATAAGGGAGATATAACCTGTATCCTGTTTATTTCCACGCACCGCGCTGGGAGGTGTCATGACTAATTGCCTTTTCCTAGTAATACGCCCTCAATACCGCCTCTTGGCAGCGGAGTTGCACTGTTTTACCCCAAACAGACCCGGCGCTATACGATACCATACACGCTTTCCCCTTCTGGTCCGAAGTTGGCGACGCTTTGCTCTTGATCTCGCTGCGAAAGTTATCTTGAAACGAACGACATCCTCGATTCCTGACGGTCAGCATTCTGTCCAGTGCTTTGGTTCTGATATCCCGGCATATTGTCTTCTTGCTTCGTTGTATATTTATTGATCTTGTATTGGTTGAGGTTGTTCCCCCCCCCCCCCCCCCAAGCAAGCACCGTTTCTATTGCCTGTGCCCGCGTCCTGTCCTCGTCATTTGATCACCTTTGCTGGTTGAAGAGCGAATCTCTGCCCTGCGTGTCTGCTGTGCGCATTAAATAACTTCCCTTGCCTGGGCTACAGAGAAGCTACAGACAGACTACAGACGTCTTGCAGGAATCTCGCCCGTGGATGGATGGACCTAGCTAGCACCGTCCATCACCTTGTGACCTCTTTTGTTTCATTACGAGGCAGAACGACACCGCTCGACCCCCCGAACTGACAATCCTTAGGGAAGCCGGAGACTACGACGACGACGACGACGACGACGAAGAAGAAGAAGTGTGTGTGTGAAAGACACATACCAGCAAGAATTGGGTGAGAATAGTGAGAGGCGCAAGGCAGGAGGACAAGCACGGGAGAAAGAAACGGGCAGCTTTCAGTCAGACTTGCTTGTTACTTGATATCGTGTCTGCAACGCGCTTCAGACCCCCTCGATCCACCACTTTACTCCTCCTTTCAAAACCTTTGGGCCTACCCATATTTCTCCGCTGGCAACGAAAAACTACAAATCGCTCTACGCTATTTTGCTTGCGTGCTTCCTTCCCGGCATACAGCGTTCGCCCTGCTCCTCTGACCTCGGGCCCAATACTTGTCATGGATAGTTGATGCTGACGGATGAGGCTATAACGCTGCTTCCGGGCACCGCTCTAGCCGGCCTGGCCAGAGGCAATTCTGTCTTGCTGTGGTTTACATCGTTTCCTACTGTCTCCTTGATACCTATCTCGCCTTCATTGGCCCCTGTACTTTCCCCCACCCCCGTGTGCTCCGGCAAGGACGCCACGGCAGAACGCCCCGCCCGCCTCACGGGATACGCCAATCCGTCAATCCTGACGAAAGGGTTGTCCTGCATATCTACATCGAGCCATCTATTATCCTCCGTAAAACCCCTTGCTCGTAAGAATCGACGTTTGACCGAACCACCCGGTGCCTCCTCGGGCGATATACAGTCTATATTAACGTACAATGGCCGACAATGGGGCTGAAAACACCCCCAATCCGCCTCGCTTCCTCGCGCCTCCTGCTATCGCCGCTCTCAGGCAGGAGGCCCGCGACACCTGTAGTGACAGTCCCTCTCCGCAGCCAATGTCTCGTACGCTCAGCGAAGACTTCCGCAAAGAACGCCAAGACCTCAAGGAAGCCGCCGAGCAGACGCTGAATGTTATTGTTGACCTCGATCTCGATGGGCGCATTAAGTGGGTCAGCCCCTCGTGGAAGGAGGTAGTTGGCACGAACGTCGAAGATGTTGAGGGGTTGTTGATTTCTGAGCTTGTCCTAGATAATAAGATGGCGTTTGAGCATGCCATTGAGAGCATGAAGATCGATGATTCAAAAAGTCATATTGTTAGATTTGCGGTGAAAACGGGGCCGGCGTCGTTCCTTAGGCGGGAGGCTGGGGAGGTGAGGGTGGAGCATGTAGGTAGTGAGGGTGGTGGTGAGGGTGAAAGGGAAGAAAAAAGGGAAGAAGGAGAGGTATGGGATGCGGAAGCACCAAGGCAAGAGAAAGTGCAAGAGGGAGGTGTGGATGTCTCTCAGCCTCAGGAGAAGCATTCCGAACGTGAGAGAGAGGAGCAACAGGAGAGTGATGAAGACTATCATATCCTGAATCTCGAGGGGCAGGGGATTATGGTTTTTGACCGGTCTCCGACTACGGAAAGTCACGTAAGCATTCCATTCTTTCTTCTTCTGTTACGTTTGGAGATATTGTTGTAGTTAGTTTCTTATGGGATCTAGACTATGTGGATGCTACGGCCATCTACTCAACCACGGGAAGTTACAATCGATCTTCCCCCACTCCTCGTCGAGTCGCTCGGCGTTGGCGCAGAGGTCCTTGCAAATTACCTCACAGCTCTCGCGGAAGCGGGATCTCGGGATCCCTCTCACGTCCCCCTTCCCCCTCCGGTGCTATGTCGAATCTGTGAGCGCCAAATCTCCCCGTGGTGGTTCGAGAAACATTCAGAATTATGCCTGCAAGAACATGGAGCGGAGATGGACGTCCAGATGGCACAGGACAATTTAAACGAACATCGCCACTCCATCGTTAAGGTTCTAGATGCTTTAGAAGCTCGCAAAGGCAGGTCAGCTTCTGGTGACTCGAGCCCCTTCGCCGGCCCTCAAGCAGAGTATAAGGGTTTACCTATCGGGCCCTTCATACCTTCGTCGGGCATGACTTCAGGCTCGTCCTCTTCTTCCGGAACACCACCACGTTCACGCGATCCATCGACGTCAGGTCTAGGTCATAATCGCACTCGCTCTTCCTTTGCTGTTCGACGACCGCTTGCGCGCATTGTGGAATTGATTTTAGATCTCTGCGACACTGCCTTAGAGATCAACACACCAGCACTTAAAGACGCTCGAACAGACGTGGGAGAAGAAATTCGAACACAATCTCCCCAGTCGGAATCGAGAATATCGCAAGTCATGCAATGGCAATCTCCAAGCAGCAATACCCTGGACCAAGAACAGGGTTTAGCAGCGTTATCAGCGGACACCGAACGCTTTGCCCGTGCCAAGGTGGATGCGGTGTTTCGCCATCGGCAGATTGTAGAGTATAGTGAGCGTATCCGCGTCGAGTTTACAGTTCTTGTCGAGGACTGTATTTCTGCTGCCATGAGTAAAGCGGAACGCATTGCTGCAGGGGAACTGAGCGATTCGTCAGGTTCATCCTCAAGCGTCGCCGGAGATTCTCAGGACGAAGGTAGAGATTCAGCGTGGGCTCAGATCCTCGATGGCCCGTCTAATACGTCTACTCAACCGTCCTCACTACCCACCCCGTCAGGAATAACTGCTGCGTTGCGTGTCGGCTCAACTCCGCTATTTACTCCTGCCTCCCAATCAGAAAGACCACAGCCTTCATCTGTCGCTGTCTCGACCCGTTCCAGTAGTCCAATGGAGTGTCCAACGCCTCGGTCTCATAGGAGTGTTGGCGGTTTGCTAAGCCATTCGCAACCATCCAAGAGGGGCTCGTTGCTTGCCGAAAGCGACGCGGGTGATAGCGATAGCAGCATACTCTCTTCCGCTTTCGTTGGGACTGGGACATACCGGACTGAGTCTCCAACCTCTGAGCGGGGGCTTAGTCGTGTCACAAGCTCTAGAGACCGTAAACGCCAAAGCCTCATACTGCCCGGCATGTCGGTGTCTCCACGCAGAGAATCCCCTGCCCGAAACCAACCCCATTCTCCGCTCCGATTATCCAAACCACGGTTATCCATGGGCGAAAGCTTCACGTCACCAATGACATCCCCGCTGCTCAGCAACTCTGAGCTTGCAGCCCATAATACGCACCAATACTATCCACCATCTTCCCATCATCACCATCGCAGACTGTCATCTGCTACTTCTCCGGACCTGGCCAAGACTCCTATTTCCCCGCATCTTAGCTCGGTCAGCCACCCGCCACCACCACGGGCGGTTGCGCCTTCTATCAAAGACTTCGAGATCATCAAGCCGATTAGCAAGGGTGCATTTGGTAGTGTTTACTTGTCCAAGAAGAAATCGACTGCTGAGTACTTTGCCATCAAAGTCCTGAAGAAGGCAGATATGGTTGTTAAGAACCAGGTTACTAACGTCAAGGCTGAACGGGCCATTATGATGTGGCAGGGTGAGAGTGATTTCGTTGCGAAGCTCTACTGGACCTTCTCAAGCAAGGATTATTTGTACCTTGTCATGGAATACCTCAATGGCGGCGATTGCGCATCTCTGGTCAAAGTTCTCGGCGGTCTGACAGAGGACTGGGCGAAGAAGTATGTTGCAGAAGTGGTTCTGGGCATTGAACATCTCCATGAGAGGGGCATTGTCCACCGCGATCTGAAGCCAGATAACCTCCTCATCGACCAACGGGGCCATTTGAAGTTGACCGATTTTGGCCTTTCGCGGATGGGGCTTGTAGGCCGTCAGAAACGTATTCTCAAGAACCCCAATGAGTCTGCGCCGGATCTACTTAAGACGGGCCCGTTTACTCGTGCTACATCGCTGGCATCGTCGCGGTCGGCGTCGTTTGATTTCCCGCCGACACAATCACCAAGTTCCACGCCGTCTATGACTCCTGAGTTCCCTATGCTGATTAACCAGCCGTCATATTTCAGCCTGAATAAAGAGCAGTCGTTTAATCGCGAAACGTCGAGACGTGCTTCGGGGTATCGAAGTGACAGCGGGGGCAGTGACAGTTTGACGGGGATGTTTAGAGGTTTTTCATTATATGACGGTGGCGACACACCGTATCCCCTGTCGTTTCAACCACAGCCGTCATTCCCTCCACCGCAACAACAGCAACAACAAGGCCGTCCCATCGAGGAGGAAACCCAGAGTGAAGGAAGCGATTCTCCGCACCTATTCCCATTGCAGACGGGTACCAGTTATCCAGCGTCCTCGATGTCTGGTCAGCACAGTACTCCACCCCAGCAATCTTTGATACCTCCCGCCATGGCCCTTTTCGACCCAGAGGATCATAATCGATGTTTCGTCGGGACACCTGATTATCTCGCCCCGGAAACTATCAATGGCGTCGGACAGGATGAGATGAGCGATTGGTGGTCTCTTGGTTGTATCTTGTTTGAATTCCTCTACGGATACCCTCCCTTCAACGCCTCCACCCCAGACGAAGTCTTCCAGAATATCCTTAACCGTAGAATTAATTGGCCTGAAGAAGCAGATGAACTGGTAACGCCCGAAGCAAAGGATCTCATGAATAAGTTGATGACCATTAATCCAGAGGAGCGACTTGGTTCGAATGCTTCTGAGAAATATCCCAACGGGGGCGCTGAAGTTCGTGCTCATCCGTGGTTCGCGGATATAAACTGGGATACGCTGTTGGAGGATGAGGCACAGTTTGTCCCCGCTCCGGAGAACCCGGAAGATACGGAATATTTCGATGCTCGGGGTGCCACGCTACAGTCTTTTACTGAAGAGTTGGAAGACCAGCTATCTCCTCCCCCCGCCGCTACAGGACCAGATTATCCTGATAGACCCCACGATGCTCTCTACAAGGTTCGCACACAGGTGAATTCTCTGAAGCGCGGGCTGATGCCGCTGCATATCCCGCCACATGTGCGTGATACTCGCAGCAGACGACTTAGCGAGCCGGTTTTGGCGGATGATTTTGGGAACTTTAACTTCAAGAACTTACCTGTGTTGGAGAAGGCGAATAAGGATGTCATTCAGAAATTGAGAATGGAGGCTATGCAGGCACAGCAAAGGCAAATACCAACGCATACGCCCGCCTCCAGCTCCGGTCCATCGCTGGAGGGAAGCCCTCTGCTACCAATGCCTCTGCAGCGGACCCTGTCACACAACAAAGCCACGAACCGCCCAGCGTCGCCGTCGAGTCTCAGTCAGGCGAATTCTTCGTCCCCTAGTCGACCTTCACAACCTTCCTCACCGCTTCTGGTACAATTTAGTACGGGCCAGAATCATGAGCGGAGGAAAACCTCTGGATCCTCGTCATTTTCCCATCAGCCTGGCGGATCGCTTCAGCCGGGGAGTTACCCTGAGCCTCCACGTTTATCAACAAATTTTAAGATGATGTCTACTTCCGCTACCTCATCGCCTGTTAAGTATGTGAAGCCGCCAACACCTTCTCCTGATAAGTCGGGTGGTACTTCCCAGCCGCGCCAGAGCAGTGCACCGACCTCCCGATCGAGGTCGCAGACTGTTGGTTCTCAGGATAGCGAAGCGGCCCCTTCTAAAGAGCCGTTTGTACCTGGACACCATAAACGGCGAAGTCAGTTGTTTGATATTTCACCGTCATCGTCTGATAATGAAGATCCACGGACCAAGGCTAAGGCGCTCCTCAAGGTCCAAAGGCGACGACAAAGTTCCAGACGGTTGTCGCAGATCAATCTTGCCGAGGGACCTTATTTCCGCCCCCTGGATGTTCTTATATGCGAAGATCATCCTGTGTCGAAGCTGGTTATGGAAAGACTATTTGAGAAGCTACGATGCCGCACAATTACCGCCGTCAATGGATCAGAGGCCATGCGCTACGCACTTAGCGAAGTCCAATTTGACATCATCATGATGGAATTTAAACTACCACAGCTCAATGGCGCAGACGTGGCGCGCATGATCCGTGATACAAAGAGTGTCAATACACATACTCCTATCATCTGCTGCACGGGCTACCTCAAAGACCTTCCGGAAACACACCATTTCGATGCGCTCATCGAGAAACCGCCCACGCTTTCCAAGCTCACTGAGGCCCTTTGCAAATTCTGCCAGTGGAAGCCCCCGCCAAAGAATCATTCGCTTAGCCTCCCAGCGCATCATCCCATACTACCTCCGGTTAGCTCCCGGCTGACATCCTCAATGATGGCACCTGATTGCAGCCCCAGCTCCACATCATCCGGCTTTGCAGTCATCCCCACAAGTTCCTACCGCGGCTCCAGCCGCGAAGATTCCATCGGTAGCAGCTACTTTGGCGACCTCGACTCCATTAAGCCCGAAGAATTACCCGTTATCATTGGTCGCCAGGCTACGGATGAGTGGGGGAATGTGCAGGGCACTGGGAGCGGTGGTGGCGGTGGTGGTCTTGGTATCTCCGATGAGCCTAGCGTCCTAAGATCAGACCCGATAATTATGTCCTCACCACCCCAAATCCCGCAAGTCCTCCATGCAGCTTCCGCCCCATCAACCGTTCCGGCTATGGCAATGACGATGCCAGTGGTAGGCATGCGTGCGCGGGGTACGCGCAACCAGCCTTCCGTCGAGGATATTCGCGCGAAGCGTGAGGCACACGGGCGGGGGAGGAGTAATGAGGGGGCTGAGTCAGGGGACGATGAGGACGAGGAGCTTGGAAATTCCCAGTCGCAGAACCGGCCGAAGAGTCCGCAAACTGCGCCCGGGAAGGGCAAACGGTCAGGATCCAAGTTGGGAACGGAGTTGATGCGGACGAATAGTCGTGGTAGCGTAGTTAGTGATGCTGGCGAGAGGCGTTTAGAGGGTCCTGTTACTACCGCGGTTAGTTCACCCGGAGGCACTGCTACCGGTGGAGAAGTGACACCATCGTCGCTTGTAGGTGCGCCCGGCCCGAGCGTTGATGTTGTGGAGGAAAGACTTGCTGGCTTGCGAATTGCGGAGGATGGGTTGGAGACTTTGCCGGAGGATAGGGAACAGGAGGAGTCGTGTGCGCTTACCGATCCCCTTGTCACTACAAGTACCACCAGTGCCAAATCGTCGGTTCGAATACAGCCGCCGCTCTCGATCTCTGAGAAAGTCGCCCCGGAGACGACGACTTCTGTTGCCTCGGCAGAGCAATGGCAGGGCTCTACAGCCCAATCTCAACCCTCACATTCCAAGTCTACAACCCAGGCTCCAAAAACTCCATCTACACCCCCACCCCTACCTTCAGCGCCACCGTCAACAGTCAATACCGAACCCGCGATCACAAAAATCACACCACCCGGCACAACCCAACAAAAGCAACTACATACTCCAGTCCTCACCACTTCTCCCACCGCCGATCCATCCGGCGAGGACGTTACACCCCGACCCACGACTTCAATTACGCCCAGTGGATTCAACCCCGGCAAAGCGCTCAGTACACTAGCGCCAGACGTGCATGGTGCTGCGGTTGGTATTGGTTCGGTCGATCACCAGATAGCTGAGGATGAGTCCGAAGCTACGCCACGCGCATCCGACCAGGATATGCGGCGTGAGAAAAGTAGAGAGAGGAGGTTGAGGGGGCTCGATTGGATGCGCAGGTCGTGATATTATGAACAGGTCTGGAGAAGGGAATGGGGTTTTGGGGGTTTTGGTGTCGTTGTGCTATGTCTCCTTTGTGATGGTTGATACTTGGTAACTGTTCTCCAACCGGATGTGGCATCTTATACTTTGCTTTTGTTTTCATTATTGGCTCCTCTCCCTTTTTTACGATATGATTTGTGACGATATATTATGATATGAATTCACTTGCTTTCCCTTTTCTGGCCTGTCTTGTCTGATTTTCTAGTTGTGTTGCGCTGTCTGAATCTTAAATTGGGTTGGGTATTGGGATTGCGATTTAACTAGGAATCATGTCCAGTTTTTTCTGTTTTGCTTCCACTCAGTGTTGACTTACTTGTGGCTCTACTGCCCCTGTCATTTCTCGCTTAACTGAACTGAATTTTGAGCTTCTGGCTTCTCTTGTTTTCCCCCTCTTTTTCTTTTGCGTTATATCTTTTTATCTTATCTAGTTCTGAAATGATTGATGGACCTGGGATGGATTTATTTTGGCATATACTCTTATCTTTCTTTCTTTCTTTTTACCTTCCATATGTCTTGTCGTCGCCGTCTCCTTTCACCTCCCCTTGTCTTTATTGTATCTCATTGCGTTTCTCCGGAATGATTCCTTTGGCTTCGAAATCGACTCGATTGTAAGTAGGAAGAGGACAGGAAAGATAGAAGCAGGAAGAGAAAGTCGTTAAACCGAGGCAGACGAACAGTGCTTTTCAACGCCTGCGCATTGTAAGATGGTAAGCGGAAAGATGGGGACGGCGAATGAACTGATTGGTTTTTTTTCTTTTCTCTTCTCTGTCTATGTTACAATATTTATGAGGGTTTATTTTATATATATTATATATTATATGTGTGTTTACTCATCGACTCATTTCTTCTCCTAAAAAGTTACGTCCTTCGCATAATTCTTCCCGTGTTTCATACTTCTTCAAAGTCCCTCTTTATCTACATGATCCTCGCCGTCCAGCTGGGGTAAGAGTTACGGGAATCGCGCCGATGGGATGGGATTCGGGCGGATTGCATTATGACAATAGGAAGGGGTGGCAGTTGGAGTTATTGGCTACCTGCCTACGGATTAGTTACGTGGGATTTGATCATGACGATGTGGCTCGCTTATGCCTCTTCAGAACCACTTTCAATATATTGCTAAAAGTTTTATATTCTTCCGGATGACCAATTCTCGTAAGCTTTAGCTTCTGAAACATTTTTCCGGTATCTGTAGAACGTAAAAAGGACGGAAGGAGGCATTATTATCATCAATCACATACTCGAGAAGGAGATGGAATTTAAAACTAAGGAAACAAACGAAAGGAAAAAGAAAAGGGGTCATGAAACGGCGTCCTTATCAATGACGTTTTTTTATCAACCAAGTAACATAATCAAACCAAGTTAAAAAGGGAGCCAGCATCTTTTTACGCTTCATCCTCATCCGACTCCTTCTCCTCCTTCACTGTCTCAGCCCCAGCATCCTCATCCTCCTCAAACGTATTTACCGGAACCTGATAAAGTCGAATCACAGGCTTATTCGGATCCTTCACAAGCACGAACTTGCGCACATCGCCATCACTGTCATCCTCATCGTCATGATCCAACCCTCGAATCAAGTCCACAATCGTCCGCACAATACCCCATCCGTTCGACAGATTCAGGTTCATTTGCGCAGCAAACTCGCGCGGCTTATAGCCCACCACGCCCAGGATGACGTGCGCAGCGGCTGATTTTGGATTGGCGCGCGACACGAAGCCGAGCTTCATCATGTCGGCCTTGGCTAGGATGGCCTGTGTGGCCCATCGGGCGAGCTTGCAGCTGTTATTCTTCATCTCGGTGGCGAGGACGGCGCCACGCTGGGAGACGAGCTTGGTGCGCCAGTCGAGTGCGCCGCCGGCGCCTTGGGATTTGTGGTCGAATTCGTTGAGGGCCTTGACGGTCAGGTACTGGTCATCGCCGCTGATGTTGTTTTTGACTACGGCGTCGACTTCAGTACGCACGATCAGCTGGAGCTGTTCCTCGTCCTTCTCAAGAGAGAGGTCGAAGCGGCGGTACTTGTAGGCCTTGGAAGCGAGGGGCTCGCTCTCTTCGGACGCGTTGTAGAAGGGGTTAGGGTGGGCGAATTCGACCTTGGAGGTGTCAGATTCGATCACGGTTTGAAGAGCGAAGTTATGATTGATGACAGTGGCTTCGATGGCGAGGGCACCAGGGGTGTTGATGGAGTCTTGCTTGGCTCCTCCTGCCTCTGAGGCTTCGAGAGGTGCATCCTGAGCGTTCTCGTTGACTGTTACCAAGTCGATGGATGCGTTGTCACGTTTGTCGAAGTAAATCTTGTTGCCTTGTTGGATGATAACAATATCCCAAGAATACACGCTGCGAGGAGCGCACATCAGCATGGAGAGAATATCAGCCGTGGCGAACAAGGTGGCCTCATCCTTTTCGGCCAGTTCTTGGATGACTGGGTCGGCGGTAGTGGTGACGTTGTACGCAGCACGATCAAGAGACTGCAGTTTTCGCTCCGTGTTCCTCACAGGAGGTTTATCATATGTGCGATCATAGTAGTACAGGAAGCCGTAATTGTCAATATCCTCGCCATCAGGAGTCTCGAGGTTGAGTTTCGCAAGTCTTGTGAAGTCGATCTCCTCCCGCATGGTCCACTCAGTGCGGATGTGCACTGAGCTATCGCGATTACGTTGGGGTTTGTCGTAATCTCTCCATCCAAATCGGCGGCCCCGGCCACCTCGTCCACCCCGGTTGTCATAGTATCGGTCTCCGCCAGACTGACCGCCTCGTCCTGCACCCACTCTTTGGAAGCCACCGCGGCCGCGTTGTCCAGGGCCACCTCGTTGGCCACGGCCACGGAAGATGGTGCCCCCGCCACGACCAAATCCGCGAGTCTTCGTAGAGGATCTTGTATTATCGACGACAGAGAAGGAGGATTCATCTTCGGCCACCGGGACGGAGAACAGGCTAGATGTCCCAGCACCGTACACTTGCTGATCTACACAGTTATGTCGCATGAGTTATCAAGCTGGCGAAAATGAGATCTATGGAAAAATGAGTGTACAAACCTCTGTACAAGCGGTTATATGCTTGTCTGCCACCCCGTCCATCTCTTCCGTCTTTCCCTTCCGTAGCCCAATCTGCCATTCGCCCTAGCTTATCCCCCTTGGAGAAAGGGGCATATGGAACTCCATCGAGAGTGCTTTCGGTAGTGACTGGGGGTCCCCATGAGTCCTCTGAAGGGAGCGATGCAACGATATCTGTAATCGAAATAGGAGCCATGATGTCTGATTCCTATTCTTCGTCGATGAGTCGTTGTTGAGCGGATGAGGGCAGCTGTGATGTCGTCGACGTTGAATTTCAGACTTTTTTCATTTCAATTTCTCGATGTGGGAGGAAGTCTTGGCGTTGATTATATAAGACGTATCTTTACGTTTCGGTGTGTAATATTACAGCAGCGACGTATTTATAATACATGTAGCTAAAGATAGGATTTCACTATAAGAAATGTTGCGACTGTATACTGGAAAATTTTTTGAATGACTGATAATTCGATAGAGAACTTTTTACCAACCAGCACAACCAAGCAAACAGATATACACAGAGTGTAACAAGTGCTTTCAGATAAAAATAAATAGAGTACATATATATATAGCAGAAGAGGAGAATAGGAAGGGGAAATAACAAAATAAAAATTAAATGCGGTCCCACGCGAACGAACAAATTATTACACTGGCTGAATCTGTACTCCTCCCCATTGGCGATGGGAGAGTAATGAATGAAAATAAAAAGTGATATATTCCACTGAAATAAGTATAAAGACATCGAAACGGATCCAGAAGGGTGATTAAAATAGAGAGAGAACGAGGCATGTCTTTTTAAGAATACATCAAATCATCCGACAAACGTTGCCTGGGGGTTGCCGGAAGGGACGCGGGATCGTCAGGAGCGGTATCTATGAGAGACTTCAGCTTACTAGCAAGCACGCTGCTGAAAGAGTCCATGAACTCGAAGTCCTCCAGCACTGCACCAAACCCGTAGCATCGAATTTTGCCATTGAGGTCATCCATCATGTTCTCGACATCTTCTCGCGTTAATGACGGATACATGTCGTGGCTTTTCAAATACTGCAGCGCCATAATCGGTGTGATCTGCCCGTCCGTGACCAACTGGCGACTTAAATTGAGGAGTCTTGTTAGATTGCTATGCGGGAGATCGTACGTGCGGACGGGATACATCTGGCCCGGTTCCGTAGAAACGATTTGGGTTGGTGGTGGGCAGGATGCCATTAAGACATGTCCGGAGATCGTTTCGGTCTCCGCATCGTCTTCAGCTCGCCTGCAGAGAAATTCCATATGAGTTCGGCAGGATTGTTCAAGGCTGTGCTTCAGTGTTAGCTCAATAGCAACTGTACACCACCTAACACAAGAGATACGTGGGTGGGTTTGTTCTCTTCCTTACGAGAGGACGAATTCAACTCCCAACTCCGGTTCCTTTTCAAAAATGCCCGGCAGGTCGTCTACTACCGAACTATCACCCCCCCAAGCACTCGACTCCCCCAGAACGCCAGGCTGCTCGCTTTGAATCCCTTGTGAGCCCGAATATGAAGTAAATATATTTCCACTACCCTGCGGATCTGTGTAATCCGAGCCAGTCCCGGGACTCACAGTAGATACGGTGGTAGGAGTAGCAGTGGGGTAGGTGCCATCTCCTAAGAATCCCTGGGAGAGGGAGTGAGAGTGTGCCTGCGATGGGGCTTGAGATGGAGCATGGGAATGGGCAGTACTGCCGGCGAAGGAGTCTGTATGGGCGTGTCGGGCGCCGGAACGCAGAGCCAATTTTCGCTGCTCGAGTTCTGCCTCAAAGGGGATGCCATGAGAGGCGAGAATCTGTTTCAGCAATATGTTCTCGTCCCTGTGCTCCTGTAATACCCTTCTCTGCTGCTGAATTGACATATTTGACGCTTGGATTGACATATTGGAAGCTGACATATCATTGCTATAGCATTCTCTTAATCGTGATATTTCGGTCTCTAGTGCTCTGATATACTGTTCTTTCCGCTCTCGATGTGTTCTGGTATTAAGTTAGCAGCCGTACTATGCAAAACTTTCCATGTTAGAACATAGTGACTACCTTTGCGCTTGTCTATTTAGCTCTTGCCGCCGTGTCTGCGCAGGCTTGCTATCTGGTTTTGGGCCTCTGCGCTTTGGTGGCTGCCCTTCTGCTCATCGGGTTAGGACCATATATTATGTCACTTTAAGTCGCTGGGCTATATACCTCGCGTAGTTTTCTTTTGTCCAGTCAAGTTTTTCAGGAAGGACATGCTCATCAGTGATGGGCTTTTTGTGGATGTGGGTAGGGTGCCTGAAATCACGGTACGCTATTGTTCTACCCTTGATGGAGGACCCATGGGAGATAGGCAAATGGCATTTACGTTCCCGGGTGGAAAAGAGAGCAGAATGCCATTTACGGTGTTCCAATGGGCCCCCACGGAAGGGAAAACGAAAGCGCAAATAAGTGAGCCAATGCTGGTACAAACAGATAGATGTTCACGGACAAAACGCAACACAACGCAAGCCCAAGTTCTTTCTGTACTTTGCAATAACAAGGAAGGCAGGGAGACGTAAAAAAAATCAATGCAAAAGTTGGAGACAAATGTAACATAAGAAAGAGGAATCCATATATAAATACGTTTGCGGGTGAAATGTAGGACTGCATGGGTTTGCAAGGGGGTTCTTGGGGGGATGATATAGCCACCAATTTGGGGGTGTAACGGTATCTTCACACCAACGCAGAACCGAAGGGAAAAAAAAAAAAAAAAAAAAAAAAAAGGGTTGAGCAAGGTAGGGCAACTCTGAGGACGATAAAAGGATTCAAAGAAGGAGTCTATATATGTATACATATAGCTACATATACAGTCGGCATGCATACCTTGGTCGCCAGCGTTTCCGTTCCGCGAGCTTTGGTTGGAAGGGGAACCATTGTGGTGCCCGAGGGAGGCCATTTTCGACTTGTTAATATTTGCTATTCGATGAGAAATACCTTGGAGGCTGACAACTCAGAACAGGATATAGAGATGCCAGCACCCTCCTGGCGCATATCTTGTCGCTGGTGGGTTTGGACTACGGATACGGAGTGGCGCAGATGGCGGCGGATATAATGCGTTGAAGAAATGGCAGCGAAAATAGGAGTGAAACTGTGCGATCAGCCAGGATGCAAAGGTGCGGGTGTCAAGAAACCTAACCGAGCTGACGGTAGGACGCAAAGATGAAGCTGAAGGTGTCAGAGACCTCAAACAAAGCCAGATGTCATAGTCAATGATGAGGTCTGGTTCACGAAGGTGGCTGGTTGCTGCTGAGTAATAAGCGTCTCGGAGTTGAGTTAAGCTTGCTTGGGATTAGAAGTTCTGGCTCTATTTTTGTGTACAGAGAGAGAGGATAAGGTCGCGGGCGGATCAGTGGACTATTATTATTGTCTAGCTTCGGGCTGCGAGCCTTGGTTGGTTTCCTGCCGCTCAATTTATGTAAGTATACGCGCTGGAGGCCTTCAGGGAGAATGACTCTTGGAGAAGGGTGTGACATCAAAGAGGAACCTTCTTCGCAGAACCCTTGATACCCCGGGGCGACAAAAAAGAAACTAGGGAGAAGCAATAATTATGATTCCAAACGAAGTGGGCAGTGAGTATTTTCATGTTGTATTCTTCCCAACTTCTCTCAGCCATGAGGAACTAACCAGTGGTGACAGGCTTCCGGACCACCACCCACTAGGAATTCTGCGGCTGGCCATGGCCTGAGGAAGAACGCTGAGCACTGTTGGGATACCCGCGGCTAAGCAGCCCTAAATGCCATAGCCGTCACAGTCAACAGGGATAGTTGCTCCTCTCAGTTAGTTAGCCCGGCCTGAGGAGGTAAGTGAAGTTTTCGGTCAAACTTGGTCGGCGCAGATGCAGGGAGGCTACAAGTTTTGAGCTTAACCTGTCCTTGATATGCTCTCTCATTCGACCATCACCGTCCTGGATATGCGCCTTTCATTGAAAGAAACTCGCGTTCAGTTGTGCGGATGTTATTAATTCTAGATTAGGCTTGTCCTTCGGCTTTGCCTTAGTAGGTGCTATCCTGTTCTCGAGGTCTTTTAAGCATAACAACCATGGAAGGGTCATTGCACGGCTACCCGAGTGGCGTCCCGAGTGTTCATCTCTGCCCCCAACAAACTGAGGGCTCAAACATGAGCGTTGAGCTCAGAAACGGCGACCGTCTCCTCATTCGAGGATCTAAACACAGCAAGGGCAACGGCCATTCCGATAATGGCTGCTGAGACCCGTGAATGCTTCATGTCTGAGGCTCCGTGCTTTTTTTTTTTTTCAACTTCTCATTTAGCCCACGGGCAATCTAACCCCCTAAACGGGCTGGTTGGGTTCTTGATATGGGGTTAGTCCGTCATCTGATCATCCTCGTTTACCAAAATCGGGAAGATGGCCTTCATGCGGCGCCTTTTCGGGTCTCCCTGATTTAATGAGACCATCCTCTTCGCTACGTCAGAGGGCGATTACATGGCAAAGATTTTCAGTCTTCCCTTTGACTTGTCAAGGGGTTCGGCTTCATCCCCAGCTTCTCTCTTAGCTTCCGGTTTCAGGAAAGTTTACAGGGGGTAATGAATGATTCGGGATGATGTTTACGCTTGAGTAACCCTGGAAAACTTTTTGACTCCGTATTAATTCTATGAGTGGCATCCGCTGTGCATTTTCTCAGGGGCTACGTTCCCATTTCATTGATGCTCGTCCACGGACTGTACACAGTTCTAGTTTGACGCACAAGAGCCATCCTAGATTATGCTCCACTTTATTATCCATGGCATTTACTTGAGGCTTCTTTTGCTAGTGCGCTTTTTGCTCGTTCTTTCGACACCTGATTATAACTCTCTGTTCTAAACAATTTGACACTAGGGTCTCCTCCACGCCGGATCCCTCGCCAGGCCTTGATAAACAGAAGCATTGTTTAGGAAAGCAATGCCAACTCGGGCTAAAAAGTACTGAAAGCGATGAATATATGAATAATCTCTTCCGTCACGTTGGCTCATGCTTGTTGGTTGAGTAACAGGATGCTGCTGATGTTTGGCAATAAGTCCCTCAATGCTCATTTAACAGGGCGAAATGATCTCTTTCGAATATGTCCTTCCTTCAGGTTCGTTCTTCGAGTCCACAGAGCCACATCAGCAGCAGCAATTGCAATGTTGACAGCATACTTGCTGGGTCCATTTTCATTTGCAAGCCACATTGTTTGTAGCCAACGAATCCCAGTTCATATACATGTACATGTACATCCATGACTTAATACCATGAAGATGGTCCCGTTGACTATCAGATGTCAACCGCTGGAAGATATCGCTTAACTTATTCCACATCCCCAGGAAGCATATATCTCAAGTATGCATCAACAGAGCTTCCCTTCCCAGTGGCGAGCAGATTCTCCGTGGCTGGTAAAAGAGATTTGAGATGAGAGTATTTAACAGGTCCCTGAGCGCAACTGCAGTGAAATAGTAGAGTGAGACTGATATTCATTACACTGGAAAATCGCCCATGACATCCTTTGTTCCCCCTAGCTTTGCAGCATTGAAACGGCCATTATATAAATATTCTTCCTTAGATTGTAAAGTTTTCTGGTCTGACATGAAGTTTGTTGGCGAGGTTTACACAACATAATTATTAGTATCATCCTATATCATCCTCTCTGCCGTTCGGCTGTTCATGTCCCCCAAAGGTGGAGGTGGAGGTTAAATACACAAACTTCATGCTGTTCAACCACACTATCAAGGCGCTTCTTCTCCCACGCTCTGAAGAAGCTGCCGAACCTATAATACTAAATGTTATTTATCAACCAATGAGACTTATTCCCCGTGCCGACATACAAATGCTCAAGGTGCCGAAGCAACCAACATGTCGATACGATGGGCCGAGCTGGGTCCCGAATCTGAGATCCATAGACCGCAGATGGAGTTTGGCAATGCCCCTCTGCGGCCGAATTCTCAGTCAGCAAATGAGGGGTATAAGCTACAGGCGTACAGAGAACCAAGCAGCCCTATCAACGGCGGACGACTGGGGAGAGGAGACACAGACTGAAACTCCTGATCATGAGGATGAGGGGAAGGAAGGGGTTAAAACGGGTGCCGTGGACAGTTAATTTACCTATGTAAAGCCATTCATCCCTTCCACTCGAATTAAGATTCACTCACTCAAAAGCCCTCTTGACAATAAATTAAAATTATCGGAAGTGTTTATTTATTTCCATAGACTTAATTTTTAGTATCAAACTTCTACTCCAACAATGATGATCGAACCTTGGGAGGAAAAGGCCCAGACCGTTCGCGATTACCGCGATGCGACTCTCGCCAAAGTCGACCCTCCGCTCACCCCGTTGCCTGATCCGCTGCCGCTGAACTCAATAGATCTGCCCAAGCAGCTCCTCACTGCTCGTGAATATGAACTTACTCAGAATTACGATACCATTGCTCTTCTCCGCATGCTGCGCGCCAAGGAGGTTACCTCTGAAGAGTTAATCAGAGCATTCCTCCGTAGAGCTGCGATTGCTCAACATGCAGTGCGTGCTCCCGACATTCATTCATTCTCCTTCTCCCGCTATGATGTAACTACGCATTTGTATGTATGAAGTTGTCGACTTTTGCTGATCAAACCTGTTTTTAAACCAGGTAAACTGTGTTACGGAACTTATGTGGGACGAGGCCGTTGAACGAGCAAAATATCTCGATTCGCTCCCGAACCCCATAGGACCTCTACATGGACTACCTATCTCCATCAAAGAGCATCATGGCATGAAAGGTAAGAAATGCAACGCGTCCAGCGTCGGTTGGATCGATCATCCCTCAGAAGAAGGGTTTCTGAATGATACGCTATATCATGCCGGTTGTGTCTTCTATGTTCGCACCACTGGCCCCCAGCTTCTCATGCATCTGGAATGCACAAGCAATATATACGGCAGGACTGTCAATCCCCACAACCGTAACCTCACCTCAGGAGGTAGCAGCGGTGGTGAAGGAGCTTTGGTTGCAATGCGGGGTAGTGTTTTGGTGAGCTACATCAACACCAAAGTTTTTCTTGATCTGTATAAAAACTGTTTGTTTAAAGCACTCAATAAAATACTAAACTTCCAAAGGGTGTGGGTGGAGATATTGGAGGCAGCATCCGCTGTCCCGCGAGCAACAACGGCGTATACGGATTTAAACCGACCTGCACACGCATCTCTGCAAAGGGAAAGAAGACTGGAATGGTTGGCTCTGACGCTATCCTTGCCACTTATGGCCCGCTCTGTAGCAGTCGGGAAGCGATCAATCTGTTCATGAAGGTCGCATTGGATGGCCAACCCTGGCGTATGGACCCGTCATTGACACCGATTCCATGGACCCCAGTCACCTTAGCGAAGCCGCTGAAAATCGCCATCGAATGGGACGATGGTGTTGTTAAACCGCATCCTCCTATTCTCCGTGCGCTCAGAGAAGTTGCCAATGCATGCCGGAATGCTGGCATGGAAGTTGTCGACTGGGTGCCGCTGAACCACTCCAAAGCATGGGATATCATTTCCGCTCTGTACTTTACGGACGGAGGTGAAGATGTCCTTAGTTCCATAAATGCATCCGGTGAACCAATCCTACCATTAACCAAATTCATTATTCACGAGCAGCCAACCGTGAAGCTACATACCATTGCAGAATTTTGGAAGGTATTTATGTAACAACATATGCCCTTCGCCTTGGTAAACCGTAGCTAGTGGAGCTGACAGAAATTCTCTCAGCTGTGCCTTGAGCGCAACAATTACCGCGAAGCATACGCCAAACACTGGTCAGCAACAGCAACCATGCCTACCGGTGAAGTTGACCTGATTCTAAGCCCTGTCGGCCCTGGATGCGCTCCGCCTCACGAAACCGCCCGATATTGGGGCTACACGGCACAGTGGAATTTGCTCGATTACCCCGGTGCTGTTTTCCCTGTTACCACAGTAGATCCGGCGGTAGACACGCGCGACGAGACTTATCAGCCCCGCAACGACAAGGATCGATATAATTATGATCTTTATACGGGGCCAGAGAGATATGAGGGAGCTCCGGTGAGCTTGCAGCTTGTGGGTAGAAAATTCTGTGATGAGAAGGTTATCGCTGGGCTTGAGGCGATTGAGAAGGCGATGGGGAGAGAGTGAACCGAGTAGGGAAATGAATTTGGGAGCAAGAATTGCATTTCAATCAATTTGGAGCGTCTGACATGAGTTTCTCTCTGCATCGTGTATGGATTTTAGCTGTAAGTTAAATGCAAGACATAACAGATATCTTGAGTGGTGGCCTATCTCTATCTTAAACCAACATCAATCCAGCGTTTTGTAGGCTACTTAAATGGTACATGTACATTTCATTTGTTGTTGGATGGCGAGACAACATTCCGGCTTGGTTGTGCAGAGTTGAGTTTTCCAGAACTAAATAAATATTTAAAGGTTTAAATATAATAATATTTAGGACATGGATGGTCCCAAAGAGGCAACTTTGAACCTCACCCCGCGATTCAGCTTCCAACCACAACTTTTTGACCGCGGTTTATAATCTCGCCCAGAAAGCGCTGGCGAGTATCAACATATTGATGGAAGAAATAGAAAAGTCAAGTAATAATATCCCGGAGCGCATCTTACCATGACGATGATAGTTTTGGGCTTCCATCCCGTTCCCTGATGATTTGCTCCGATGCCCAACAGCACTGAAATACTCGTCCACATCTCGGCTCCCGGTACTATAAACGAGGATGCAAATTACCGGGCTCATGCAGATGCATATTTTGGCTTCGAGCCGGTGTCAAGGGTTAGGATTTATCCTGAGTCTCCGAGCAGCGAAACTGGTACGGACGAAATCGTTGATGCTCCACACCAGACAACCCCGCAGGCCGAAGGCGATGATGCCCTTCACCTCGCAGAGCTAGAGGAACGAGGCCAAAGCGGATCACAAAATATCCCTAATATTCTATCTTCAGGGAAGAGTACATCTTTGTCATCGGCATGGGGCCCAAGCTTCGGGGAAACGACATGTGGGCTGTTGGACTTTCCGGAGATCTCGATTCGAAGATCTTTTTCGCAGAGTGATACAGAGAATGTGAATGAGAATTCCTTTGTGACTACAAGTATTAATTCTCCTGAGGTCCCTGCTATCAGCGGCGGCCGAAGCCTACAATCAGCCATTCCGAACTCTTCGTTTACCGAGACGCCGCCCAGCGAAGTTCCCGATTCCCAGGCCTCCTTTCAAGCCAGCTGGGATGTTGAAAGGGACAATAGCCCGCCGAGACATTCAGGACAGGTTATTCAAATAGGAAGAACACCATTAGAGGCCCAGAGACCTCAGGCAAAACGACGCCGAATCTCGGCTTCTCCAGAATGCATACCGTCTTCCATTCCTCTTTCTTCAGCTACTCCTGCATCATCCGCATCTGAGCTTCCAAATACTTTACCATCACATCCGCAATCACAGCCACAGCCGGAGCGTTACCAGGCGTTAGATAACCCAGTAGCAACGGCACCGTCCGCAACCTTCGAGAGACTCTCGTCCTTGCCTCTTGAGATCAACCCACCGCGACCCGTGCCTTCTTCAACCGCTCAATTTACAACCCACATCACGCCCACCCTCCAAATGCTCACCAGCAAGCTCAAACTGTCCAGGGTTTATAACCCGTCGCGACAGACGCGTCCCTTACGGACCCTGGAGCGCGGCTACTGGCTTCTGAACCTCACCATCTCCGACTCCATCACCAATACCAACGGGAATAATAAGTACAGTATAAATGCGCCCCCCTGGGCTCCGCACAGCATTGCCACACCCACCAGCAAGCCCTGGACCAGTAAACACTTCTTCGATTTCTGGGACTTCCTTTCAAAATTCATCGCCGACGATGGCCGCGCCGGCTGGGGCGTCTGGTGCATTTGCGAACCACACCCCCACCCTCCTCCCTCCTGCTCGACGTGCTCTGCCTCCTCCTCCCTTTCACACTCTGTAATCGACCTCACGTCTCCAGACCACATCCAATGTTCTGCGGAAACTGGAACCCAGTCTGATCGACAAGAGGGCAGGGGAGGCCCGGGAGGAGCTGCTAACGCGAAACACGTCACGGTTAAAATATACACATGGGGCGAAGTCGCGCCGCATATTTACTTATTAATGTATCTTGCTAGTGATAGAAGCGTGCGAAAAGTACCGGGTGTTCAGTGGAGGGATGGAGCGGAGGAGCCGGTAATTTTTATGGATTGATTGGCGTTTCTTACCAATTATTATGACGATATTCTTTATACTTTAACAAGCATCAAACGCTCGCTTACGCTCGCTTTGCTGCTTGCGCTGCCCCCTCTACCACCACCGCCTCTACCGCCCCGCAGCCCCCCCTACCACTTCCACTCTCTACCCCTACGCCCCCCTTACCACCCCTACCACCCCTTCCACTCTCTACCCCCATATCACCCCTACCCCCTCTACCACCACTACCACCTCTACTACCCCTATCACCCTCTACCCCTACCACCCCCTTCTACCCTGTATCACCCCTATCACCATTATCAGATTAATCAGAGTCATACAGGCCGCAGAGCTGGCTGTTCAATCCCATCCATGAATTCAAAGAGATGCACATGACATCACACGAGATCATATTACAGAGCATTTAGCAGTGTAGACCATGAACACAGAGATCAAAAATGAATATAGAGAAAAGTATAAGAAATGTAAATACTGTAGAGAATGTATGAAAAGAGCAGAATGAAAAAAAAAGAATAAAGATTTGAAGATTGATCTGAGCTGTATGAGTCAGAGCATTCAAATATTCATTTTGCTCAGAAAAGTTGGTTTTTCTATAATAAATAGAGAGAGATATGAGAGACCATATAGATGGAGCAATTGCTAGGAAGCCAACTGAGCAGGCGCCACTACATGTTTTTTGCATGGAAAAGTTGGTTTTTCTATAAATAAATAGAGAGATTTTTAGGCCTTTTCTCAGGCTCTCAGAGTCTGATGAAAGCGACTTTTTCTGCTCGGGATGTTAGAGCCTTCCCGAGATTGACGGCTCTGAAATGTTCAATGTTCAATTTAAGGATCTTATAGCTGTGGGCTGTGCCTAAATAAATATACTCCATGTTCTCTGTCGACTGAAGGTATCTATGAGGGAAGGGAAGCATGGGTATAAGCTGGCTTGATTCCACATCCACCCACAACTATCCGTCCATCCATTCCTTTTTGGGCAACATTGATATGATAATTCATGAGAAGAGGCAAAGGGATGAGAAAAATAAAATGACGTTAGAAGATTTATAGATATAGATACACACATTTCTTCCTGATTTGATTTGGGAAAAAGAAAAGAAGCGATAAAAGAAGCGATAAAAGACGCGACCAAAAAAAGGTAGAGCTAGCTAGCACACTCCTTTCAGGCAAATTTGGCAAAAAGCCCAAACGAAAAAATTAGAAAAGGGAAAATAATTTGAACGGGAAAACGGGGAAGAAAGAAACAAAGAAAAAACGCAAGAAATCAATAATTCAACTCCCCGCTTCCAGCTCCCCCAACTGCGTCGAGATCCTCGTAACTCTTCAAGCTACGGCCTTGTACTGCTTCTTTTGGACCCATGGCTTGTGCGCTCCCGCCTGCGCCATCACCCCACCGACCGCTCCCGGGACCAAACCCACCACCAACTCCAGCGGCGATTGCGGCTGGGTGGCCGGGTGGGATGTACGCCGCCCCGGAGGCTGAAGGTAGGCGACCACCAGCCGCAGACATGCCGCCCATTCGAAGGGGGCTGAGTCGACCGTTGCCGCCCATACTTCCGCCTGCGCCTCCCGAACCGAAACGACCGCCCCGCCGGTCATATGGGCCCATTCTATTGACGCCGTAGCGGTTACCCCGTCGAATAACTCCTGGGTTATGCAAACCTGATGGGTCTCCAGATGCAGTGCCTGTCATTGGGAGTCCATTGCCAGTCCAGCCTGGGCCGGCTGCATTCATGAAACCGGTAAATCCTGCTGCGGATGGCGGTAGGCCCGAGAAAGGATGTCCGCCAGGCATTGGGCCATTCCCTGCTCCGAAACCAAATGGCATGTTTGCAAGATTGAATCCACGAGGTGTTCCGGTGGCCATATGGCCGGATGGGTATGTGAAATGGCCGTTGCTGGTAGCATCGGATCTTGATGGGGAGATATGCGCTGGGTCGAGGACATAGGCATTGACCAGGAGTAGCTAAGATGCGAAATTAGTATGATAAGACAAATGAGCAAAGGAATTGTCCTGTGCTTCAAACTTACATCTCTGCGGATATCGCCATACCAATCCGGGTGGCGTTTTTCCACATGCTTTCTCCAGAAGTGGTGGGCCTTAAATAATTTGGTACACTCTGGTACCTTGCAGCGGAATTTAGCTTCATCTTCTTGCTTGACAAATTTCGAGAGCTCTTCTTCCACTGCCTCATCCACGGGTTTTCCTCCAAGTTTTTTCAAGTCCACATTCTCGGGCTCCAATATCTGTAGGAGCTTTTCCTCAAACGTCCGCACCCAGTTGAAAGCACGCTGAGTCTGCTGTTCAGTCTTCGATGAAAAGTGTGATGGTTTTTTCTCTTCTACTGGAGACGCTCCGTTCTGTTCTTCTTCGGTAGTTTCTTTTTTCTTCGTAGGGAACGGCTGACCGAGAGCGCTGGCCTTTGCCGCGGCTTTTGCTTGGGTACTCAGTCCGGAGCGAGGGCGGCGAAGATGGCCACCAGGGCATTTACGAACAAGCTCGTGAATCGAATCGCTCTCAAAAACGCAGAAAAAGCAGAAGTTATAAACGCGACGCAGATATTCAACTAGCAAATCCAGCTGCTTCTTTTTAATGAGCAGGTCTTCACTATCGACTTCCTCATCGTAGGACTCTTCTTGTTCTTCTCCTTCCTCGGCCTCCCCATCTTCCAAGAGGATCATGTCAACGTCTGACTCGAACGGCTTGCTTTTCTTTTCCTTTGCGGTGCCGGTAACAGGAGGGCGGAGTAACCCTTTTCCACGTAGTTCTTCGACTCGACTCTCAATCTTCGATAGGCCGTTAGCTGACCCAAGCTCTGAATCAAGTTTAGATACCATCCGTTTAGCCAGCTCGAGATCCCTCTCGATACGTTCAGGGGCGGAGAACAGATCCCAAAGTGCTTTTTTTCTCGGATTCGTCGGGGGAACGTGGACGCCAACGTGACATACAAAGTCGCCGCGAATAGGATCATGGATGGTTTTTTCGTTAACCGCATCCAGAGCCTTTTCAGCAGCAGACGTGTTGTTGGATCCATTTGCCGCACTGCCATCCACTTCCTCACCTTCTTCATCCCTACCATCGCCTCTCTCGATAACCGATGGACCTTCAGCTGCTGGATGAAGCATAATCCAACCCATCCGGTGACACTTTTTGGCAGGGTTAGGGTCACTCAAGCTAAGCCACTTGAACCCGCCATCTCCTTCACCAAGGTGTTCTTTGCAGAAATCTTCAATTTTGTCACGGCTTACATTGGGCGCTAAAGTTTTGATCAAAAGAGCAGGTTGAAATTGCGAATCGTCGCGTAAATCTCCTCCGCGTGCGGGAACCAGATCGAGCACACTTAGGGTTTCTCCCACTGCCGTCGCTTCTCCTTCCTCCTTTTCAATGATACCACCTGCTCCGTCGCTTTCACTTTTGTAGATACCTTCCAGGGTAAACTCGTCAAATACTCCAGCGTCGACATCTTGTTCCCACTGTCGATACGCACCAGTTCTGAACTCCATCAATCGCTGGCGAAGAGGGTCCCTAGTTTCGGGAACATATCTTTCCTTGAACCACTCTTCCGTTTTGTGTTGTTGGACAAAATTTCGAGCCATCTTGATTTGCAGTTCAGCCTTGTAGGCGTCATAAGCCGTTTGGATCTGTGCGCGTTCCTTTTCGCGGTCTTCCCGGGCCTCTCGTTCACCCTTGACTCGATCAGTGGGTCGTCTTCCACCGAGTTTAGCCCGCTCTTTTTCTTCTTTTATTGCCTGGTCTGCCCTCCACCATTCTGCGAACCAGTTGAACCCTACTTGGAAGTCGAGGGTTAACGGGTTGGGCAGAGGGTTGGTTCGTAAAACGGGCTTCGCAGAATCTTGTCCTGGAACATATCGGTCAATGTTTGCCGCTACAGGGGATGGTAAACGACGGCGCTCTTCTCGATCACGGGCTGCAAGGTCACGAGACGCGGCATAATATTCATCGCCACGAGGCGCACGTTCTCGATCGCCAGGTTGATACCGATCAATTGCGACAGGAGATCGAGATCGGCCACGTCCAGCGGCTCGACGACGGTCTTGGGAGGCTGGGAGCTGTTAATAATTTTGGCGAAGGTCGACAGGAGACACAGCACAGAAAGCATAAATCCGAGATAATATTAGAAAATTTATACTCACCAGGCGACCTTCGTCGATATGAATCCATGGCTGGCCTTGAAGAAGCAAAAGCGTCCTCTTCGCGGCTCCACCTCGCATCACCTTTAGCCGAGGTGGCCGTGGGGGAGCCGAAAGAATCGTATGACTCCATCAGGAACGCAGACACGTACACTTCTACCAAGCGTTGTCATGCAACACTAGCTTAGTATGGAAGTTGCTGGCTCCGAACTGGTATTAAGGGTTAAGGAATTCTATCGTGGGGAGTATGGTGGGCGATGGCGCATAAAACTAGGCCTCGTAAAGTTATACACCGGGGGACGAACCTCGTAGACCCGGAGACCGAAGGGGCGAAAGTTGGAGCTATGAGTCGACATTTTGAGGGTTAGAGTAATGTTTTCAAAATATTTAGCTGAAGGAAACGGAGGGGCGAGGGACGAGGAATGTAGAATTAAAGAAGACGAGGATTCAAAAGCGGCTGAAGAGACGAGGGAGTCCAAAAGCGACGAGAGAATTGGGTCGCCAACTGATAGCGATAAAAGAAGAGTAAAGAGAGAAATAAATATGAATGATAAGCTTCCTGGTGAGCACGAGGCGCGAGAATCGCCTTGAGGAGAAGCAGAAAGGACAGGAAGAGAGACAAGAGCGGAGGGGCAGGTATTTGATAATGAGAAGAAAAGGGAACCGAGCAAGATGGGCGACGAGGCTTTGGCAGGAGAAAAAGAACAAGGAAGGGATGGATCAAGATGTAAATAAAGGAATAAACGGGATGACGTGAACAAGCACAAGACAATGGATGGTTGAGGCGGCCGTTAAGGTGGAAAGACAAAGGGCAGGGTAGTACAGTACAAGGGCGAAGGGAGAACGAGGGAGAAGAGGTGAGAGGTTCGGCAACCTACAAGAAGCCTAGAAAGATCAATCCCCAAGGTGTCGAACAGAGCACAGAATCTGTCCAGGGGATGGCGGAGCAATTGACGTTGTGAGATCGTCGACAAAGAGTTGAATGATGTTGGCGACGGCGAGGTTGGTGATGGAACACGAGGAGGCGCCGGTGGTGAGGCTTTGGTCACGTGGAGCTGAGTCAGTGCTGAGTCATCTGACCGGCTCGGCCAAGTCCATGGATTCATAAAAGCTTGTATTGGCAAGGGGGGGAAGAGATGTTAAAAGTCATGCAATGGGCGTCAAATGCGCCTGGGACAACGTCCTTGCCGTTTAATTGCGAGGCAGAAATCAGGTGTCCTGAAAAGGAAATTGTGTACAAATGGAGCATAATTGCCGATATGTACAGTACATGTACATGTACATTACATACATTTGGCTGTCAGGGAAGCTGAGTGAATCGAGGAAGAAACATTTTGTGAATCTTCGACATTTCCCTTATCACGAAGGCAGGGGCGCCGATCTATAAGGTTTCGGTTTCATCGGAACTATTCGGCAAGGGGCCTCTTACATCCTTAGCCCTGTAGAAGCACACTTGCCGCTGAATTGGAGTTCGCCTGAGATGGTCTTCGAAAAAGACGCCTACCAAGTGATAGGAGAGTCAACAAGTCCATACATTGAAGTGCTTTTTAAATAGTGATACATTTCCTGTCAAATGTGAATGTACATGTACATGTGAAACAAACTCCATAGTGAAAAGGGACAAGAGACGTCATGCTCAAGCAGCCTTCCATTTTTGCAAGTTTAATCAATTCCTACGCGAATAACTATGCTATCCGGGCAGTCTTCCCCTTGATTTCGAGGTCCGCCGCGTACATACACCTGCCTGCTGGGCAGTTCGCATGGAACAGGATCCTTTCTCCATTGTCCGCAACAGTAGCTCCCCCAGGAGCCTTCAATCCATAGTCACCCGATTTAATCAGCGGCTTCGCCGCCTTCACATACGGCCCCCTGATCGACCGCGACGTCGCATATCGCACATCATACGCAGGACTCGTCCAGCAATGCGAAGAGTAGAAGAGGAAATAAACTCCCTCCGACGACCGTATCAGGCTGGGCGCCTCAATCAGCGGGCCGTCGCTCTCATCGCGGTCGAGAATCGTGGTCGGATCGCCGACTTTTGTCACGCCGTCTCCTTCTACCCTCTGCAGGTAGATGGGTGTCGGGACGATTGGTGGGATGCTGTTTCCGCAATCACCCCCGTTACCAATGCTGTTGCCGTCGACTTTATACACCACCCAGCGGGAGCCATCTTTGTCGAGAAAGCCAGCTGGGTCGATCGAGCCACCGGTTTCTATGTGACGGGCGAAGGGCTCGTCAAGTGGGTGGTAGGGTCCCGCGGGATTCTTGCCTTCAGAGATGGCTGCGGCGACATAGTGGTGGCGGGGGAATTCTTTGGGGACTCCGGAGTAGTAGAGGACCAGTTTTCCGTCATCCTGTATCGATGAGATTGTTTAGTTCATTCACAGCGAGCCAAATTACTTGAAGGTCGTTGGTAGGAATATCATAAATAACAGAAGGGCGGCCAATTCACAATCGTAAAGATTCGCCGTAGAAAAAGAAATCGTTTTGGATAATCATCAACATACCCTCACAATAACATGCGGAGCCCATTGGTCACGCGGAATTTCCCACGGACCAAGGCTAGCCAAGGCGTCTGTGTTGAGTACTGCCCACTTTTCAAAATCGCTGGACTTTGCTACCTGCACCTTTTTGTTGTATGCGTTGGTGCCAAATGCATACCAGTCAGCACCAACCTTCAGGATTGCAGGATCCGGGAAGTCTTTCGGAATCACTTGGTGCGGGCCAGGTTTGGCAAAGCGGCCTTGAAAAAGAGTCGTGTTCACGGCATTTATAGTATAAGCAAGAGATAAAACGGACAATAATGATTGAAGAAGGCTACGCATCTTGGAAAGAATTAGGTCTTCCGTGTATGGACCGATGAAGATTCTCCTTCTTTTGTTTGATTAACAGACGAATGCTAATCGATTCAAGAAAAAGAGGAAGGAGAAAAAAAAAATTTAAAACAAAAGAAGATCCCGAGGGGGGGATATTCGACACAAAACATAGCTTATATAGGGGAACTGGTGAACCTGTCATAACTAGGCGGATTATTTATCCAGCCACACACCCCAGGGACGGGATGGAAATAATCAAAACTTCCAGAACAGTGCGATCGACACACCTGAGAGCATTCTTGATTTTATCCATGTTCGCACTTGCGTGGCGGGAGCGGCTGAGAAGGATCAGTCCGTTTCATCCTGCGTAAGTTGGGTTGACAGCTACCACCAGTTAACTTTGTTAATTCAGATGATCCTTCGTTCACTGTCAACTGTAGACCGGATGCCATGTTTAGGACGCTCTAAAATGTTTTTGTACAGCTGGATTGTTTCGCATCGTACAATGTCAGTGATTGTCAGTAGTAGTTCTGGCCGCCAGAAACAATGTCCTGAACGACGGAAAAGACAGACAGGTTTTGATATTATTATTGTAGATCATCGCGACGCAATATATATATATATATACTGAATTTAACTTCCCAGGAAAGGGCGCCAGCGTCTGAATCGGGGAGACTAGGGCATGGCAGCCAGTAAACCCTAACTAGCCCCATTTGGGATGGCGTAATATATGGATGGACGCCCCTTGTTTATTTTTAGGCTTGGAACCTCCAACAAATGGCGAGCTTTGAGATACTCGTGCAGAGAGACTGGGAAGCGGTGGAGATGGATGAGGTGGTAGTTGAGGCTATGCCCCGTCTCATGTTGAGCTTATAATTGATGCCGATGAATGTACCAACTGCATCTAATGCGGTGGCTCGACCTGGACTCGCTCCCCAAGGCATTCTCCAAGATCAACCAAGATCTGCTCAACCACACCTCGTCAATTGTCGAATTCAAGAGTAGGATAGGCACATGGATGTACTTTGTTGCTGAATTCAATGAGCATAAAGCTGATAAAAAAAAACAGTGAGAGAGCAGGCTCTACTATCGTCCCATCCCCATCCCCTTTTGTATTTTGAATATCAGAGGGCAAACAACGACAGGGAAAAGTTATGACAAGAAGCAAGGAAACAAGACGTCCCGCGCCGCGCGAAGATCCAGGCCTCGCAGATGTTCTGTGGAGCTGTGAAGATGCTTCCCCACAGGAACTATCTTAGTGATTGATCTTCACCCCACAGAGCCACGCGGATGAGCTCCCCTGGATGGCTTTGAAGCGGCCGAAGATTTTTTTTTTCTTTTTTTTGCGAAAACAATCTGTGCTTTCGCTGAAACATCACGTTCAAACTATTTTGGCTGCTTCAGAATATCGAAAAAAAAAAAAAAATCGGAGGGATATATCTAGAGTTAAATGACTCCAGAGGTCGTGATAGTAAATTGACACCTGTCTGAGCTAGATAGCATGGCGCAATTATCCATATACGAAAGAAAAAGGAAGAGAGAGAAGAGGAATGAAACAGCAGGAAGGTCAATACCACTTCCTGCATCCATAAGAGTTTATTAACCTGGAAAAGTGCCATGTATACTGACTCTTTCCTTTCCAATGGTTAAGATATGGAAACATATGGATCATAGGTGTTTCAGGCCAGTGACATTTCCTTTGAAATCGGAAACAGAGACGGCGAGATTATCCAAAGATTACCTTCAGAACAAATATGCCATGGAAGAAAATTAAGTGCTGGAAACAGAAACGGAGGCTGAACTGCAAGCTCATCTTCCCCCAAATAACATGTCCAACTAGACTTCGGTTCTTTGAAACATTTCTGCCATTCGCCCAACGTGGCAATAATGAATGTGCAACGTTAGTGAGACAGCGAGAGCAAAGAAGTTCATCCAAGTGAGGATATGAAACTCCATGGGGAAAGCACACTGGAATTGTGCGATATAGTTACTGTCTGCATCCAAGGAAAATAGCTGGCTGGCGAGCAAAACATTTTACATACAAAACATCCTTCTAACCGTGGAACATGCACGGTGATGATATATTTATTCGACCGAAGCTGGACATTCGTTCTACCCGCGGAGATCGTTTTTAGAAATAATAATATTATCTCAACAGGCCAGTCGCTCCCAACTTGATCATGAACAGCGGTGTTTTTTTGCCGCTGGGAACCGGATGTCGCCCATTTCCATGATGTTTCCTGCGGCGAAGGATTAACAAGAAAGAGAATATTGAGAACGACAAGAACAAGCCGAATTAAGAAATGCTCAGTGATATCTCACACATGGGCCATTCATTATTCTGATGCAACACTTCCTTGTCGCAGTCGGTCACGCTGAGATATTTAGCGAAATCGCCATGACTGACAGATTGATATAACTAGTTAGTTACTTAGCGCGGCGCATTAATTTAGCGCCCATGCAATGCCCTGGAATCATCCCGACGATCTCTTAAAATTCCCGCTCACCCTGAATTGAAGAGCGTCAAAGTTATCTCGATCACTTCATCTCCGTGGATTACATCCATGTAAGTGGTTTTCTTCTCTGGCCTGCCCGCATGCTTTTGCACCGAAAACAGCCAAAATCAGGGACGATTATTCTCCGACAATCTTCCATCAAATTTATATGCGGGGGTTCGCCGCCAAGAGTTTATTTTTTTTCTCCGCACGCACTTTGCTCCTAATAATTATTAACTAATAATCAGGGACTTTTTTGGACTGGTGCTATTCAACCAATGAATAACCTGAAAAATGGCAACCGAAAATTAAGCAATATTAATAATATTTCTCTCGTCCCGCGGAGACTTTGGTTGCTAAAAAAATAGCCCCTCATTTTTTATCCAACACTAGTTTGACGCAGGCTTGAGAGGCGAACGGTTTGTTGTCTTGAAGATGAGGAGGGAGGGTTCCAAGCTCGCATTATTATTATTATTATTATTATTATTGACTCCGCACGGTGCAAACTGCAAAGCCTGATCAGCCACAGTGTGGGGGATCAACATTCAGACCAATAAGCAACCTCTGCAGACAAACCCACCCATGGAACCGGCGAAGCGAGCGAGCAGCGGAGAATCAATAGCTCGCTGAATCTAGATAGTGCTGCATCCGATTGAACCAGGTCGGCTTGTACATGCATGTACATGTACATGTGCATGTGCATGTCTAGCTACATATCCCCTACCACATTTGGCACCGTGTCTTCGGGCTATGAACCCCCGGACTGTACTCTGCATGCCGGGGCTTTCCCTGTGGGCAGGTGGTGTGCTATGACGGGGGTTGGGGGGGGTATCTCGGTTTCTCTAACTCGAGATCCGGTGCGAGAGAGATCAAGGCCCCAATAGGCCATGACCCAGCCGAAAGATCAGATGCTATCAGATGCTATCAGATGGATCCAGGTATCCCTGAGAGAGGCTGCGGTTCAATTTTTGATGAGTTGCCTCTGAAGCCGCATGGGTTGTACGATAATTGATGTTGTTAGAGTTTACCCCATTCCCCGCATATGATATGGATGATGTTCGGTAGAAGTGGCCATTATTACATGTATGTACTGTACGGAGTTACTAGTACATGTACATGTACATGTACATATTATTTTTGCCCCTGGTTGATCGCTATGTATGGAGTACAGGTTCGTCATTTTAACATTATTGTTGACTTCAGCTCTTATTAGGTATCTTTACATCCAAAAGGCCTAGACCCAAAAGGTGACGTTTTTCTACATATTTTATTTTACTTTAGAACCTCAACCTTGATATGTTCAAAGGCGAGAAATCTCCTACTACTAACATACCTGTCACCAAATCGCTCTCAGCCCTAACAATAACGAACACCCATCCAATGGCCCTAGCTTTTGAAGATCGAAGTCAGCTTGCCTGGTTGGTACATGTACATGTACATAAACCAATAATAATAATGATAAATAGCGGCAATATGCCCAGTATGACGTGTGTTCAGCAGCATCCGTGTTTTCCGTCTCAGGCCTCTGCAAGTCCGCAGTTACATACATAAACCTCTCCCTTATCAATCTCGCGCCAGCCAGGGATATATGGAAGCTAGCTATGAACCCAGTCTGGCAATTCCCTGTCCTGTCAAGAGTAAGTTAGCTCATTATTAGCCGAAGATAGAAATTTAGTACTTTCATTAGAAGGTTTGTTTTACCCTCGAACTATTATTTCTTAGTTCTTCTCTAGAAGGCTTCCTGTTAAAGACGCCGTCCGATGGAATCCCTCCGGTTTCTCACAGCAGCAAAGCAAATTGTCTTTTACGCAGTAAGTCCCCGGTGAACCCTCACTTCCCAGCTTCGTTACCAAAGCCATTCTCTCCGCTCTCAAAAGCTAGCTACATAACTGATTGCACGGATTATTCCCCAACAAGCACCCTCTGCCTGTAGACGGTGCTTAAAAATAGAACTGAACAGGATATTGCAAAGTATCTTGTATCTTAGATACGACACGTACATGTACTTCCCCTCCCCTTCCCTCGAGGGGTCGGTTAAAAAAAACTCAAGTAAAAACGAACTATTGGACAAGTGAAACATAACAAAAAGCCACCCCCGGCATGACATATTAGCCGCAGCTGGGCTAGCTGGGCTGAGCACCTAACACGATGGCGAGGAGGTTACACAGTGCAGTGGGGGGAGGGGAGGGGGGGGGGGAAGAAGAGCAGGATGGGTGGTTTGATCAGATTCCTCCTCGCCATCTCGCCAGAGTTTCTCCACCGCAACCCCCCCCCGTCTTGCTACCAGAGACACGGGCTGTATGTTAGAGCAGAGGGAGCGGTTACATAGACAGGCAGGGGGCAGGCCAGGTTGAGGTGGCCGCTGGCCGCGGAACTACTCAGTTTATATGCTGAGCCGCTGTTAAACGAGGGGAAGGGGAAAAAAGAAGAAGAAGAAGAAGAAGAAGAAGAAGAGAAAAGGTCAACACGTGCGATGGTTAGTTAGTCTTGTTGCGTGCTTGCTTTGCTGCCTTCCCTGCGTGCCATGTTCCATGTTTAGGATTGAGCGAAGGATTGCGGCGTTATATTTAGCAGGGCTTGGGGGCGGATGCTTGGTTAGTTCCTGATACGACGTTTGCTTCCTTGTCAATGAGGGGGAGAAAGGCACCGCCTTTTCTCGGGGGAAATACGAAGCATGGTAGGGTAGGGGGTAGGGGGTAGGGGGTAGGGGGTAGGGGGAAGCGTTGGGCCTTATCATGGAAAGGGAGCATGTTAAATCAGTATGTTTAATGTCTATTCTTTTATGTATGTATGTGTCTCTGTGCAATGTACCAACAAAAATCTGTCGTCCAGGCCTGGCCATGCCATGTCAATAATAACATTTGGGACCGGGGGTGAGAAGGGCAGGGGGAATCATCAGGGAGAAGGTTAAGCAGAAATATATCCGGTACACTCAACGAACCTAGTGATGTACATGTACATACATGTACACACTGTCCATGAGGTAAAAATAACAATTAAAAATTTTTTAAAAAAAGGCGCCGTATATACAAACAATTGAAGAATCGAGAAAAGAGTAAAAGTAAAACACCCTTGATCCACAGCGCCGGGGACAATTAGAAAAGATCATCATAAATATGAAAAAAAAAAAATGCACTCGTCCCAGAACAGGAAGAAGAAAAAATAAGAAAATGAGATATTAACAGGATGAAAATGTACAGAAGCCTGAAATCTCTAGCCGTGTGGATATAAATAGCAGGACGAGAAAAAAAAATAAATAAATAACAGATCTAGCCCTTTTTATGCATAGTGCAAGAAAGGGAAAAAAAAAGAAAAGAAAAGAAATCATTAACATCCTGACTTAGGACTTAGGTAACTTCCAATCCAACACGAACGACTCAAAAGGCACACCACGCGCCGAATTCGGATCCCCGCTCGAATCAGTATACAGCACCGGCTCGAAGTCGCACATGGACGCATACGCATGCATCAGCTCGCGCCAGTAACACGCCTCCGCCGCCGGCGTCAGGTACCGGTCCCGGAACGTGCGCACCGAATTCTCAGCGATCCTCTCCGCCACATCCGGGTTGTCCAGTAGGTAGTTCATCTTGGACTCCAGGTCGGAGAAGTCGCGTTTCACTTTGACGTAGTTGGCGTCCGGGCCGGCAGCGACCAGGGCGCCGTGGTGTGCCTCGCGCCAGTTCAGCTGGTGCGCGACCATCACCGAGCGGCAGTTCTGGAGGTACTTGCCCCGGCCGGAGTAGCTGCGTCCCTCGACGTGGGCGACAAACATGTATCTGCAATGATCTTCGATCGGGATGAAGTTTTCCTGCATGCTCTTCTCGTCGGCCCATGTGAGAGGGCGCACGGAGGCCCAGGATTTGCCCTTTGTGGCATCGACGAGGCCCTGGCGGAGTTCTGGCGCCGTGGCGATGGCGCCGCGCCATAGGAGCTGTTTTTTCTTATCCTGGAATTTCAGGGGCGGGTGCGCTTTGCCGTTTATCACAGTGCCTTCGTCGATGGCGGCGATTCGTTGGCGGACGCTGCGGTATTGGCCTGCTTTGATCTCGGGCCAGGACCAGTAGCCGAAATCGGGCATGAGCCAGGCCCAGCCGTCGTCTTCACGTTTGGAATACACCCATACGGGGTGTGGGTCGTCGTGGAAATCTTCTGTTGTGAAGATGAATTCAATGTTGGGTATTTCATTGGGGTTTGGGATGGCGCTTATGGCACGATTGAGGGCGTTTAGGGACGCCTTTGCTCGGCTGAAGGTGTATCTCATATCTTCGAAATTTATGACATAGAGCTAGAATAAATGGGGAATATGTTAGCACACAACATATATATATATATATATGGATTGACTGGGTTTTGGGGGGAACACCGAACGCACCGCTCCCTGATAAACCATAGCTCTAACCATCGAAGTCTTCAACGGCTTCGAATTCAGCTCATCAAAAGTAATATTCCTCCCCCGCCTCGCCACAACCGCCTTCTCAATCTCAACATAGAGCTTCGGAAACGCCTTTTGACACTGCGCCCTGCTTAAGCCGTAGTTATCGCCGTCACGCTCCGTTTCGAACTTCCATGGTGCGTCCCCAGGACAGGCACCGCCGTTGTTATTGGACCCCGCGGCCGGGATGACGGGGCGACATGGCGGGAGCTGGGACTGGGATTTCGGCTGGTAGGACAAGCCGTTGAATATGTGGTAGAAGGAGGCGTACAGGATGCCGCTGATGAAAACGGCGGCGATGACGGCGAGCGTGAAGTAGCGGCCTGATAGCCCCAGGAGCACCATCCCTCTTCGATTGATTGATTGATTGCCACGGGATTTGTTCTTTTGCGTTCTTTTTTTTTTTTTTTTTTTTTTCTTGTCTGTTCTCCCTCTTCTTCTTCTTCTTAGGCTTTGTTGCGCTCAGTTGATTTGGTTGTAGTTTCCCTTCCCAGGGCCGAGTGATGGACGGAGTTTGACCTTGCAGACTAGGTTCGCCAGACTATTCTCCATGCAGGGCAAAAGAGTAAAAGGACTGCGTGTGAAGGGGTGGATTAATTGAAGAGAAAACGATCGAAATAGGGGGAATGGATGGCCTAGGTGTGGACGACACGATGTGGTTGTTTTTTTTGTGTTGATGCCCGTCGCAAGCCTAAAAAACAACGGCTGACGTCGAGGCTGGGCGGGCTGTGCTATAACTAATATTTAATACGCTACGGGCGTGCCTTCACTAATTCGCCGGTAAGGGATTGGCGAGACACCCGCTGGAGATTAAATAATAATAAGCACAACATTGCCCGCTCTTAAATAATGGGCTCGAACTCCACAATTGAAAACAGGTATTTTAAAGATCAGAGAGAAGATATGACACTTGATGTTGGTCTGTGATAAGTTTTGTATTTATTTATGTACTGTACATGTACATTACAAAGTGCCTATCTATAGTGACAAACCCTGGGCAATAACGTGGAGAATAAATCGAGATGATGCTGCGGGAGCGTGGATTCTCGCAGGTCTTAATAGCCAAACCCTGGATTATATACGCGTAGGACCCACAGACCAAGAAACATGGGGCATCGAACCTAACCTCCATCCACACATTGCATACCCGTTTATTTAGACAATTGAACCAAAAAGTTGTGTGGTAATAATGATATTCATGAGAACGCCTCTTGATAATTTGGAGAGAAGTAGGGGGGAATAAAAGAGACACACGTATCGAAATGCAGGAATAAATAACTAACTAGGCAAAAAAGAAGCTAAAAAGTCAAAAAGTCAAAAGGAAAAAATATTCATCATTTCACGGATGTAGTTTACATCCAACGCACGGTTCCGCATGCTCGTTGCTCTGATATATGTCCGGCCTCGGCTTCCCCGTCACGTTTATGAATCCCACACAGCCCTTATCCAGCCGGAATATAGCGTGGTCCACCAGCGTGTATGTCCCCGGTACAACCGTGTTCATGTCAAAAATAGTCGCTCCGCCGGGAGGTACGGTGGTCGTCTGCACGTTCTGCGCGGGGGGGGTCAGGACGTCCCCGTCACGGTAGAGTTTATGGAACGTGCTGCCGATGATGTGCGGAGAGCTAGTCAGGTTCGGGCCTGCGTTGCCAAAGAAAACCCGGATGGTTTCACCCGCCGTGGCTTTAAGGGGGTGGTCCATGGTGAGAGCCGTCTCACTGCCGTTGAAAACGATCACGTCCGGGTCTTCGCGGAGGGCGTTGGGGTATGAGAACTCCACCAGGGAGGAACGCTTCCCATTCTCCTCGATTTCGGGTGGTTCGTGGTAGAACTCGCTCTGCATCACGTAGTATTCTTTATCAACCTTGGGGAGAGGGTCCTCTTCCGGCTGTACGTAGATGAGGCCGTACATTCCGTTGGCAATGTGAACGGGCACGGGGGCTGCGGCGCAGTGGTAGATAAATAGCCCTGGGTATAGTAGTTTGAATCTGCCCGTCTTGCTTTGGTTCTCTTCAGCAGTTGTCAGCGCCGCTCCTCCTCCAGGGCCTGTAAATGCGTGACAGTCGATGTTGTGAGGGTTGCCTGTCACATCGGTATTTGTCAAGGAGAGCTCGATGACGTCCCCAACCCGCGCCCGGATAAACGGGCCCGGCACTTGGTTGTTGAAGGTCCACTGCTCATACTTGTAGGTGCTAGTGAGCTGCTTTATCTTCGTCGTGGTTGTCAGCGGTACTTTGAGGAGGACAGGGTGATCTCGAGTGATGGGCGGGGGGACATTTGGGGCGCTGATGAGTTGTGCTTCCTCTACAGGGAGGTTCGATAGATTTAGGGATTTTCCAACAGGTTCAGAGGCATCTACTATATTCTTGATGTGAACGGGATAATCCCCTTTGGAGTCGGCGTGAGCAACCTTTGCAGGTCGTTTATAAACTATGAGGCCCAGGCCTATAGAGATGGCAACTGCTGCCGCAACTCCTAGTTGGGTGCTTCTTTTTGTTGGAGTTTGCGAAGATTCCGTGGAGTATCCCCGCAGCGAAGGGGAGTGCCTCGTTTGCCACCGTACGGGAGTCCGACACAGTGAGGTTAACTGGCGGGAACCAGTTACTCTGCAACCCGAAGCGAGGTAGTGTCTGGTAGCTAAAGGAGCTTTCCAAGGCATGGTTAGAGGCGAGCGAAGGGTCTGCATAGTATTTGAACAATCTATTATCTAGAGAGAGAGAGAGAGAGAGAGAGAGAGAGAGAGAGAGAGAGAGAGAGAGAGAGAGAGAGAGAGAGAGAGAGAGATACAGAGATGGAAATGGGAAAATGGGAGTCCAAAATAGACGTTGAGATTGCCACTGATCTAAGGACGGATATGCAGACACCCAATAGGCTCAGTATATATAGGAGACTACGGCAAGATGTTGCCGGGCGATCTATTCCCCAATACAGGTCAGTTGACCAGCACGAGAGCTGACAACAAAAGCGCAAAGTAGAGCTCAGCGAGCGTAGTAGCAAGCGCAGTGAGCGCAGTGAGGGGTTCGCCTGCCCGCTGCGAGTTCGAGGTCACTATTCGCCCTGTTAGCTTGTACATGTACATGTACTGTATGTCACCTTCCCTCCTCCAGTGAACAACAACGGTGGATGCGGGCAATGACTGACCGAAGCGAAGTGCGGTACTTGCACCACCTGCGCCCACCCGCCCCGTAAAATGCAACATCCCGGGCCTATGGTTTCGTTGCTATTTCTTGCTAAGAAAGCACCTCAATCGACGGGGCAAGATAGGCGGCGAGGGGGAAGGGGGGAAAGGCGGGAAGGCGGGAAGGTGGGAAGAGGGGAGGGGGGTGTGTGTGTGCCACATCCCATCCTGCAATGCTCAATGCACGCAACAAGCACCTGGATAGATTATTGTATGTACATGTACATACTTCATACATATAGTTCAGACATTAGTTGGTAGACCCCCCCAAGCGTGCCTCCTCACGTGGCTTGCAACCATTGCCCCCAAGCACTCTAAATCCTTCAATTCAAAATCCATTCAATCCATTTTTTCTTCACAGCCGCCACGTCACAGGCAAAAAGGTCATAACTAGTGTGGTGCCACAAGAATTGAATAATCGTATTTGACTGTAACTTAAAGGGGAAGCGCCTGGATCTGAATTTTGGAAGCGTGCCATCATCCATTTTCATTGGCGGAGAAGATCGCCTTCAAGGCTTCAAGGCGCGAATAGGATAGAAGAAAGTTTCCCAGAGAAGTTCGTTTTTTGTCATAGTTCACGTTAACTTTTCCTCCGGCGCTGTGTTCCCTCCCCTAACTACCCGAATACCCGGAGTTAGGCACTGAATGGAGGCGCTGGCTGGGAGCTTAACTAACCAGAGCGCATACGATACGGCAAAGCATCTGGATATAATACCAGTGAGGCAACCGGCAGACACAAACAAACAACAGTTGCAGAGCCCAGGGATATGCGACAACTCAGATGTTGCGACTGACTACTATTTCTTTGGATCTCTCTCAAGATCTCGCTCTCCGGTGTTTTTTTTTTTGATACCAAAAATGGCTCTGTGTTTGTCTCCGAGAGATCGGCTGACTAAGGGACCGTGTGGCTTGACCGGCTTGGTGATGACATAATCATGGCTGGTGGCCGCATCTTCTAAATTCTAATTTCCCAGGCCGCGATCTGTGGCTGAACCCCCGGAACGGAAATGCAGACATCAAAAAAAAAATATCCAGGACACTCGCTGTCGCAACCAACCGTGATATCAGTTCCGATTATCGTTCTTTTCACGCGTCTGGGATCCAGTCGACTGGGCTGTTCGTGACCTTTGAACTTTGGAAACTTGAATGGCGAATGACTGCAGCACTCATTTGCTTTGTCGCTACCACCCTTTAGATGACGTTGATTGTTTACACGCTGCAGAACCAAACAAAGCGCGCCATATTGCCGGGCTGACCCTCTCCCCGCACTCCTTTGAGCGTCCAGGCCGGCGCGAATTCTCGTCCCCCGCCCCCCAGTAACCCATATGACCCTGTTCTGTTGTCGCCATCCCTCCGCGAACCCGTTCGTGTCCCGTTTCCCTTGGTATCGACCGCCGGTTACCTCCTGGAGTGCTTAACTGATTTTGAGGCATCGATATTAGGATTGGAGGAGGCGAAGAGAAGAGGAACTGAGTGCATGGGGCACGGGTGAAGATGGCACCAGGCGGAGGAGGAAATATTAAGGTGGTGGTGAGAGTGCGGCCCTTCAATGGCCGAGGTCAGTCTACTCCGGTTTTCCCCCCTACCCTACCCTAAGCCCCTGGATTTCGCGACACTGTGCATACTTGCATCTCGCCTCAGAGGAAAAGCACTGTGATTATTACAAAGTATACAAAGTATACAAGTATACTATTCCACGAGATACTCTTCTAGAGAAACTTCATGCTGACTGGAAGCCATTCTTGAATACCAATCTACCTTATAGAACTCGACCGGAAAGCAAAATGTATCGTTCAAATGAAAGGCTCGCAGACCGTGCTCACACCACCTCCCGGAGCAGAAGAAAAATCACGGAAAGGAGGGAAGCAAGGCGGGGGAAGCGTCGAAGGCCCGAAAGTATTCGCGTTCGATAAATCTTACTGGTCTTTTAACCGCAACGACCCTCATTATGCCGGCCAGGATAACCTTTTCGAGGATCTGGGCGCACCATTGCTGGACAATGCATTTCAAGGATATAATAATTGTATTTTTGCCTACGGCCAGACTGGCTCTGGTAAGTCGTATTCCATGATGGGATATGGCGAGGAAGCTGGCGTTATCCCGAAGATTTGCAAGGACATGTTCCTAAGGATCGCCGCGCTGCAATCTGCGGACAAAAATCTAACGTGTACGGTGGAGGTGTCGTATTTGGAGATTTACAATGAGAGAGTACGGGATTTGCTCAACCCGACAACCAAGGGGAATCTTAAAGTTCGAGAACATCCTTCAACTGGGCCCTATGTTGAAGATTTGGCGAAGCTGGTAGTGCGGTCCTTCCAGGAAATCGAGAATCTGATGGACGAAGGTAACAAGGCGCGAACGGTCGCGGCAACAAACATGAACGAAACCTCCAGTCGATCGCACGCTGTCTTTACCCTTACGGTGACGCAAAAGCGACACGATACGGAGACCACCATGGATACCGAAAAAGTCTCTCGCATTAGCTTGGTCGATTTAGCTGGTTCAGAGAGAGCTACTTCAACAGGCGCAACTGGCGCGCGGCTCAAGGAGGGTGCCGAGATCAATCGTTCGCTCTCTACACTTGGTCGTGTCATTGCGGCTCTGGCAGATTTATCTGCCGGGAAAAAGAAAAACGCCTCAATGGTACCATACCGTGACTCCGTTTTGACTTGGCTTTTGAAGGACTCTCTGGGCGGTAACTCGATGACTGCTATGATCGCAGCTATCTCACCAGCCGACATAAATTACGATGAGACACTAAGTACGCTGCGCTATGCGGATTCCGCCAAGAGGATCAAGAATCATGCTGTTGTTAATGAGGATCCTAACGCTAGGATGATCCGAGAACTCAAGGAGGAACTGGCGCAGCTTAGGAGTAAGCTTGGTGGAGGAGCTGTTGCCGGAGGGGGCGCTCCTGGCGGGGGCCTCGCTGAAGAAGTTTATCCTCCTGGCACTCCGCTTGAGCAACAGATGGTATCTATTGCGCAGGCCGATGGGACGATTAAAAAGGTCAGCAAGGCAGAGATCGTGGAGCAACTGAACCAGAGCGAAAAGCTTTACAAGGATCTCAACCAGACTTGGGAAGAGAAGCTGCAGAAGACCGAGGAAATTCATAAAGAACGTGAAGCGGCGCTGGAGGAATTGGGTATCAGTATCGAGAAAGGCTTCGTCGGGCTCAGCACCCCTAAAAAGATACCACATCTTGTCAACCTCAGCGATGACCCTTTGCTTGCTGAATGTTTGGTTTACAACATTAAGCCGGGCACAACCACCGTCGGGAACGTGGATACGGCGGCAACCTCGGAAATCCGATTGAATGGTTCAAAAATACTTCATCAACACTGTAGCTTCGAGAATGTCGATAACGTTGTCACCATCGTACCTAATGAGGGCGCGGCGGTTATGGTCAACGGATTGCGTATCGATAAACCCAAACGACTACGAAGTGGGTTTCGTATTATCCTGGGTGACTTTCACATCTTCCGGTTCAATCATCCCCAAGAGGCGCGTGCTGAACGAGTGGAACAGAGCCTTCTTCGACACTCCATCATAACAAGCCAGCTTGGATCCCCGGCACCAGGAAAAACGGGGCATGACCGATCCATGAGCAAGGCAGGCTCAGAAGTCGATGGGGATTCTAGTAGAGCTGAATCTCCCCTGCCATCGCAAAGGGGTCGAGACTCTGATTGGTTTTATGCTAGAAGGGAAGCCGCAAGTGCGATCTTAGGGCCTGACCAGAAAATTTCACATCTCACGGACGATGAACTAGATGCATTATTTGATGATGTCCAGAAGGCCCGAGCAGTGAGGCGGGGCCGCCCAGAGAGCAAATTGATCGACGGAGAGGACGATTCAGATTCGCTTAGCTCTTATCCGGTACGGGAGAAGTACATGTCAAATGGAACTATTGACAATTTTTCTCTTGATACAGCGCTTACCATGCCGGGAACGCCGTGCCAAGGCGACGATGAAGACGGGGAGGTGGATAATACCGCGCTACAAATGGTTCGTGACGACATGCAACGGCAGCTTAACAGGCAGCAGGAAGAATATAAAGGCAAAATTGCAGCAGCGGCAGCTGGAACAGCGTCGCCAGATTTAAAAGAGCTACGTTTAGAAAAAGCACGAATGGAGGATGCGCTCAAGGCTGCGAAGGAGGAGTTTCAGCAACAATTGCAAAAACAAAAGGAAGATTTTGAATCGCAAATAAAGCACATGGGGTATACAGGTCCCCAGAGGATATTTGAAAACGGATTCACACAGTTGGAACCTGGAGAGATCCCAATAGCCAGGTCTGTTGTTCTGCACTGGCAACAGCGAAATTATGTTCGGATGGCCGAATCGGTTCTTCAGCATGCATCGCTACTCAAGGAAGCGCAGATCATGAGCCAGATAATGGATAAGCATGTCGTTTTCCAATTCGTTATTGTCGATGTTGGACATAACATGGCTTCCTCCTACGATTTAGTGTTGAACGGCATTTCGGGCGATGACGACGTGGCTCTAGAGGATGCGAAGAAACCGTGCATCGGGGTTCGGGTGATTGATTTCAAGCACAATGTTATCTACATCTGGTCAATAGACAAACTACAACGCCGTGTTCAATCCATGCGACAGATGCACCAGTATATCGATCGGCCGGATTATATTCAACACTTCAAGCTCGAAAATCCCTTCTCGGAAACATGCACTCCGCAGTACTCGTTAGTGGGTGATGCGGATATCCCACTGACGGCGGTGTTCGAGTCGAGAGTGCAGGATTTCTCCATCGAAGCCATTTCACCGTATACCCAAAGCGTTGTCGGGATCATTAAACTATCTCTCGAACCATCTTCTGCACAAGCCCCTTCATCAACTCTCAAGTTCAACGTGGTTATGCGGGATATGGTGGGATTTGCGGAACGTGAGGGGACTGACGTGCATGCCCAGCTCTTTGTACCCGGTGTTTCGGACGAGGGCGGCGCTACAACCACACAGATGATTAGTGGTTTTGATGAAAACTCAATTAGATTTGAGAGCGTTCATAGCATGAGCCTTCCCCTCAACAGCGCTAGGAACTCGACCTTGAAAGTGTGCATTTTCGCCTCGGTGACGGCAATGCATCTGGACAAATTGCTCAGTTGGGATGAAATGCGCGACTCGCCCGAGGCTCCGCCTCAAAAGAGAAAGACGCCGCGGATTCCCGAGTCTGAATTTTACCAGGAAGAGCGGCATGATGTCTTTGTGCGGGTACAAATTCTTGAGCTTGCTGAGAATGGGGAATACATGCCTGTCGAGGTGGTGCAGAGCAATAGCCTTGATGTTGGCACCTATCAACTTCATCAAGGCTTACAGCGACGCATCGTGGTCAATCTCACTCATAGTTCGACGGAAAGCCTGCCATGGGAAGATATCACTGCTTTGAGAGTCGGGACGGTGCGGCTCCTTGACCCATGGGGGAAGATTCCTGATGTGGACCTAAAATCTTCAGATGTTCCTCTTAAACTTATACAAGAGCCGATGGTGACTGACAACGCTGATGGGACATCCAACGTAACTCTTGTCGGGCAATGGGATTCGAGTCTTCATGGGTCGTTATTACTCGACCGGACAACGGCGGACAAGTATCGCGTCCAAATATCCCTTCGCTGGAATCTGATATCACCACGTCTTCAGGAGCCTATCGTATTCGAGCTCGACCAAACTCTACAGATACTAGGCAGGGCGTATATACGACCGCAGTCGATGTTTAAACAGTTCTGGAGCTCCATCCGCGTTGTGCACTCGACTGTGGGGATGTTCTCCGTAGCTGTCCGGCCCATATCCGCGAAACGAGCGGCGGACCTGTGGCGTATGAACACCCAGAATGATTACGTCAAGGGTGAAGAGCTACTGACGGGATGGGCCCCGCGGAAGATATCCCTTATCCGCGACTTCATTGGTGCTCGAAAGCGGCGACAACGCCTTGCCGAAATAGACGCCGCTCGTGGAGCATTGAGTACTCGTACCTTAACCCCGTTGCCGACAAACGGTCGATCTACTCCGCTCCAGGGCCAAGACGGGAGTGAGCGACGAGATATACTGCTTCGGAAATACCTAGATCTATGGTCGACTAAACCGGACCCAACTGAAATCATACTTGTCAAAGATCACACCGAACCGCCTAGTCGTGGTGCTGCCTTCGCAAGAAACCCTTCCTCCGCAACAAGCCCGGCCACAACCAGTGGCGATTGCTCCCCCATCCCCTCCGAACAGGCACCGCTGCCCCAACCGCCGCCAGAGCAACAACAGCAGCAACAGCGACAACATCAACAACAACCCTCAAAGCCTCGTTTCGTTGCCACAATCCAACACATACCGAAAAATCCCACCGTCCTCAAGTCCGGCTACCTGTACACGCCCGATGACACAAATAACCTCTGGGTGCGCCGTTTTGTAGAGCTCCGCCTCCCCTATCTTCACATCCACTCCGTGCCCGACGGCGACGAAATAAACGCCATCAATCTACGCAACTCGCGCGTCGACCATGAGCCGGATTTTGCTCGACTGCTGGACGGCGGCGGCGGCGGAACTAGCCAGAACGGCGACGGCTTGTCGATGAGAGGACGCCCGAATCTGTTTGCCGTTTACGGGACGCAGAATACGTTCCTGTTTGCGGCAAGGACGGAGGCGCAGAAAGTCGAGTGGATTTTGAAAATTGACCAGGGATATTTTAGCACGCAGGCTAATGGTAACGGGGGTGGCAGTGGTGGCAGATGATGAGAGCTTTGTATCGGGCTTCTTTGTCCTCGGTGATTTGATTGGTTAGGAAGAGTTTTTGGCAAGAGTTGGAGAAGAGTAAGATATACATATATATATTCCCATTTGTTCAGTATTTTAATTTTTTGGATTTACTCTTTGATTCCGCTTCTGTTGCATTTGTCCTGTATAAGATCTCATTTTTTTACCCCCTCTATCTACCCTCTCTGCCCATTTTACGGTTTCAGCCCTGACGCCTTAATGCTTTCAACTGATACATGCCTGCGAGAGTGGGTATATGACCAGTACCTTCTATTGTTGCTCTCTCCCTTGGTATTTGTTCTCTCTATTCCCGTGTCTTTCCATACTCACTCACTTCAACTATTTCCTTGAACGTGATTTTGAACGCCCTAGGGTATGACCACCTCATTCCTATTTGCACCTCATCAGTCTTTCTCTCTCTCTCTCTCTCTTATTTTCATATTTATTCATGACAACTAGCGCATAAGCGCAGACGAAAATTTGTTTCCCATCCCCTTCGTTTGCCCCCTTTTTTAATCATTTTTTTCTTTGAGTGCTCATTTCTTTTTATAATTTACAAGATACCCCCCGCAGACTAGAACCAGACGGAGACTTGAATATATATATATATATAAGTTTTGTTTTAGTATACCACCCCATATTTTGTGCTCAGCTTTATCTCCCTCTTTTCGTTTTTATTTTTCCCTGCTGCTCGCTCTTCTACTCCCACGTTTTCTTCCCGTCTATCAGTGCTCTGCTGTGCCATTTCCACTTTTGATCTAGTCGCGCAAGATAAATTTTATTCTGTATCGCTGTATATAAAGATATAAAAATAAAAATATACATATATCTGAGGCTCAGGATTTGGGAATATTCACTAGATCAATTAAATTCAGAGGTCTCTCGATGATTCTACTCTGCAAGCCAGCCAGCAGCCCCCAAGACGGACAACAATCTACAGGACTGGATGTCTCAACCAGACTCCTTGGATTTCACCAACGTCAGGCAAACCCTTCTCTTTTTAAGGTTATATATTGCATTGCGTCTTCCTTCAACCTTAGACAGCGAGCATCTGCAGTTCTGTGCGCTCTCCCCTTTCTGCCCCGCGAAATAAACCACTCAATTACGCAAGTAGAACAAAATAGGTGAACAAAGCGAAAGACATTCATTCCCCTCTTCAATTTCCCGCCGGACTGGGAGGCTACTGCAGGTAATAACTACTAACGACTGAATTGGGCGGATTTTCTTCGTTGGTTTGTTTTGAGTTCGTTCGACGTGTCAGCATCGTTGCACCCTTGAGGCGGGCCCCGGTCTGGTCTTGGTCTTTGTGAAGTCTTCTTATGCTTTGCTGCCCAAGCCGAGGAATTTTGTTTTCGTTTCTCCTGTGCGATTTTGCTTTCTTGTTGTGTTTGTTTCTCTTTGTGTCATGGACTGGTTTTTTTATTTTTATTTTTATTTTTATTCTTTGGTTCGATTCAAGTTTTAATTTTGCTTCTTCTTTTGCTCCTCCTTTTCAGAAGTATCTCGTAGCCCGCATCAACTTTCCTGGTGCAGAATAATGATGGGTGAAAGATAACGCATGTAGTTTCTGTCTTCGATACATGAATTATATATATACCTTTCGCCAACTACCTACTAAGCCAATCATGCCCAACATCGTTGCATTCAAAATAAGCACGTACGTGTAGGCTCATACTATAAATAAACCTGTGTTTTGTGTGCCCTTTTTAAGAAAAGTACCACGCCTCTATTGACCCCCAGCTCATCCTCACCGCTCCCTCTCTATCCATTCTGTACCACCGTTTTTCTGCACCACCCACTATGTCCCCCTTGAGACACCCTTATTCCTTCGAGGGAGTCGCAGGCAGCTGAGCCAACACCTTCCCATCCTTGTCACACGTAGGGAGGTGAGAATGAGAGAGCTATCTCATTACTCAAATCTCACCTCACGTTGTTCTATGTTCCCCCCCATTCCCGTTCCTTATCTGTATGGCAGATGAAATCGGGAACAAAAGTCAAGAACCGAACGGCGATAACGGACAACGGAGCATATCAGGCAGGGTAGGAGAACCGGTAGGTAGGTAGGACACGCAAGTTCGTTCTAAAACTTTGTAGACTTGAGAGTGATGCTGTTCGATAAAAGATGGCCGTAACTGATTTCAAAATCCATGGTGGAAACACTTCTATCTTACCCAACAAAACCAAGTTTGAGAAGCGGAGCGGGTGATGCTTCGGAATATTGTGAAGTGAGCAGAATCGCTGCAAAGCGGCGTGGCTAGTGCTCAGACTTGAATTCGCTAGAAATGAAGCGATATCAGTGGTGTGTAAGAAAATCAGGGCTTCCCTCCCCTGCTTTCTGAGGCGGCAAAGAATTTCAGGGTGGCTGTCAAGATATCATCGTAAAAGGGAAAGGAAAAGGATAGAGGTCTAGACACAAATCATAGTGAACACAGCACTTTGTAGTAACTAGGTAGTCACAAAACACTCTTAAGGACGGCGCAATTTGTCGAAATCAGGTAGCAAGAAAGAGGCGAAGCAGCAGTGCTGTGATGGAAAGGGTAATATCAGCTTCAATCAAGCAAGCTGTCAAAGAAGCCCTAGCGGGAAGGCGGAGAATAGGCAAGGCCCGGGGGGGACGCGGGAATGAAGCGTCTCGCCTTAAGTGGCGAGAGGGGTGTTCGCCATGGCCATTCGCTAGGTAGTCTTCTCCCATTTTCCTGCCTACCCCCCCTGCCTAGGTCACGGTTTGAACCGACTGGTTCTCGCGAATGGGGGCGATGTCACGAGAGCGAAACTTCATGCGCACTGAGAGTGTGGTGGACCTCTTTCGACAAGGTAGAGAGCGCTGTATGGGTCGGCGGGTAGCTTGGTGAAGGTTGGGAGAGGGCGTCTGGTGATTCTGAATGGACGATGGAGGGAGGTTAGAGTTGAATGCGGGTGGGGTCCACCATTGTTATCATGCCGATTGGGTTTGGAGTTGGGCCGTTTCGCCTTGCGCGCTCATACCATTCAAGTCTGACATTTGGCCCCCGTGGCTAGTCATCTCTTTGTATGTATAATAATGTAGTTACCTGCGCAGCCAGTCTTTGTATGTATAATAATGTAGTTACCTGCGCAGCCAGCTTGCGGGGCTTGCGGGCTGTGCGACGGGACGGGGGCTCCACCGTGCGCTGCTGGCTGATATCCATGGCGTGATGCGCATGTATTCTCTACTGCGTACACGGACCATACATGGATGAGACATGCCTCGTCGATCATGTGCACGTAGGCCGTCTTTGGCATTCTTGGACTCTGGGAGAAGCTGAGACTGATCGTTGTCGAATTAGGGGCTACCATACGTAGGTATAAGGCGTCCGCGAAAGCGGGTCGGGTCTCGGTCACAAAGACGAATCAAGGGCATGTAGAATTAAGGTACTAGTGGCGTGAAATCGAATTCAGGAAAAGCCCCGACGTGCACTGGCATGGGTCGAATAGCCAGTCACCAGTGCTGGATGGCCATTTATCAGATGTAGACGCCGGAAAATGACATGGTGACAGCCCCGGTAAACTAAACATTTCATCCTTTCTTAACGATGGAAGGCTAGCAAACGGCCCTTCTCCCTTTACCTCCACGCGCGCTCACCAGGGGGTATCTCGTCTGTTGAGGCCACAGCTCCGTGATCCACCATCCAACACGGGGAGTCCAGAAGGGAGAAGATAGAAAACATCCGTACCAAACCAATCGCATTGCATAGTAGCCAGAGAGATCTTTTCCCTCCCCACTCAAAAGAACGAAACGCAAGACTCAATATCAAAACATGCCAAAACGAGGCGGGGGTGGGCTGGGAGCTCCGCAAAGAGTGTCAGATGCGTGATATTCGCAGGTGGCGATATGTTAGTTTCTTGCCATGGTCGATTGTCAAATTGATTAAAAGTTGCTTTGTATCCCGTTTTGAAACTCGCTGTCTCCGGGCCATTTCCGGCGGTTTAATCCTAGATAGGGGACTTCAGCCCTTGCGCGGCGATATGATCCGCCAGATAAAGGCTATTTATGGCTCGCAGAACATGTGAAACCCAGGAGTGGGAGGAAGTGAGCAACATGGAACATTTGGTTTTGATAGACAATCTGCAGAAATAAAAGAAGCTGCAGACACGTGCCCGTTCAAGCCCCATGCACTTGGGTACGTACACTAGAATTGAAACGAATGGCGGCGATGCTGATTTGCAGCAGTTAAGAAGCTGACAATTGAATGAATATATATAGAAATTATTTAAAAATGAAGACATGTACGACCTTCAAGAAAACTTGAAGTCCAAGTGTTTGTAGAAAACTTGAGATTGCATGCATATGGAATATGAGCTCAAACACAGAAATCGAGATGGAAATGCATCAACCATGCAGTAGAGCTCCCTAGCAAGATTCTAGTGAGATATTGACAGAAGATGATTTGATGAAATGAGACGTTTGCAGAATAGTTGCTCCAATGAAGCTTGGATGTCGTTGAATGAATGAGAGATGAAGAAGTCGAGAAAGAACCAGGGCTAAACAAGTCATGTGATAACTAACTAACTAATCTCTAGATTTCTCATTCAATATCGGAGCTATGGCTGCTAAGAGAGAGCGTGTATGAAGAAAATTGCCTGAAGCCTGATTTCCTGAATGGATTCAATTTTCATTTCAACTATCAAACTGTAGCTGAGCTGTAATATACAAAAACTATTTCATACACACGGCAATCAATCATGAGGAAATTCGCCAAATACGTCTGAGAAAAGAAAAAAAAAAATGTAAGCAAGGGAAAAGATCAAACAGAAAAGAAATCACCTAAAATCAGAAAATTTGCAATCACTTGTATATAAAATATAAAAGGCTCGCATATCAAATATATACATTTTTTTTCCCTTTTTTAGGTTAAAGAAGAATCGTTCATCATGTCAATTATTGATAAATAAAAAAAGAAAGGAAAAAAGAAAGAAAAAAAGAAAACACGGGAATCAATTGAATACGTCGGAAAGAGAGGCCAGAAAACCAGAAAATAAAATGAGATCGAAACATGAAAAGATGGAGATTTTGACGCTCGTCTTTTTTGCTTAATTTTTAATCACTCGGCGTGGGCTTCCTTTCACCATTGTTGAAATTGACCGCAAGAAAGGTCATGAGAAGAGGAGAAAAAAAATAAAAAATAGTTGCATATGGAAATTAAAAATCCGCTAAGAAAAAGCCAAAAAGGTTGATATAGTAATATAATAATAAAATATATGAAGTAAAAGTCAATAAATAAAATAGAATAGAAAAAAGGTTTCACGCACTGAAGCGTTATTTAGGCATGTAGCCCATTTGATAGTGTATATAGACCAGAGAAAAAGTAGAAATTCGAAATGTGAGATGGGAGAAGCGTTGCAGCAGGGGCATGAAAAATAGTAACATTGAAATGGAGTAGGTTGTGGGGTTTGGTATCAGTAGGAGATGAGGAGCAGGCGAAGGAGGGGAGAAACAAATTGACGAAGCAGGGATGGAAAGAAAAAGTAATCACAAATGAACACCCCGACCAATTCCAGCATGGATGAAAAAAGAGGTATTAGAGTGATTGGAGAGAAGAGAAAAATAGAGCAGGCATTAAGCGTGGCAGAGACGATGATGACAGCGCAGGCAGGGAGATAACCGGTAGAGAAGTATCATCAAATGAGGAGAGGAAAGGTTGGAAGGTTGAAAGGTTTCAATGAAAGGAGACAACGACAAGAGAAAGAAAAATGACTCGAAAGCAAACGGAAAAAGCAAACGGAAAACAGATAAAATAAAGAACATAAATTGGCTTGGTAAAACAGCAACAGCAGAAAACGACAAAAGGGAAGTTGAAATTGGCAATCTTTTTTTGTTTTCCGCGAATACAGAGTGACTGGCTGGAATAGATGAATGGAAAGGTTGGACGGTTAAGAAAAGAGGAACGAGGAAAAGAGTAGGAATAGGAGAAAAAAAGAAGAAAAAAAAAATGGAACCCATTTCCCACACATTCGATTGCATCAAATTAAACGAGGATAAAAGAGATGGCATGGGAAAAAACAGCACAGTACATTGTAGGTTAGCAAAAAGAGACGCTCCCAAAACAACACAGAAGAGGACAAAGACAGAGCAAACCAACGCAGCAAGGATCATACAACACCCCCCATAAAAACGGCACACAAAAGCGGGTACGCAGGCACGCAGGCACGCAAGCACATATGAAGCAAAGAAAAGCAAGGCAATGCAGACAAAGCAGCACCGCAGAAACCTATCCTATAGACATGACTTCATACCCTTCTTTCTTTTCTTCCCTCGTTTCACTCTTTGTCTCCTTCCTCCCTTTCCCTTTCCCTTTTCCAACCCCCCACCGTCTCTCTTTTTTTTTAATATATATAAAAACACTACCCATCATCATCCCCATCCCCATCACTATGCGCACTCGTACTCGGCCTCCGAACCGCACCCGCACCGCTCGTTTTCGACTTCTTCCCCCCATGCCCACCGCCATGCTGTCCATTCCCACTCAACGCCGTAGCTGCAGCCTTCCTCTTCTGCCCCGGCGACACATTCTGCGCGGCGGAGTGTGGATGTGGTTGCGGATGTGAATTTGGACGTGAATTCCCTTTCGCCCCAATCCCAGCAGAGTTATTGTTATTATTGGCACTACTCCCATGATTTGGCAAATTCTCAATCCCCGTCGCGCCCGCTGCAGCATTCTTCTCCATCTGGGCCACTTCCTCGGCCGTTAAAAACCGGCCGCCCGGTCCGCGCGGCCGGCGCATCGCGTGGTTATGTCGCGATTCGTGGAGGTAGGGCTTGCGGCCCTTTGACGTTAGGCGGAGTTGGTCTTCGAGTTTTTGGCGCGCGACGCGTCGTTTGAGGATGCGGTGGAATTGCTTGGCGTTAACATAGAGGGGGGATTCTTCGGCTGGGGCGGCTGGGGGAGCGGGGGCGGAGGCAGAGGTGGTGGCTACGAGGTCTTGCGAGGGCGGGGGAGGTTGTTGTTGTTGCTGTTGTTGTTGTGGAGGTGGAGGTGGAGGGTGTTGAGTATGTTGTGGGTGCTGAGCATGCTGAGGGTGTTGAGAGTGTTGAGGCGGGGCGGACATCGGTGACGGGCCTGGCGGGGGTCGTTGCATGGTGTGGTTGTGGCTGTGGTTGAGGGCGGGTTGGGCGTTTTGTACATGTGGACTGCTGACTTGTTGGCTCATGCGACGTTGTTGTTGTTGTTGTTGCTGATGCTGATGCTGCTGCTGCTGTTGCTGTTGCTGCTGCTGCTGTTGTTGTTGTTGCGATGGTGGTTGTTGCTGTTGCTGCTGTATCGACGCGTTTTGTGGTATTTGCACCTGGCTGGAGAGCGGCGCCATCTGGACAGGTACTTGCGGTGGTGATCTTGGATGTCGTTCACTCTTCACCTGGGAAGATGGTAACCTAGGTGAGCCACGAGCGCCTGGTGGCAATCCACCACCCATCGAGTCCTGATGCAATGGTTGGTAGAATTGGTGACCCGAGGCAGCAGCGGTGGCCATGGCGGCGGCGGCAGCGGCCTGGGTAGGGGAGATTCCATATGTTTGTGGGTGTGGAGCGTACTGTTGAGGGAAATTCATCTGCTGGTGTACCTGGCCGGGCGCGCTTTGTGTTTGTTGGTAATGCGATTGCGACGGGAGGATCGGAGAGGCTTGGTGGTTTGGGTGGGGATGTTGCATGTGTGCTTGAGCGTTTGTGGGGGAGGTGATAGACCCGACCGGCGGGCCAGCATTAGCAGGCGAGGTTTGGTATGGAGGCATGTGTGATGATGCGTGTGGGTGTTGGTTGTGAGGTTGTTGATATTGAGGGGGATACTCCATGATGGATGGTCGCGCTGGTTGGGTGGAATCGACTTGGGAAAACAATTCGCGTTTGTCCTCTTTCCCTTTTATTATTCTATTTAATCGAGCGAGCGAACGAGGAGCTGAGATTCCAGCCCAAGGTATCTATCTACCTGGATTAAACCAGCGGCGGCAAATGCGTTGGGAAGCGCACCAATGGAGTCGCAAGCCAGCAATTTTTATTTTATTTTATTATGTGAGCGAGTAGCGAGTGGTTTCCGATCGAGGGATAGGATGGGAAGGGGAGCGGACAGGATAGGGTGGGACGGGGAACGGGGGCGGCGAAGGGTCGAGAAGGAACGTTTTTGAAAGCGTTCGACAGGCGAAGCGCGAACAAATGATTCGATGTCGCTGGGATGGGATGGGGAATCTGCAGCCTTTTCGGTCGCGTCAGCACCTAATGCAGCAGTGGGATGGTCACTGGATTTAGGTCCGGTTGGGAGGGGGCAAACAGACCAATACGAGCGGTCGGCGCCAAAAGACTGATCGGCTATGTGCGTGCACACGCTCAACGCACGAGTTTTCTTTTTTTTTTTTTCTCTTTCCTGCCTTTTCTTTGGTTGACACAATCGAGCCAAAAACGGGTTTCAGAAACTTTTTTGAACGCGACGACAGGTGAGGGCCTCGATTGTTAACAAAGAGGCGGGAAAAGGGATTTAAGAAGCAGATAATATGGAAGGTTTAAAATAAGGGTCCCTTTCGAGCGATGGTTGAACAGCACAGTCTCAGTGAAGACGTGGTTGGGCTCTGATGCAGGAAACCGGGGGGAACTGAGGGCAAGGTGGGTGACAGAAGAGCGCGTTGATGTGTTGTCAAACAGCGGTGGTCGGTTTTGTTTTTCGTTTCGTTTCTTTTTCCAGACTTTTTTATTTTTTATTTTTTATTTTTTTTCCTTTCGGGGTTGGTGCGGGTACTATAATTTTTGCTTCTTTACTCTTTAGGGCGGGGGAAAGAAAAGCAATAATAATGAGTTTGAAAGTTGTGACAACAAAAATGAGAGAAATCAGGGAATAATGTGAGTTTGAAAAAAAAAAAAGAACCCCCCAAAAAGAATGTAAGAATTGTCGCACTAAAAAAATAAGGGAAAAAAAAAGAGAAATAAAAAAGAGAAATAAGAAAGAAATAATACTAAAAAACACCGAGAAATACGTAGATATCGTAACAAGGCCCAAGGGTTGACAGCGAAAGTGGGTGGCTTCAGTTCGTGTTCTGCAGATGTCTCTGATCAGGACAATGAACCATAACTGGGCCTGGGGGAGGAGAGGCCAGAGGGCAGACGGACGAGCCCGAGAGAGGCAAGGATGGGGATGGGGACGGGGAATGGGGGGGATATCGGCTAGTGTCTGCCACGTCGTAGGCCCGATCTGAGGTGGTGCCCAAGGCTGGTCACTGGAGCCGGGTAAATCCTGGGGCAAAAAAGAGGGTTGCCGGACTGCCAAGTAGGACCAACGTCGAGAAGGTGAAAGAACGAAGAGAGCGGGGGGGGGGAGGGAAAAAAGGTAAAATATTGGAGCTTCGTTCTGATGTCAGAGAGGGAGACAAGCAGGCGGAGAACCAACCATACAACGAGTGCAACGTTGGGGAGAGACTAAACAAGTAGTAGGCTATATAAATAAGGGGAGGAGGGATGGTGCAAGAAATAAGGGTAGGGAATCGAGGCAGATCGGAGGATTGGCAAGGATGGATGACAACAACAAGGAGAGTGCGAACGTAAACAAGAATAACAGAGTTTTTAGGTATGCAAAAGAGGGCTAGGGATTAAGAACGAGAGCAAGGCGATGGCAAAGAGAGAAAATAATTGGGGGGGGTTATGTGTTGGCAAATGCGGGAGCGATTGTATGCAGGCTACATACATCATTGCTCGTCACAGGAGGGAATACGCCGCGTAGAAGGGAAGAGGAAGAACTGACAAGAAAAATGATCAAACTTACTGCAGCTGTTCTCGTAGCAAGAGGCGAGTAACAAATAAAATATATATACTACATATATATATATATCTCTATGTATATATATATATATGTACTCCGTATATATAAACTATTTACACAGTCGTCGGCGCATGTAGGTAAACAAAGTACAAACAAACTGTATCTGGCTCGATTGGAGTTGTTTCTCCTTATTATGAGGATTTAACTACCGATTGCTGTCTCAAGGTATGTTTTATTGGAGGGAGGGGGCCGCGTTTCAGAGAGTCGGAACAGGCGCTGTGGCAAGGGAGGACTTTGCTGTTGTAGTTTGTTGTCGGCGGGAAATAATACCCTCGAGGTTCTAAAACATAGCCTAGCCTGACTGTCAGAATTACACATTGAGCCCTATTTAATAATCATCTAGCAACGTACAATGTACATGTAATAATGTACTATGCGTAGTTATATCGCCGGGTCCATCACATCAAAACAGAGACCCGTTGCCGGCAGGGCAGAGGAGACAAGACGACGGCAGAGATGGGGCGCATTGATTGGGTGGACGGGGCTGAACAACAGACAACGGACAACTGACAACGGAAAACGGACAACAAGTGACAGCGGCAAAAACAAACTTACTTACCTTGCTTAATTTACGTTTACCCACGCTACAAGAGGGGGGGGCGGGCGGGCGCAGTAACCAACCAACAGTGGCAGTAAGAAACCGTGGCGTGGCAATACGGAGACTGGCTGGCTGAAGAGGGGGATTCGAATTGGAAGAAATAGACGCGCCGCAGTGCAGTGGCAGCAGCAGAGCCTATTTCTTTTTTGCAGTTCAGAGGCAAAACAAGAAGAATGAGGAGTAGAACGGGCAAATCAGAGACCAGCAACGTGACCTAGGCTAGTGGACGGACTCGAGACAAAAAACCAAGTCAGAGGGGAGATTGGATTGATTCTGCTGGGAATTTCGAGGGTTGGCAGCAGACGATTGGATTGGATTGGATTGGATCAGGACAGGACAGGACAGGACAGGACAGGACAAGAAGAGAAAGGGGGGAAGGGGAGAAAAGTCTCTGAGTGGGTTTTGGGTGGCGGGTTGTGAGTGTTGTTGAGAGTGGAAAGTAGTTAGTAGTGAGTTATAGTAGTGAGTGGTGAGTCGTGAGTCGTGACTGGTTGGAGGTGGGAAAGTTGACGTCGCTGTGGATTTGCCGGGCCTGCTGACTCAGAGCTTAGCTAAGACGGAGTCCGGAAGCGCCAAGGATCGCCAAGGAAGGCGGCTGATGATTTGATTGATGATTGGCTGGCGGATTTGGGCGATTTGGGCGATTTGGGCGATTTGGGCGATTTTATTGCGGGCTGGCTGGGAATAAATCACAATCAATCACTCAATTCTTTTTTATTATTTCTCTTCTTTTTTCTGCTGCCAGCCTGCTGTGCTGGTTGAATCGTGAATCGTGATGATGTGACGGGGGCCAAAAACTAGAAATGGCTGGGTGCGCTAGGAAAATTACTATTGAACTTTAGTCGCCTTACTAACTAGTTACGGGTAACTTTCCCGTCTGTCTCTCGGTTTCCGTCTATCTTCCGTGCGCTGAATTCCCGACGGAGACGGACTGACTGACTGACTGACTGACTGACTGACTCTCCGCAAACGGGGACCCCGGGAAGATAATAATAATAATATTAATATTAAATGAATATTGGACAGTTTAGAACTTGGAAGGAGAGGGAAAAAATGTGATATGTATAAATCAACCTACAGATAACTATTATTATTATTGTGAGAGAATTCGTCTGTACTTAAAAAAGACTAGCTGTGTTTGCTGGTATTTTGGTCCGGGCGGTCAAGGGATGTATGTACGCAGTACGCAGTATGTTGTTCACAGCTAACTTGCGTCCAAGATCTTCCCACCAATACCTAAGTTACCTCTTTTATTATTATTTTATTGATTGCATTGCAGCAGTTATTATTATTTTAATTTATATATTATTCTCTCTCCTCTCTCTGCAGTGAGCTCACTGCGAACCCAGCCCTCGAATTTGAGCTGACTGAAGAAATTACCCAGTTAAGATGTCTCATATTGGGCGGCCTTTTTTCTTTTTCTTTTCTTTTTCTTTTCTTTTTTTTTTTTTCCTTCCTAACCGCGTGTGGCTATTTATTTAAACTAAACATGCAGTTCCATTGCCCTCTTTCAGCCCTGGAATTAATCGAAAACGCATCAATAATGATAATAATGCGGCTGTGCCTTATGGGAAATGTGAAAATCTTAAAATACACATCCAACCAATAATAATAATACACTAAGATTGACTGACTATATTTGAAAAATAGAAGTGTTTTCCAGTTGAATCATTCTGAGTAGAAGAGAGTACGGAGTAGCTAGCTACTTACTCTATATAATAATAATTAATTATTATCTTTAGAATAAGAGTGTGTGTTGAGTATTATTGAGTGATTTAAGAAGCTTACAGTGTGTACGTACGGAGTATGTACGTACACCTTTTTCTCTTAAGCCGCTTTTGAACAATGGCATTGTCCGGCATGGAACGACTAACAACACCATGCAACGAGGCATGCTTGATTAATATATGGCCATGCATGGTCATTCTCTTTTCTCTATTTCTTTCTTGCTCATGAATTCCTTGTCAAGACCTTGCATATTGCCTTTTAGAGAGAGAGAGAGAGAGAGAGAGAGAGAGAATAGAAAACAAAACAGACTCCTTCTCTCTCATTGTCCACTCTGTGCCAATTCCTGTCCTCCTTTTTTCTGTATTAACATTGCAGTAGTTACAGGTACTAGTTACCACCTCCCTCCCGCCTGCTCTGGTTCCCGACTCTCGACTTCAAAAAAGTAATTCCGAGAACCATAATGACGAACGCTGGAATGGCTGAGGCTTTTTTTTATTTATTTATTTTAACTTGGAGGTTGATGTGCGTGATGAGTCCAACTCTGACTTGGCCTGATCCTGATTCCGATTCCGGTTCCGATTCCGAGTCTTGAGGCAGAGCTCTGTACGAGTGTTTCACCTCCCAGCTTGTCCTTTGGTTTTTGATATAAATGGAAACGCTCACCGCTTCCTTCTCCGTCCGGTGCATGCGTGGATGGGGCTGAGTGTGTGTGGCTGGGAGTCATGTCTTCAGTGGACGCTGTACGTTTTCTCTCGGTCTGATCTGTCTTTCCCAAGTTTCATGTCTTCTTCGCTCTTCGCATCGGATGGGGATGGGGATGGGGATGGGGATGGGGATGCGGATGCGGATGCGGATGCTGATGCGGATGCGGATGCGGATGCGTAGGTTTTTGAAATTTGATACCCTTTTTTGCCGCTTTTCTCGTGTGACTCGGTGAGCGAGCGGTGGTTTCATTTCGTCTTGTTTCCTTTGGGATTATATATGTGTTCACATTATATACATTTCATGTATATGAGCCAGCATCTATCATATCAACCCTGCCCTATCTTGATATAGCCCCATGTGCCTGTATTCAGATATGACGGTTCCGCTTTTTCGGGAAAATATCCCTCTTGCCTAACCCTACCTACTCTTGGAAAAAGGCATCCCGGAGCGGCGTCATCCCACGAGCTGCTGATCCCTCTGTTCTGACATCGACAGATGCGCAGAAATCACAGTTATATTACTGTGCCGATTTTCTTCTGCGGCAGTGTCTCTGCCATAGTTGATACCTAGGCAGTACCACCCGTGACGTCGAGTTGCCACCCACTTTTCTTTCGGTGAGGGGTACATCTGTTGATCTGTCAATTGGATGGTTGATAAAGATTGAAACTGTTTAACTGGCTACCGGTCTGTCCATATTGACATTTGCTCTGCCGGTACGATGGTTTCAAGTTACGATGACGAATCCTCCTTTATCTCTCTGCCTCCTTGCTTGCTTTCACTTTCTTCCTTTTCCGTGTTTATATATCTTGATCACCACAGCCATCTCCAAAGGCTTCTCTCACACAGGAAAATTATTCTGATGACCAAAGACCTCACGCTAAAGAGGGCAAAAGCTGCCTTAATCGCTCTTGGGTGGTTTGGACATTTTATGGCAAAAAAAAAAAAAAAAAAAAAAAAAAAAAAAAAAAAAAAAATTTCACAGGGAGCTGGAAGATATTCTCCACCCCTAAAAGAAAGAAAAAAGGAAACGAAAAAAGAGATTTGTTGACTGGGGGCGATTTCTTAACAGATGCTGTCTATGGCTTGTCTCTTTTCCTGGCGCTCTCTTATTATCTTCAGATTGTCTAACTCCACTGCCACATGGTACGATGGGTGTACAGTACAAGTTGTTCCGATCAACCTGTTTCATGATCACCTCGCTCAATTTATCATTCGATAGTCATTCCTATCTTTGGCCTAGCGATATATACACCCGCTAGCCCCCTTTTCAACCTGATCTGGATCCAAAAGCTCCCCCTGTCTTCCCTCTTCTTTTTCAATTGGCTTGCAGCTCATAAGGTCTACTGCGACGTTCCTGTTATATTTGAAACTTGGATGACGGTACAGGGGCTATCCCCCTTGAGAGTAAAGGGGAAGGGAGGGAAGGGAAGCACGGAATATCTGGTCTTCCATTTGGTATTGTCTAGAAATGATGAGAAGTAAACATGCTTGAAACGTTTCTGACATGGCTGGATGAACGCAAAGACCCCATCCCATGGCTATCACCGCTTTCTTTCCCAAGATCCGGGGAACGTACTCTGTTGATGTTCAACCGTTGCCCTCTACCCTGTTCAGTAGCGCTTCTCGCGGCGAACCCACCATACCCAGCGCTTAGTTTTCAAAGCCATATTGCCCTCTAGACAGGCATATAAAATATATCTACATATAGCGAATGCTTCACTTGATTTCCCTCTTTCATCCACGTCGACGTTAGGAAATGTTAGGGTATATATCAGGGCATATATATATAGGAACAGCAAAGCTTTCCTCTGACTTGGCCACTTACACATACATAGGAGAATGTGCGGCTTTGGTATTGGCTAACCTATTGGCCCAGATACAACGACTTGATGAGAGGCCGGACTAAATTGGATGTTATTAAACTTCTCGATCCCTATATTGGTCAGGCCTAAGAAGTACCTGCGCATGATAGTACAGTACATACCATTTTGAAACTTTCACCATTCTTTCCATGATGCTACAATATAGTTTAAATTAGCCCATTATCAAGTCATTAGATGCTCTTGATCTGAGCTTCCTCTCTATTCTCTGTCTCTAATGATTATTGTTTACATTGAATCTACAGCACATCTTCATTATGCAATATACTACTCTGAGATATGACACATGCTTCCACCTTGTGTGAAGAGATAGTGAAAGTGAGCTCTACATTCTCTGCGTCTAGAAGATCAGACAGTATTTCAGCTTCATCAATTAAATGTTTTGGACTTTTAGGACAACGGAGGCATGTTGCTCTGAATTCATACACCATGGGAGCTAGCTATATAGAGAGTCGATTATCTCGAGACCCTGGACCTGTTACATGCTTTTTTAGCATTACATGTCCCTTTTTACATCTTTGCACTTTTTTCTCTCTTTCACGGAGCACTCTATACACACCAGCCAGTCTTTGATCTTGACATTCCAGCATGACCTTGTAAAAGTCATGGCGTCACTGTGATTGACCCCCCCCCTGAAAAAAAAAATACAAGCTGTGGTGGAGGAATTGAACGCAATGATGAGATAAATGTGCAATTGGATTTTGAGGGACAGCGCTTGGATCGGGCTCTTCTTACAATGTGTGGTACAAGATACTCTGGCTGTCCATGGTGCTAAAGCTACAAACCCCTATTAGATCAAGTGTAGGCGTTCTCTTGTTGCGCCAATTGTGAAAAAAATCGTCGCATTTGTGTTGTTTACTGATTCCAGAGGAAAAACAAAAAAACAAAAAAAGAAAGAAAAAAAAAAAAAAGAAAAAAAAGAAAAAAAGACTAGAAAAAGCCGAAATTACCCCGCCCGCCCCTCATTTCTGAGACATCTCTGTCCCTTATCAATCTTACAGAGCTGAAAACAGGTACCGAAAACATCGGTACCATAGCGACAGTATTGTATATATGTATAAATGTAATGTACGTACGTACGTACGTACGTATGTACGTATGTATGTATGTATGTATGTATGTATGTAAAATTTTAACCTTTCAAACAGGATGCCCCACACTGGTAATTTGAACAGATCCTCTCGTATATTACAAACCCAATTTGCGGGCCCAAAAACAGGCCCCTTCAGCGTGATCATCAGGAGGAATTTGCCATTCCTTGTTGTTGTGGATGCTACCGAGGAATGACACAACAAGCTACTGCCCTTTTCCCTGCCTTGGAGAAAAAATTTTCCTCCATGTATGCTTCCGCTCCGCCGGAGCTGGCCCTCCGGGAAATTCTGCAAACCAAATTCAGACACAGGTATGGCGCCACGACGGGTTCAGGAACTTGTTCTCCTGGTGGCTGGTTCTAAGGCCCGCAACTATAAGCTTGAAGCACCATGCGGCTGTAGCCCAGCCTCCTCGGCATGAAGCTAATTGAAGCGGGTGGTTCGAATCTTTGCTGTTTTCTTTCTTGCTTCGATAGTTCTTGCGTAGATTCGAGAATGTGAGGTTTTAACTTAACTGAGCCTGATGAATATCATTGAGAAAGAATAGGATGTTTTCCTCTACGATTCGTAGCTTGACTTCTGTCTTCGCCGACTGGTGTCTATCACGTTCCTGCATTATTGTCTGGAAATGTTTCTTAACACTCTAGCGTAGCAGCCGGGTCAAATCGGGATGTTTATCATCTTGCTCCACTGCGTTAGTATGGCACTCTACTCGTTGTACACAATCGAAGCCATTTTGCTAGAAGATCTGATAACGAACCCGAGATGATAGGGGCGGGGCTAGACCAAGGATAGTTTTAAGCGCTCTTGTCACCGTAATCATGTTTTCGAAGAGCGGGTGGTTTCATGAGCTCAGCTCGGGCTGTGATGATTCCTGTCAGTTGTGATGATTCCTGTCAGTTGTGATGATTCCTGTCAGTTGTGATGATTCCTGTCAGTTGTGATGATTCCTGTCAGCTGTGATCTTATCCGATTCTTGCCGATTACCAGATGGATAAAATTGGAGCCAGGCTGGAAGATACTGTACCGTATATTGCTGTATTATTTGAATACTTCGTACCGATGGTAATATACCTTGTATACCTATTTTACCCCTGAGTGGAAACCCCTGTATTTTCCCCCGACCGGGACGGATACGTTGGAAGCATCCACCAGTCGGTTGCAAGTCCACATTCTCGGTATTCTTGGAAAAGAACCGAGGAGGGGTTGGAGCATCATGTTGCAGCCCCTAGCATTCGACTACACGGCATGGCGCTTGGAGTCTGCTTTTTCAAAGGTTGCATTGCTGGGGACAAGCAGTGCGACAACTCACCTGCTATAGTCAACCTCCCTGGCTTCCCTGAAACTTATTGGATAAACCTGAGGCTGTTGCATTCTTTCATTCCGTTAGGCTTCCACGATCCGTATATCATTGCACAGCTATACAGGCTATCATACGTTAAAAATGAGCTCCTCCCCTGAGATGCGCGATTTGCCGCTCGTGCGGCTTCCAGAGCCGTACAAAACAAAATATGAACTGTACCAGGCTTCCTCAGGACCTAATGGCAGGATTTTCCAACTTCGACTGTCAAGCGATCAGAATAATGGCGCCATTCCCCCCCCGGAGCCGTTGCATCACGACATGCTCTACTTCAGCGAGTTGATCCCCGGTCCTGAGGCTACCTTACCAGCCGAATCAGATAACACCGCTTGGGCGCGGGCTTGCCGCAATATGGTATCATTTGTGACTTGGGATGGAGAGTCGGCACCAACGGTTGGCCAGCTATGGACGATGGTCTACGCGATCTTCTCTATGAGGCCATCAGAAGAATCCTTCCGACTTTCTCTGTCGGGCGCGCAGAAGGACCTGTTATACGCCGAATGCAATGCAACGGGACTTTCTACGCATTTCCCCAGCCCGGCTCAACCGCAGCCGTTGGGCAAAATTGAGGATATTTTGGTTTCTAGAGCGGCCTTCTGGCAAGGCGCAGGTTCTCCACTGGGGACTCGGGCTGCATGGCTTGTCCCATCGATTGAAGGAAGTGCCAGAAAGCAGCCATCGGAATATCCAGCCTTCCCTCTTCAGTACACTCTGACATCACAACTCACAAACCGGCCAGTCCATGCGCAACATCCAGTCCGGCCGGCAAAGCCTGCCCGTGGCGCACCGATATACAGCAGGTATATTCCGCACCTAGATGAATTTTTCGCCATGGATCATCTCGACTACAGAAATGAGACACATCTCCAGCTGTTTCATACTTGGCAGAATGATCCGCGAGTCGCCGTCAACTGGAAAGAGACTGGTACGCTGGACGAGCATCGCGAATATTTGCGAAAGATCGATGAAGATCCGCACCAGATGGCGGTATTGGCGCGATTTAACGATACTTATTTCGCCTATTTCGAGATCTATTGGGCTAAGGTATGATCTGTTCCCCTGTTCGTTTGAGGTTTTTTTTTTTTTTTTTTTTTTTTTTTTTTTTTTTTTTTTTTTTTTTTCAAATTATTTGTTCCTATCCCCACCGGGAAAGATTTTGTTGTCAGTTGCCATGACCACTAACTTCATAATTCTCGACGTAGGAGGACCACATGGGCACATATTACCCTGCCCTAGATTGGGATCGTGGCCGACACTCGCTGGTTGGTGATGCGCGATTCCGCGGCCCGCATCGGGCAACGGCATGGTGGACCAGTCTGATTCATTACATATTTCTTGATGAACCTCGCACGACATGTGTAGTCGGGGAACCGAACGCAGCCAATGGGCCCGTGTTAGGATATGATGCCGCGCATGGCTTCCACGTTCACAAATGGGGAGACCTGCCTCACAAGAGGTCTGCCATGGTGAGGTGCGAGCGGGTGCGGTTTTTCGAGGTGGTGAATTTCGGAAGTGTGACTAGCAATGGGACGGCGAAGCAGAGCAAAAGTAAATTGTAAGATTCGTAAGGCTGTTAGGCTGGGATTGAATTATGGTTAAATAGATTTATGTGATTTATTGTTCTCTGCTCTGTCTCCATCCCGAGATCTCTTTAAAAAAGTTGCCGTTTATGTAATCAGTATTAACTTAAGTTATCAGCCTCACCCAGCCTCAAACTTTGGAGCGTCTGGCTTCGGATTGTCTCGTTTTGAAGACAGAGACCTGTTTGAAATCCTGAGATAAGTTCTACTTTGGACGATACTGGATACTTTCGGTCTATAAAGTGTGTATGCATGTACAGTACATTATATATGCGTTAACCTGCACGCCAGTCCCCAACCAATTTCTTTCCCAGATCCCTTAGTATTTGCTTTTGAATCTTCCCGCTTCCAGTCTGTGGCATATCCGCCGGGAGCCTTGGATCCAAGCCAAACACAAACACATGCTTGGGAGCCTTATGTCTTCCGAGCGTCTGCCGCGTCCAATTCCTTATTTCTTCCTCAGGTGGGCAAGTATGCCCAGTTTTAAGCACCAAGAACGCGCTGACAACTTCCCCGTAATGCTTATTGGGTAGCCCAACCACTGCAGCTCGCGAGATAGCTGGATGTGCTGTGAGGCGTTCCTCAATTTCGAGAGGATAGATGTTTTCTCCTCCCCTAATAATGATGTCCTTGTAGCGCCCGGTGATGCTGCAATACCCATCTGAATTGAACACCGCCTCGTCACCAGTCCGCAACCAAATCGTGCCATCCTCATCTTCTAGCAATGTCTCGGCAGATTTTTCTGGATTGTCCCAGTATCCTTTATGAACTTGATAGCCAGACATACAGAGTTCTCCTCGCTCCCCAATTTTCACAGTCTCCCCTGTTTCGGGATTAATGATTTTGGCCCTAGCATGCGGTAGCACTTTGCCGACGGTCGTGAGCCGGGTATCAATTGAGTCGCTGGTGAATGCGTTGAAGCATGTTGGAGAAGCCTCGGTCAGCCCATAGCTGCTCGTGAACTCAGTCATATTGAGCTCATTCCATAGCCGTTTCATAAGTGGCCGCGGCACTGGCGCACCTGCGATGATGCCTGTCCGGAGTTGTGAGGAGTCAAATGAATCGGGTCTTGGGAGTGCCAAGATTGCTTCGAACATTGTGGGCACTCCATGTAGTGCAGTGCACCTCTCCTCTGATATCGCTCTCAATACTGCTTCGGGGTCAAAGGTTTCGGCTGGATACACGACCTTGGACCCGTGCGTGATGCAGGCGAGGAGCCCTAGGACTAGCCCAAAACAATGAAATAATGGTGGCGGACAGCAGAGTATGTCGTACTGAGTAAAGTCCATCCGATCACCGATGAATCGCGAGTTATTGATCAAATTGCTATGCATAAATCAGCATCTCTGAATTGATTCAACGCAAGGAAAAAGCAGTCTCACTGATGTGTTAGCATGGAAGCTTTTGGGTTTCCAGTTGAACCACTCGTGAACTGCAGATTGCAGACGTCGAATGGCGATAAGGTGTCTTGTCGTCGCTGAACCGCATTCAAGGGAACGGAGTTTCCGGCAAGAACAACATCTTCATATGTTCCGAAGTTTCTAAAGTGCCCTTGAATCATCACCGTTTCCTCAAGACTTGGAAGTCGTTGTGAAATATCGGGAGAGTCAAGGTCTTCCAATGCCTTCTCAAGATCGTGTCGGCCGATCCGAGGAACAATGAAGAGCAATTTGCACGCTATTACCCATCAGTCATTATGGCCTAGATTTTAAGGAAACGTATCAAGAGAAAAGGCAACAAAAACGTACCTGTGTGGTTAAGAGCATACATCAACTCAGCATGCGTATAGGTGTTGTTGATGACTACCAGGATTGCGCCAACCCGGGCAGCGGCGAAAAACAGAGACACATATTCCTCGCAATTGCCTGCCATAACCCCAATTCTATCTCCGCGTTGAATTCCTTTTGCCAAAAGGCCACGCGCAAGGCGGCTACTCTCATGCTCGAGTTGACCATACGTCCATCGCGCCCCCGTCCAGGGAACAACAACACATTCTAAGTCACGATACCGCAAACACTGGAATTCTAACAATTCGCCTAATGTCATCTCCCAGAGCGCCGGCTGGGTGGGTCCGTGAACGATAGCTAGGTTTTCTTCATCTTTGTGAACGGATTGCGGCAGGATGTGATTTAATGTCTGTTGCAGCCTCCAGAGAGGCGTATCATTCGATATAGTCGCCATTATTGACAATTGGGCATTGAATACTCGACACTAAACATGCCGCCAAATGCTTCGAAGAACAGAAGTCCACTTTGATAAACTCTAGCATATATTATATTCTTTTCTTTTTTAGAAATTGCTGGAACCCGTTATGAAGTAATGCGACCAGTCCAGCCCGTCCCATACAGCTGGTTCGGATTCAGGGCGAGAAACGAAACCTTCCGAAGTCATTCCGATCTCGCTACTCCGCCGACGATATACGAATACCGCACATAAATGCAAATATTACGTGCTTGTTATTTATACGAGTTGCAAAAAAGGGATTTCATTTAACCGAGTGAGCAGGTGGAATGCTACGGAGTACAGTGGACCTAGATGTTAATCCCTTTTTTCGCTTTTCGTGGGTGGGGTGGGCCAGGAAATCTAATCAATCAGATAATCTTATCAGTCCCATCGGCGAAATTTACACTGGTGCGTTACAAGCTCTGAAATACACCGAATTCGGCGTTACGGCCTCCGCAAAGGTTGGAGCGTATTCGGGTCCGTGACGACATGTATTTGGCTGAGACTAACGGTTTCCCGCTTTGTCCCCGTGTTCAGGCTTCAGGCCACTTCAACGTCTCATCCCTAGCTACTTTTCTTGTTTGGCAAGGTTCATCGTGTGGGACAGAACAACCTCAGTTGTGTTTCCCCCAACAAGTGGGCTGATCTTTCGCAGGTAAACAGATGCGTGCCTTTCTATAATAATACCCCAACCCGGCGGTGCCAATCTGCTGGGAACGGTGTCTTCACCTATTTGAACAAAGTCCTCTTAAATTTTGGTATTCCCTACTGATTTTCTTCCCTTCCCTTAGAATCTTCTCCTCTTTTGTATTATCCTTCTCCCCTCTTTGAGCCTCCCTGTATCATTTACTCCCCTCACGTCCGCTACCAACGTCACCATTGTCTTCTCAATGGAGACAGTACTCAAGAACGACAATTCCCACGGCCGGGAAGCGGCTATCATGCAAGAGAACAGCAATGCGGGGAGTAGTTCGAATGGGGGATTTCAACATGATATAATCTGTGTTGGGTTCGGGCCTGCAGCCCTCGCCATAGCAATTGCTATGCGGGACCGCGGGATTGAGCGTCGCGTGCTATTCTTGGAGAGACAACCAGAATTTGGCTGGCACACGGGCATGTTACTTCCCGGGAGCAAAATGCAAATTTCGTTTATCAAAGACCTAGCTACTCTACGAAACCCCCGCTCTCACTTCACCTTCCTCAACTACTTACACCAGAAGGACCGTCTCATCCATTTCACGAACCTCTCTACCCATTTGCCTTTCCGCGAAGAGTTCAATGACTACATGAAATGGTGCGCGTCCCATTTTAACGATTGGGTCCAGTATAATCAAGAGGTAGTCAGTGTTACTGCTGTCGCAGCGACGCCCGGCTGGCCTGCCGAATATTTCAAACTGATGGCCCGTGATGTTCGTTCCGGGAAGCTTCGAGAGCTGGCTGCCAAGCACGTCATTGTGGCGAGTGGAGGGGAACAAGCAATTCCGCTGGGACTTTCTACGCAACCCCTACCCAAAACTGTTATCCATTCCTCTATCTATCTATATTCTGTACAAAAGCTTCTCCAAGAAAGAAATGGTTCTTACCGTTTTGCCGTCGTTGGTGGGGGCCAGAGCGCAGTGGAAATTTCCGAGGACATACAATCGAGATATCCCAATTCTAAAGTCACCCTCATTACGAAAGCTTCGGCACTAAAGCCCAGCGATGACAGCCCATTGTAAGCCAATTTCCCACCTTTAATGTTGACAGGAAAAAAACTCTAACATGACTCTCAAATTCGACAGTGTCAATGAAATTTTCGACCCACGCAGTGTCGATAAGTTTTATTCTTTAAACCACTCAGCACGTCAACAGTCTCTTCTCGAGAACAAGGCAACCAACTACGGTGTTGTCCGACTGCCACTTCTAGAATCAGTATATGGCAAGTTATATCGCCAGAAAGTCCTGGATCCCAACCCTTCTAATTGGCCACTTCGCCTGGTTACCAGCCGCGAGGTTGTGGGCTTGGAGGAATTGCCAAACAATCAGGTAGAGCTTCGGCTCAAGGACACACAATCTGGGCAGGTCGAATCCTCGGGCGAGGTATATGACTTAGTGGTTCTTGCTACGGGATATAAACGTAACCCAATTGCTACGATGCTCAAACCCTTGGTACAAATTGTTGAGGCTCCAGCAAATGGAGACAAATTCCAAACAGATCGGGACTATCGGTTACGGTTTCACCAAGGAAAAATCAAACGTGATGCTGGTATCTGGCTCCAGGGGTGTTGTGAAAGCAGCCATGGTGTATGTTAAATCCCCCCCAAAAGAAAAAAAAAAAAAAAAAGAAAGAAAATTGGATTTCCATCCCGATTTTGTACTGACAATATAATCTTGTGCAGTTGAGCGACAGTCTTCTATCAATCCTTGCGGTACGCAGCAGCGAACTGCTTGATTCTATACTTGCTTGCAGTAAACGAGGTGCAGATTACGCACGGCTTTAGAAAATCGGTACCTAATATGACGTTCTGGAACCAGTTTTTAGAGGAAACACATCATTAGCTTTCGCATAAATTTTCCATTCGGCGGTTGATTTGTGAGAAAACGAGTGTTGGAGCGAAAAATATGTTGCCTCTTTTGTCAAAGAAACTACGGCGACCTGAAAACGCATTAATTATTGATGATTCCTACCGCTTTTGTTTCGCGTTTGAACTTAAAAAAAAAATTACATATACCGGGGGGCGTTAATCGCACACATTTAAATGGGGCGGCTTGGATGAACTTGAGCTCTTTTTCTTTCTTGTATGCAGTGTCTTTTATGTTAATATAGACATGTATATTGCTTGCTAGATGTTTTTTTTGTTTTATTAAACCTTCCTAGCCTGTTATTTTTCCTGCACTATTTATACATCTATAACTTAGGCTTATTTACATCCTCTACCTGATCATCCTCCTTCACCAATGCTCTTCCATGTGACAATACGACCCTGTCACCAACCTTCACCACAAATCTTACCTCTCGCAGTCTTTCGGCGTTTTGGTCTACGGCTGCTGCTCCTTTCCACAACCCCATATCCCACATGAGGATATGCAGCCTATCCCCCGGTTTAACGGGTGCTACGAACCTCGCTTCAAAGTCGCGAAGACGCCAGCCCTCACTACCGCAAAACCGAGATAACACTTCTCTGGCTGCAACGTTCCAGCTGAAGAGTCCATGCATGATTATACCACCATATCCCAGCGCTTTCCCGGACTCCGGAGTGGCGTGAAGCGGGTTGTAGTCGCCGTTCAGTCTAAATTCGTAGAAAATGATAGTGCTTAGAGACATTACCTAAAATACAACCAAGGCTCCAAGTGCTCAGGTAAAGAAGCAGCAATAGGATGTCTTACCGATACAAATGTGCAGATTCTGTGTTAGTTTGGAAGGTTGACACTGCGTCTGGCTCTCTTGCTGGACTTGGAGGAGGGTACCCCTTAATTTTCGGACCTGGAAGTTCTCTCAATTAGTAAAAGCAAAGCTTTCTGTCATCCATGTATCCGGCATTCCACACCACACTGTAAAAGTAGAACCAATGGGCCTTAGAAATCTAGCAGAAAGAAAGAAAGAAACTGGAAAGGGGCAGCCTTCACCTCTCTCCCCGCCCCAACCGCCGGTTCCCTTGAAGAATGCACTCTCCCAAGCGCGAGTATACACCTGCCCACTCTCCCGTTGCTTTAGCACATGCTCCATCTCCATCACAGTTCCTTTCCCGACGCCCTTATCGAACACTCCTAGGACTTTCGAATGGATCTCCCACGTATTCCCGTCGCTGGATGGCGGAAGGGGCCGTAGGAACTCCATCCGTCGCCTCCCATCGACGGCTACACCCCAGTCTAATTTGGGGCAGCCGGGAGGTAAGGTTCGCGCCGCATTTCGCGCGAGGAAGTCAACGGTGTCTACATCGGCGTGCTTGAAGGCTAGTACTGGCATTTAATATATGATATATAGATTATCTCCGTAGGCAAGGAAAGAAGATGACATACTTAGCACAATGGGATACGTGGGGAAGACTTGGAAATTTGGGTGTAGTTCCTGAGAGTCAGAATTAGCATCAGGAATGGTATTACTCTCTTTTTTCTTTTCTTCTCATTTTCATTTTTTTCAATTGGGATATCCTATATAATATAATGCGTACATAAAGAAAATGAAGCCCATTCCTTGCTTCGCAGCCAATTGAGTTGGCGAAAAGAAGCACGTCGCGCGTCAGCCATGTCGTCTTCACCGGGGCATATTCGAACTGTGGTATGCTGATTGGAATGGTCATGATCTCAATTGTCTTCTATTATGTACGTCCGCATGTATAAATAATGTTGAATTGGCTTTCTGAGGTCGCAAAATGGACAAGAAGTTATAGCATTGGCATGTGCATATGCGGATATTGGTTTAACAATCCCTAGTCGCATTATACTGATCCACCAAGACCTGTCTTGTTTCTTTGAAGGCGAGAAACTAGCCAAAAATTACACGATCACTCGAGCCTGCAGGAACAGGAGATAGGGAGACTTAGTAAATCAGCCCTTTTTTTTCAGGAGTAAACTTTTATTGATATTGTTCATCCTATCCCATGGCTATGTTTCCTCTCGTTGCGCTCTCGGGGTTGCGGAATACATGTACTGTACCATGGTTACTTGTCTGTTACGATGTTTTGTAAGCTACATTCATACTGTACGTATGCTTACAGCTCGTTCGTTATCTGATCTGAAATGAAAACAAGGTTTTTGCACAACGGATCTGATAACTCTAATGCAACGCTCAGCTGTATCATATTTTCTTTTTCTGTTTTCTAGCGTGCTGGGGACCTTGGGTGTTGTTTTTATTCTCTTTTCTTCGTTATTCCGCTCGCGCTCCGACCCCTCATAGACCGCCTTTCCTTTGGGGCTGGAAATCCTTGCTTCCTTGCGTGAGAGTGCAGGGGAAATTCCTTTTGCCCTTCTCGCGTGGTAAAAGTTAAAGTTGAGGCATTTCCATTGTATAGTAGTTACAGTAGTTTTCCTCCGCCACCTGACCCAATCATAGTGGGCCGCAACCGAGAGACTACAGCGATAAAAGGGCCTGTACTTGTTCCATACAATCCGTGTATGAATCCATGCCAAGTATCATGATACTCTACGGTTAAAATAATATATACAAATGAACCACCGGATCTGCTTGTCCCTTAGAACCCCCGCTAGCTTGCACTCTTGGTAAACTAAAATAAGCCACACCAAAAAGCCAAATAGAGCCTCGACACTCAGCCGAACGGCGGGTATCCTTTTTGCGCCCATTCTTCAAACATCATCCCTCGGGCCGCTGACGGCATCTTGGCCATCAGGGGAGCCTCGATATCGGAGGCAAAGTGAGTCACTTCCGCCTTCAACAGGGCGCCCTTAGACAGCCTCTCAAACCCAAGCTTCGTATACAATGGCACTCCGGCCTTAGTGGATTCGAGGTACACTGGCAACTGCAGCTTCTCGCCGATGTCCAGGCCCCAGTCCATCAGCAGCTTCCCGATGCCGCGATGTTGGTGCTCTGGGTGCACTGCGAGGAGGGCGCAGTCTTGTGGGTAGGTTAGTTTGTACAAGTGTTTCTTAAAAGCGTATGGATGTACAGTAACAAGTAAACGGCGCGGAATGGGATTTTCACTCACAAACATGTCTCCTCCCGCCCAACCACTTTTCCCTCATTTCCCACAAAGCCCCAAGGAATGCTTCGGCCCTCTCCTTCTCTGCCCCCTCTAGCCACGGGATGGTTGGCTTCTTCCGCTCCTCATCGGTTTTCCCCCGCCAGTATACATCCCAAACTGCCATGCCGACAATTTTGCCAGTGTCGGTATCTACACATTTCAATGTATGTGTCACTGTGAGGCCGTGCCACCATTGTAATGTTTTGGCTGTATGTTCCTTGCGCAGCTCGGCGTCCACGCCACGCGGGTACAGGATTTCGATGATGATGTCGTCCTTGAACGCGGCAAAGTAGACATCGTAGACTGAGGTGATGTCGGAGATCGTGGCGGGAAGAGCGATTAGACCCATTTTTGTTGTTTGGTATTCCCCTGTTGCGGGATTTAATTGGTACTTTCTTGAAAAAAGAAATTAATATGTGATTAGACTTTATTTACTCCGTATGGGTCCGAATTTACCACCGAAGATATTGAAAGTAGATGATGTTATTCCTTCATGTTGGCTCGGTGTCGGATTTTTCAACCTTAATAAATGGAAATTCCCGTAGCGAACCCATCCACGGAACAACTACCACCCGGGCGTTGGACTTCGATTGAGAGAAAGGATGACATCAATGGTGAAGCGCCGCCTATCCTATCTCATAGTACAGTACTCCGAACTTGTACTAAAAATAACTTATCTGAAACCCGAAAGGCGATTAAAAAAGGACGAGAAATTCACAGAAATGAGAAAATAGATGCTTCTTGACTTTAATGAATTAAGGGAACGAAAACAGAGCCACCGAAAAGCTGTGCGCCGATATTTCCCAAAACCCCGTCCATTTACTCCCATTATCCATCATTTCCCTGGTCAATTTACCCCTCACCATGTGCCCAACGGCTAAAAGGCATTGCATTGTGCTGCAATGCTAGCGCACCAGGCGTGCAAGCAGTTTACCAGAATATCATAAAAACATACACGGAGCGCTCTAAACAACAAGGCCCTTGACTTGCTTGAAATCTTTAACCTTAATATCCCTCCACATCATGGTAGCTCCAAGAGAGACAGCCAAGATCGCGGTACCACCGATAAGCATGTATTTTTGCCCATCGCCATAGGCTCTGTTAATAGCAATCCTTTCAAGACTTCCAACTGGATACGACTTTTGTACCCTGAGGTCCCCGTAGATGAGAGTGGCGTTGGCCTTGGCCTCCTCAGGTAGGTACTCAGCCAATCTTTGGGGGAATACTCCGGTCCAGATCGCAGCAGCAACAGTTTGACCAATCGCACCACCAATGCTTGCAAACATGGCTTCAACGGCGAGAACGACGGCGACGTATTGATGGGATGTGGCGGCCATCGCAGCCATTTGTTCTGTGATCACCAACGTTCCGCCAGCGAAAGCGATGAAAATCTGGCACATAATAATATATCCGATGTTGACATCCGGCTGGCGGAAGGCGATCATGAGACCGACGCCGAGAATAGTAAGAGGCACACCGAAATAGAGCGCAAGCCATTTAAAGCGTCCAGTCCACCGCACCAAGATACCTACAACGATGGACCAAAAGCAGGAGCCGATACTGTAGATATTAACGATATAGCTTGCTTGGGTGATTGATAAGTTGTTGACGACTTGGAGGAAAGAGGGGAAGTAACTGTCCCAGATGAAGAAGCTAATAAACAAGCTTCCTGCAAGAATACAGGCGCCTAGCACAGTTCGATCGAAAAGAAGCCCGAATGGGATGAAGCAGACGGGTGCCAGGTACTTCTCATATAGTGCGAAAGCGACGAGGAGGAGACCACCGATAATGATCATGCTAATGACCAGACTTGACCTCCACCGATCTTCTTGATAAGAGTAAAGGCTGAATGGGAGGAGAAAAAGAGCCAATCCGCCAGCCAAGAGAAGGATCCCGATAACATCGAATTCGATAAAATAATACTTGCACGACTGGGAGAATGTACGGGTACGTTCTTTTTCAGACAACAAGCCTGAATCCTTCGCTTTTTTATAGTTCCAGGCAAACACCCCGTACAGAGGGAGAGTGATGATAGGGGTAATAATGGCAAAAGCACCATATCCCCACCTGAAGCCGGGGCCATTCAGGAAGGCAGTTGCAAGCGGTCCGCCAATCCAGACAGTAGCTATATAAGGTGAGGAAACAAACGCAAACATCAGGGCTCGGTTTTTCAATGCAGACGTATCGGCAATGAAAATGCTTATTGTGTAAGTCATCCCATTGTATCTGTGAAAAGCGCGGAACGGTGGATTAGCTTCTAACAAAATAATAACAGTCAAAACTGGTAGAGTATACATACCCGACCCAGTAGAACACTTGGGCAGCAGCATAGGTTTGGACGTTGTTACACGCAGCCATCATGATAAGACCGATGGTCAGCGTTCCTACCATGATTAGGAAGCCCTGCGGTCGACCCCAGATATCGAGGACTTTCGCAAGGGGCAACCTGATCAGACCACCGATGATACTCGACATTATCCCCGTTGCAGCCGTCAACGAGTGCAGCTGAAAACTACTCGTGACATATGGGAGGAGAGAATTGGACATTCCCTGCTGCATGGTGTCGACAAACGCGATAACCCATATCCTATTATTATTATGTACGTTTTAGCCCTGCCTCGGGCCGATGATGGCGGCGTGAGGTGTTAGAGACGGCAGAGGGGATGGACAGGACGTTCGAACATACATGACATATGCAAAGATGAGATGTCTTCTGCTCCAGACCTGGGTGGTGGCCTGGATTTTGCGTACACCATCTTGGGCATCTGCAGAAAGACTCTCGTCGGTGTCGCTCGTAATCGCTTGGCCTACAAGCGCACCACCTATTTCCTTGTCCTCTACACTACTTGCATGCTGCTTCTCCTCGATAGGCGCATGAGTCTGAAGCTTGGAGAGGAAAGTTCTCCGCATAGTGACAACGCTTTGGAGTTACAACAGGGAGAAGGAGGAGGAGGAAGACGGAGAGGGAGCGTGGAAACGAAAGGTGGTGAAAGGTGATTGTATCAAGAGGCAGCTCAGCAACAGAGGTAGGGTAGGTGATGGGAGGAATCACTTTTTAAAACAAGGTCGCTCGAAGTGGTCCGATATCTCCGACAGCAAGCTATTTGCTGATCCGACCATGGCTCGCTTTTGGGTAGTTACTGTTCGTGGTTAGGATAGGGCATTGCATATTTTGCAGGCGGCTGATTGATAAGATTGATGTAGTATATATAGTTCGTATAGCGTGAGTTAAAATACAGTTAAATACAATACAATATACATATCTGTATTGTCATACCATACCGTTGATATCAATCCCTTGGGGGCGTATGTATCGGATACCGGGTAACGAACATGTATCCACGTTCCCAACCCGAGACTGGAGTATTTCCTCCTGCCCACGGTTTATCCCAAGAGTCTCGCTCCCCGCTGATGAGATTCTTCCGTGGGTTTTTTTTTTTTTTTTCCTGTGCCACAACTTTCGATTTGGTGGCTCTCATAATTGACGACTTGGAGTTTTGGGAGAGCAGTTTGTGAGAAACGCTCTTGGGCTTGGCGACTCGGAGGTCTTTTGGCTCGGCTACTTTGACGCGATTTCACCTTGCTACTCATAGAAGTCATAGGACGTCCGAAGTCTTTGCTGCCCTCGCCCCTGTGGAGCTACGATTCTGCTCCCGAAGTCCGCCCGCTGAAGTGTGTGAGAAAGCGGCCTTGCCAGCATTGCACCTAAGAATGCCTTTTAGCTGTGATAGGAGCAGTTTCTCGCTCCTAATCTATACCTATGATATTCTCTCTTTGTGGCTAATAAGTCCCCGTGGCACGGCAACGCAGTTGAGATATATTCCCTTATCTTATAGACAGACCTAATAGTGCAATCCCCTGCATTCTTGCTGCCCTATACAACTGTGTATTAAGATGTAGATTTGTTTGTATGTGTAGTTTCAGAGACATCAATGCTGATTCCCCTCTACTGCTTTTCAATAGGCAACAATTAATCCAAAGATTTATCTTCAAGAGATTTATTTCATTGGGAAATGGGGGTTGCGCTGTTCATCTCCCTTATTCTAACCCTCCTTTTTGCCAAGTTCAAGTTACCCATCGTCAGCTTCAAAGCAGCGTGGAGGTTGGGACAGATGTGTTTCGCTTCCCACCTTGTCAAATGAACTTGACTTCCTTTTGAACACATGGGGCTTGGTGTATCTGGTGATTGTCCTTTCACTTATTCATTTGCCCTGAAGTGGATTCAGGCGCTGCAATATCTCTCTGCCCCAGCTGGCTGTTCCACATATTAGAAGGATCGCTGCTAATCCAACAGCCACAGCTCTGCAGTATTGCTGCTACTGCCCTAAGCGGTGCCGAAAGGCTTAATAAACTAAGCACAACAGGCTCTGTTAATTGCATTGGTTATAAGTCCTATCCGAGATACATCCATAGATGAACAAGTCTGAAGTTGTGCTATGTCAAGTCATCTCAATGGCGGCTGAAATGGATGATCGACCGCTATTCCCGTTTAGGCGATTTCCAATCCTTTCTTGGCATCCGCAGATGTCTTGGCCACGCTTATTTCCTAATCGGGTATCGAGCTTCTCCTTTCTCTGACATCGCCATCGCTGCAAATAGCGCACTACAGCATCAGAAACAGGCGACGCCGCAACACAACCATCAGCATTTGTGGGTCGAGGAAATATGGCAGTATGATTCGAAACATTCCCCAGAAGTGGTAAATTTCCTGGTGAAGAGAATGGGCGCAGCATCTATGTTTCTTGTCAGGGGCTGCTCGCGGGGCTTGACCATGGGCAGAACGGTATAAAGGCGATGGGATGGGACGGCCTCTGACCTTCTCAGGATTTCTTAAAAATGACAAAAGGGCTTGTTAATTTACGACCCCTAGCGGGAGTTATTTTCTCATATCAATATCATTTAGAGCAACCATGTCATCAGAGCTTACAGCAGAAGGTAAATACTTACTCACCCCAACGCAGGGTCTTACTTCTCTCCTAACGCCCGCTCACGCAGATTTATACCACTACTCTCCAAACAAAGGTGTGGCTATTTTCTTTACCGCGGCCTATGCATTTTCTGCAGCATTGCATGAATTGCAGTATAGGTGAGACCATCCTTCTACCAACGATCAAAAAAAATACATACTCGGGCTTTCTCATCCTGACCTCCTTCCAGGACATCGAAACCACAGAAATTCACAATTCCATTGACGTTAGGCGCCATATTTTCAGCAATCGGCTTTCTCCAGCGCTCGCTTCTCGCTTCTGATAAGGGGAATGTGAAATCCCTCTACACAATCTCCACTATGTTCATTCTTGGCGCTGGGCCGACGTATGCTGGCGCAGATTATTTCATCTGCGGACGGCTATTTAGCTTTGTCCCATCCGCCGCTCCAATGTCTCCGATTAGGGTCGTCCGCACGTTTATCGTATTTGACGTCCTGGCGGAAGTATGCGTCTGGGCTGGTGCCGGTCTACTTGCGGGTGCTGATACCGACACGGCCGCTCGTTTTAAAGTTGGGTTAAACTTGGTTCGAGTTGCTATGATTATCCAGGTGACCTTGTTCGCATTGTTTGTGGCTGTTTTGACATTATTTCATGTCCGAGTCCGTGAAGTGCGTGCAAAGTGGTCCGTTACCTCGGATGGTGGTACGGGGAGAAGGTTCATGACGGTGGTGTACTCTCTTTACACCTCGTCGGTTTTCATTATTATACGATCTGCGTACCATATCGCAGGTATATATATATATATTTTTTTCCAGTTTGTACTGTTGCTTTTACTCTCATGCTGCCGTCATTCTGGGCTGACCTCTTCTGCTTCTAGAAACATTTGTCCCGGAGGGCCACTCATTTCGAACAGCGGAGCATCCCTTCCTCATCTGTGAGGCGCTTGTGATGCTACTTAACACCGCAATGTTCAATATCTTCCACCCTGGCCATATTCTCCCAATCGACTCGCGGGTGTATGTGGGTCGTGATGGGCAGGAGAGAGCAAACGAAGCAATCGAGGGCGCTTTCAACGATTCGCGTCCCCTGTTGCAGAAGATACTGGACCCGCTTGATTTCAAAGGGTTGTTCGTGAGGGATAAAAGAAAACTGTATGACCCCCAGGAAGAGCTGGAAATGTATACCAATTCGACTCAAGGCCTCGTTCGTCGTTAGAAGTTAAGTAGACTATTGATGTGTATTATTTCTCAATACTCCCAATCCTGTTTCTTGTCTGTTTTTCCCTTCTTCGTCTTTTTTTGCGTTTAATTGCGTTTTGCACGCTTGGAACTTAGAGATGGCTTAATTTATTGAGTAGAGGCATGGATCGAGTTTGGGTTTCTAAACCGTTTGCATTTGGTCCCAGAATTCTATTTCTACTACGTTAATTGGAAGCTCAGGCATCTGGAGGTCGGTTATTATCAGCTCACAGGACTTTCTTTACAGGGAAAATGTAATAGAATGGAGTGATATTCAATGGTCTGCTACTCGAAATATATCATAGACTTTTAACAAGCGTGAAACGGAAACAATTGTGAGTAAATTTTTAAAACATAACATAATCAAATCCCGAAACTCGTATTTCCTTTTCTTTATTCGAACAAAATACCCCTTAGAAATAGAAACATGATAAATAGAGGAAATAGAAAGAGGAGATACACGCGTGCTGACCACCTATGCCATACCTAGATTTCAAATATCCAATGGAAACGGCTATGGACTAACCCCAAGCGACTGTGCAGCAGCGTCTCTGTGTCTATCTTAGCCATTTCCTAAGGCATGATAGAAAGTTCCATAGGGTCGCGGCGGAAGACTTTCTTCCTTCTTTTCTGTCTAGAATAGGGCCGAATCCGGTTTTGTCACTAGTTGCGAGATAATGTCACCCATTTCGTTGAGGATAGAGTCGGCCTCCGCGCGCCAGGACTCGAACGTGACGATCTCGATACATAAGCTGTCTCCTTTCGGGAAGGCCTGTACCTTCCACTCACGAAGCGGCTCGAGGTGTGGATATATCGTCTCCATTCGGCTATTGGCTGATAAAAACGCTAGATTTTCGACATGCTCAACATCTTGGTGCACCACAGTGTCAAACCAATCCACCGTCTCAGGCCAGTCTGTGCAGTTCCGGACGATTTCCTTGAGGCCGATTCCTTCGAACTGCGCGCTTGAAATGTGCTGGTGTTGCACGAAGTTGAGAAGGTCGATTGCCGTCCAGCCAGGCTCGAACTTTACACGTAACGGAACATACTGCCAAGTTGGTCCCATCACAATGTCACAGTTGGGGAGATCGATGTTGCGGCCGCTGACCACTTCACCGAATGTTACGTCACGAACGGACAAACGGCGAGCCAAACATAGTGCCCATGCTGCAGAAGGGATAGTGGCAAGCGTGATTTCTTTGGACCGGGTTGAGATATCAAAAGGTTTGGATATAAAGATCGACTTTTTACTCTCCAAAGGCGTTGACGGGCGCAGAGTTGACATGGAGGAGCCTCGGAGTAGGTTTCGCCAGTATTCGATGCTTTGCGGGATGTTCTCTCGGACGACGTGGTGGACAAAGGAAGAGAATGGTATGGCCTCAGGAACCGGCTTGCCCTCGTACAAAGCGGAAAGCTGACGGAGTAAAATTGGGAGGCAGATTTCGTCATACTGAGCATGGGAAATCCGCATGATTAGGCAACTTTGCCCGGTTGAACACTGAACAAAGAAGAATTTTATGAAGGGCGTTCCGAGGGGCATCACTGTCTGCACATCAAGATTGCAAAGCTGCTCGGAGAAAGCAACTAAGTCGCCGTCTATTTCGTATTCAACTAGGGGTAGCTGTAGCTCCTTTATTACGACGCCGAAGCAAGAACCTCCGGACTTGACGAAAATTGTCCGTAGAATTTCGTTGCGGGATATGATCTCCCGACAACTTTCGAACAGACGCGAACGGTTGACTGCTGAATCCAGGTAAAATAGTTCGTACCGTGCAGAATATCGAGGAAGGTTGATGGTCCCATCTACGGCGATTTCCTGGAGAGGGCGGGCAGGCAGGACATCTACTACTTCCCAGCTTGAGTTTGCAAGTGATGGGAGAATGCACTCAGAAACGAAAGTATCAATATCTGAGACATCAAGCGTTGAATATGGGATATATTGTTTGGTAGGTTTCTGAAGCTGTTGCGACTCCTTCGCAATATCCGCCATATCGCGAAAACTACGATTCTGGAAGATTTGCATCACACTCAGTTCGAGATTTTCCATTCTCCCCTCAGAAACCAATTTCATAGCGCTAATAGAGTCCCCGCCAAGGTCGAAGAAACTGTCGTCCGGACCAACCTCGTCCTCGCTAATCCCAAGGACACGGCTCCAGAGCTTTTGCAATTTCCGTTGTTTTGGGGTTGATATCTGCGACTGATTTTTGGCTTCAGGTTTCTTAGCTTCCTTGTTAGGCTTGATATTGTCGCCCTTTTTCCCTCTAAAGACTAACGAGCCATCTCCGTTATACTTGGCTAACTGGCCTGTTTTGTAGAGCATCGCTCGCCTTCCTGGAATATCCCGATGACCGGCAGCAAGCCATTTGGTACCGTCGATATAGGACGAAGTGGATGATGTGAATTGACCCTCAATTATAAGCTCTCCTATTCCCCCAAGTGGAAGTAACTGTTCCGGGTCTTGAGGGTCAACTATCCAAGTTGCAGTTGCCTTTGAATAGTCGTAACCCAAGATTGCCTCACTTAAACTATTCGGCTTTTTGATATTGCTGAAACGCCATATCCCTGCTAGATCGTCTTCTGTCATTGGCAACAGATCGCCGACAAGCGCATTCGGGTTTTCACAAAGTCGTTGCACAGTCTGTCCAAATTGCTTCAGAACCTTGTCCATCTGGCAGACGTCAATTGTTGCCGAATCAAAACTGGCCATGACCAGGAAGCCCTTGGGATCTAACGAGCAAACCAACATGAGAGCATATGTATTGAATTTTAACGCTTCACGAGCAGCCTCTTCGTCTCCAGCTGGGACAAAGCCATTAGCTGGCCCCTCTCCAGTTACGCTCGTGTCATCCTCTGTTGTGGTTGGGTGGATGACAATACCTGTTCTCAACTCACAAGCTTCGCGCGCGTCAGGGGTCAGGCGTCGGATATGCTGTAGACCCATGTGCTCATGGGGAATACGAAGTATACTGTCGTCGTGAACGCTTCGCAGATACTCATCAACACCCGCATTCCGGTCCCACCGTACACGGACGGGCACGGTGGTGATCATGGGGCCTTCGATCTTTTCAATACCCACAACCGGTGCATTTCTCCCAGTAAGGGTTTCTCCAAACACGACATCGTTGGATGCGGTATATTTCCCTGCAACTATAGCCCAAGCTGCTCTAATGGCGGTCGCGATGCTTGTACTTGATGCCAGAGTCTTGCCTAGCGGGACATACTCTTCCAGAAGTGACTGAGCCTGGGTTTGGTATCCAACATGCGGGAGAGCTGGAAACTGCAAGTGATTGGCGCCTTGTAGTTGTTCCTTCCAATAGGTCTCGGATTCCTTGTAGTTGAGGTTGCCGAGGTATTTAATAAAAGAATTGAAAGCGATTGGAATTTCTGATTCCAGGTTGTTATACGCCCTATTAACGCGCCGGACGACCAATGGCATCGACCAACCATCGTACAAGGCATGGTGTATCGTCAAAACAAAATGGACTTTACCTGTTGCTTTGTTGGATGTGACTGCAAAACGGACTAGTGGTGTGCCCAATCCCATTGATTCGTTCCGGTCTCTAACCAGGTACTCCTCTAGGTCCGCACCTGAGCGCCATGAGATCCCATCTCTCAAAACAACCTGCATGAGACCATGGCGGGGAACTTGAACTATTCGTGTGCGTAATATAGGGGAGTCAACAACCGCAGTTTCAAATGCGTTTTGGAGCCGTTGTGCGGTTTGGAGATCTGCTAGCTCGACAACTCTCTGCGCAACATATGCCTCGCTGATTTTGGCAGAAAGGGCCATCAACCCTTCCTGCAGTGGTGTACAGGGGTAGACATCGATGACTGATGTGGCGTCGACTCCGCAGAGTGCGGCCGTTTGGATACGCGCATCCTCCTCTTTCCAGTCTGCGTTGATGAGTGAAAATGGCGGTACTTCGCTTTCTGCTTCGGCATCAACATGCGTCAGGGTCAGAGCCATGTCTGATAGGGTTGGGTACCGAAATATATCAGCTACACTGGTGAGAAGGTTGACTGCACGTGCACTGGCCACCAGCTTCATGGCCATGAGTGAATCGCCCCCTAAGTCGAAAAAATTGCTCTGCACGTCGATCTCCGCTTCAGCACCGAATAAACCTTTCCAAAGATATTCTAACTTTCGTTCCATCTCTGACTGCGGCTTTTTCTTTTGTGATGAAGATGCTTTAAGCCTAATGAGCTCCTTTCTTGACATGGTGGACCCAATGCTGCGCAGCTTCTTTCGATCTGTTTTACACGACACTAACAACGGCATCTCAAATAGAGGGATATATGCTGCTGGCACCATATACCGGGGAAGGGCAGCTCCAAGTTCCTTATCCATCACCTCTAGGACCTGGCGGAGCTTTTCGGAGAAGGTTGCTATTTCTCCATTGGTCTGGGATCTCGGCGACGAGTTTTCCTCTGCGATAAAAGCAGCCAGGGTTGGCTCACCTCCTTTTCCTCCTGGTGTGATGACTTCCGCAGCAACAACAGTCCCAGCGGGCAGCCTTGTTCGTAAATGATGTTCGACCTCTCCTAGCTCTACTCGCTGCCCTCTGAGCTTCACTTGCTGGTCACCTCGACCCACAAAAATTATTGAGCCAGAGCCATCTGGGTCATATTTGACAAGATCTCCCGTTTTATAGAAGCGTCCATGTCTTCCAGGGAAACCCTTACAACCGGAAAGCAGCCACGTAGGGTCTTCAATGAAAACAGACGCAGTTCTTTCGGGGTCGTTAAGATAACCCTGTCCAACAATCGGACCCTCCATAATAAGTTCACCAATACTTCCGATCGGCATCAGGCGATTATGGTCGGCGGGATCGACCACCCATGTAACACCACCCACACCCTTGCCGATGCTAGTATATGATCGATCGAGGGCAATGTTATTGTTAATTGTGCAACCAACCGTGCACTCTGAAGGCCCATAAGCGATGATGATTTTTGTTAACTTTCCCCATTTTGCCGCATCTTGAATGGAAACGGATTCCCCCCCAAGACCAAGAACCTCAAGGGACGGTAAAATATCTTCTTCGAGAACCCTTGCAACTGACGGCGTCATATGAGCCATGTTGACTTTCATATTTCTTATTGCTCCACTGAGATTGTTCACCCGGTCGTCTTCGGATGGTACGCAGACACACCCTCCTTGGGCGAGAGTACATAGCATGCAATCAATACTGACATCGAACGCGTATGAAGGAAAGTCGAGCACCCGTGAGTGTGGGCCATAGCCTACAGCTTTTGCTCTCGGCAACGCACCGCTGGTATAGTTCGTGTGTGATATTACCACCCCCTTTGGCTTGCCTGTACTTCCTGACGTGAATATGATATACAGTGGAGATGACCCGGGAACGGAGGGTAAGGCGGAAGACGGCAACGAGATCGGTTGTCTCTGTGAGAAAAAATCGTGGCTAACAGCGAACACGACTCCATGAGGTAGAATCTTATGTCCCAACTCCTCTTGCTGTTTCGAAGTCAACATCAGATCTGCACCCACTTCCGTAGCTATGGTCTGCAATCGGGCCTCAGGTTGGCTCGGGTCTGTGAGAACTAATGTACCCCCGGACTTCATAATGGCGAGGACTGCCACTACTGTCCACTTTGACTTTTCGAAACAAAGTGGCACAGCTTTCCCAATTTTAACACCCAACTCAATGAGATGAATTGCTAGCAGCGTCGAAAACCGGTCAACCTCCCCATAAGACAACTCGCCATCCCAGGAGACAACCGCCTGACGATTAGGATGCCTTCGCACATTTTTCATAAAAATATCATGGATGCAATCATCAATTGTTTGGGGCACTGAGGCATTCCATTTCCATAGTTGTTGCAGTTCAAGATCCCCAATCTGCATCGCTTGCGAAATTGCCTGATCCGGGTTTTTGAGGATCGCGTTGAGAATATCCATGAATCCAGAACATTGAACGCGGATAGCATGCGAGGATAGGGTGGAATGCTGTCCATGTTGTTTGATCAACAAAGTAGGGTTCAATGCTAATATTTCTATGCAAAATGGCGCCTGCATACTGGATTTAGCCGAGAGAATCAATGGCAGAGTCAAATTTAAAGAAACTTACGTCAGTACTACCGCTCAAGGTTCGAGCGGCGTTCGTGAAAGATATTGAGTAATCTGCTAGTGGCGTATGTGCACTGCTAGAAGTAGAGGTCCGTCTTGCGCGAATGGAGTTGAGTGCTTTTGTGATGGGATCGCTCTCTGCCGATACTATTTCATTGACGTTCCCTGAGAACCCTGCTTCCAAAATCGAATGGTTGTCTATCGATGTTGCCTTTAGACTCCATGAGAATTCTCCATCTTCACTGAGGCCGCTCCCACGGTACAAGAGCAAAATCCATGCCAAAACTAAGAGATCAAGCTGATCCTCAAAACCGTTGAGAAATAGGAGAGGATGCTCAGTAGAAACCCCATCTGCCCCGCCGTTTGCAGAGCGATTCAATTGAGCATGATTGCTGACCTTGTCGCCTTCGCAAATATTTAAGTGCTCACTCATGATGCAGTTAGAATATTTGTGAGATCAATGGCGAGTCGTCTTCTGGGCTACTTTCATGAGGCGAGATATATCCCCTCGCAAGCTATAGACAGGTATTTCTAAAGGGAGTATTTCATTTCGGATCCAATAGTGTTTGCGGCGGGTGAATTTTATACTTTTCCTTTCTCGTCTTTTCCCGCAAATGTCAATATAGCTCCGCGTAAGCTGCAGCTCAGTCTTCCTCCCCTCTGTGCCATCACCACAGGAGCATCCCTAGGTGCAGAGATCGAATGGGTCATATCGTTCTGTCAGGAAATAGTAGAAACTTACAGCAGGGCTCCACCACGTTTTGTTTGGTGATCCTTGGCACGGCTGTTTTTGAACTCCTGTAAGAGCCATTTTGCAAACCGTCTCGTAAGGCATGATAACGACTTGTAAGAACTATAATTACATACAGAAAAGAAAAAAATTCTAATCGCGCGTGAGCGATTATGCCACAGGCCAGGCCTCCACAGGCCCACAGTCCTACCAGGGAAAACTTCTATTATTTCTTGTAATTCGCGGGTTGTTTTCTAACACGATCAGCATAGAGCTCCACAAATTTGAGTAACGATAAGCCACTACGCAGGTAATACTATTGTGGATATGGTCTATGGGCTATGGGGCAGGCCAGCCAGTGCGACATTGCCTGGCCCGCGATTGGCAGACATCATTTGATCTGATAAGATGAATCAATCTCCGGTACCGGGCGTATTAAACTTATCTGATCCTTCCTATGTGGGTCCGTTGTTACACGCGGTATCAACATTTGCATAGTGTAACAACAAAACGTGAGGATGTATTGATGTATTCGCCGTTTCGGCGTTTCCTTCTCTCCCGCCGGCCGTATTTTGGCATACAGGTGTTTACTAGCGTGATACGAATCTGATAAGATCCGTTTTGCAGATACCAATGGTCCATTCAACAGGCTAACTCAGCCCCCCTTGAGTGTTGGCGCAATTGACCCACAAAAAGTGAAAATAAAGAAATGAGAGGAAGTCTTCAGAGCAGTCAAGTTCACTCATCTTGGTATGACATCAAGCTCTACCAAGAAGTAAGTTCTGTTCTCGCCATGAATCATTTCTTTGCTAGTGTTATGCTTGCGGAAAAAATATCCATCACCTTGTAAATCACGGTAGCTAGGCAAAGGACTTTGTTCTCTTGCCCCTAAACGCAGACATGGCTGAAGCATCAGAGAAAGTAGCTGCTGGCGATTCTGAGACTGCGAAAGGTCGAAAGGTAAGAATAGCCTTCTCAACGACATCTGTCGAGCGCGTGGCTAACTATTGAGGTGACTACACAGTTTATTAGAAGGGCGACTAGATATGTCCGCCTTCTGGTTTATGCGGAGCCGACGAAAGTTGACCTCACTCTCCTTATAGTCGGCCTGCTAGCCGCGATTGCATCAGGCGTGCCATTCCCTCTTATGGGCATTCTATTCGGCCAATTGGTTGACAATCTGAATTCTGCGTCCTGTAGCGTGGATTCTCAATTCGGCGCGGCGATTCAAGCAGAAGTCAATGAAAAGGTCCTCAAAGTCGTCTATATTGGAATAGCCTACTTTGCCTTGGTGTATATCTATGTCGCTTCGTGGAACTTGTTCGGTGAACGTCTGGCCCAACGGCTTCGCGAGCGGTATTTCAAAAGCTTATTACGACAGGATGTCTCATTCTTCGACGATATGCCAGCGGGAGAAGCCGCCTCCCGGCTCACTGGTGACATAACGACGATTCAACAAGGGACCTCTGAGAAGGTCGGCGTTGTCCTCAATAGCGTGTCATTTTTCATCACAGCTTATATCATCGCTTTCATCAAAGATCCCAAGCTAGGTGGAGAATTAGTGTCTTTGACACCAGCCTATCTGCTCATGTCACTCGTTGGCGGCTACTATACTCAGAAGTATGCAGCAGCCATGTTGAAGAACGTTGCTGGGGCATCCTCTGTTGCGATGGAATCACTGTCGAACGCAACAGTTGTGCATGCTTTCTCCGCAAACGCAAAGCTGGAATCAAAATTCGCTGGTCTGCTGGGAGATGCAAAGGCAGCTGGAATTAGGAAGGCACTTTCTGTTGCCACTCAGTCAGGATTGCTGTATTTTATCGCGTTCTCCGCAAATGCCCTGGCGTTCTGGCAAGGCTCTAGAACGATCGCGGATGCGGTTGCCTCTGGTACTCCCGGATCAACAGTCGGGACTACATACACAGTGATTTTCTTATTGGTTGATGGTGAGATATTCGCATTCGTGTATCCAGTATCCAACACCCAGCATCCTCCATGCTAACTTAACTTTTTAACAGCTACTTTGATCCTTAGCCAGGTCGCTCCTTTTGTTCAAGTCTTTGATGCTGCAGGAGTTACCTTCGAAAAATTAGAAGCCGATATCAACCGACAACCGAAAATAGATGGCACAGCCGAAGGCGTCGGGAGGTCTCTCCCTAGCGCTTCGGGTAATATTGAGCTGAAAAATGTTTCCTTTGCCTTTCCATCCCGGCCAGACAAACCTGTACTACAGGATGTCTCGATATCTTGTGCAGCTGGACAGCACACTGCAATCGTTGGTCTATCCGGGAGCGGGAAATCCACTGTTGCAGGCCTAATAACACGCCTATATGATCCAGCAAGCGGAGAAGTATCTTTTGACGGACACAACATCCAAGATCTGAACGTTCGATTCTTACGAAGCAACCTCAGCCTTGTCCAACAAGAGCCATCGTTACTCGACAGGTCCATTCTTGAGAATATTGCTTTAGGGCTAATAAATTCCCCAACCCACTCTCACTTGACATCGGCCTTGCTTGGAAACAAGCTTTCCGATCTTGCAGCCGCCGTTAGGAATGGACAGGATCTGGCAAAAGAAGCAGAGATTCGTGGGCCAGATATTGTCGAAATCATAGAACTGGTGGAAAAGGCGGCATATCTCGCTGACGCGAGTGTTTTTATCCGCCGTCTAAAGGATGGCTATGGCACTCTAGTCGGCTCGAGTGGTAGTTTGATATCTGGAGGCCAGAAGCAAAGAATTTCCATTGCTCGAGCTTTGGTTAAAGAACCGAAACTTCTGATTCTCGATGAAGCGACCGCCGCTCTAGATTCTACCAGTCAACAACGCGTCCAGTCTGCAATTGAGAGAGTAATGAGCGGGAGGACGTTAATATCAATTGCTCATCGTCTCTCCACAATCAAGAACGCCGATAATATTATCGTTATGAACCAAGGAAAAGTTGTTGAGCAGGGAACTCATTCAGAACTGATAGCAAGAGATGGCGCATACGCTGGTCTAGTGCGTCTACAGAATCTCAATGTTCGTCCGGAAGAAGAGGAGGATATCTCGAGTGACTCGTCGGTAGCAAAAGATTCATTGGACAACATGACCGAGAAAGCTGGCGATAGTCCACATATCGGCGAAGCTGGTCTTGACGAAAAACGCTCTTTGGAGACATCCACGCAGATGGATGAAGGCAGTTGCGGCGATATTAATGCGAAGCGATCGATATGGTCAACCCTGAAGGCCTTGGGTCCAATGTTCCGGCCGCAAATCCTCTTCCTTCTCGTAGCATTGACTTGTGCTTTCGTAGTTGGAGGCACATATTCCGCCTCTGCAATTATCTTCGGCAACACGATTGGCGCGCTGAGTCCATGCGAAACTGCAGATTCCATCAGGTCTGCCGGCAGATTTTACGGATTGATGTTTTTCATCCTCGCTATCATCGAATTTTTCGCTAATCTGGGAAGCTGGTCAGCATTCGGCTGGGTGGCCGAAAAGATTACCTACAAAGTTCGAGTTCTCTCGTTCAGGGCTCTCATGGAGCAGGACTTGCAATGGCATCAGTCAGATGGAAGAAGTCCTACTCTCTTACTTTCGGTCATCACCCAGGATGGTAATGCTCTGTCCGGCCTCACTGGGTCCGTAGTAGGTACCATTATTGCTATACTGGTGAATGTGGTCGCAGCAATTGCATTATCCCACGCGATTGCATGGAAGATTGCGTTGGTTTGTCTGGCCGTTGTGCCTCTGATGCTGGGTGCGGGTGTTATGCGAGTGATGACGATGGCACGCTTCCAAGAACGCCATTCAAAGGCCTTTGAGAAGTCTCTCGGGATCACAGTTGAAGCCGTCAACTCGATCAAGACTATTTCTTCTCTTTCCCTAGAACATGAGATTTTGAGAACATATCGACGCTCACTGAAAGGGCCGACCAAGGAAATTGCACAACAGAGCGCCTATGCCAACCTTTGGCTGGCGATCGCGTACGGCCTGAGCAATTTCCTATATGCACTTGCCTACTGGTGGGGCGCAAGGAGAATTATTGCCGGGGAATACTCGCAGAAACAGTTCTTTATTGTGCTCATGGCTCTCCTGGTCAGCGCACAGCTTTGGGGCCAGATGTTCACGCTTGCTCCCGACGTGACACGCGCGTTCACCGCGCTTGCTCGGATTATGAACCTCCTTGACCTTGGATCGACCAAGAAACTCTCTGGGCCGATTCAACCGCTGGAGCGGGGCCTCAATGACCTCGAAGCGAGCCCTGATTCAAAAGAGAATCGCCCCGATTCAGCCCATGGAGGGATCAGTGTTTCTCTCAACAACGTGAAGTTCTCCTACCCAGCACGTCAAGAGGTTCCGGTTCTTCATGGGCTCAATATCCGTATCAAACCAGGCCAGTTTGCCGCGCTAGTTGGCCCAAGCGGCGCCGGCAAATCGACGATCATATCACTCATCGAGAGGTTATATACACCAAGCTCGGGCAGTGTTCACATTGATGGCCAGGATATCTCAAGCCGCGAGGGTGTATCTTTCCGCGATAACATCGCCCTTGTCCCACAGGATAGTGTCCTTTTCGAAGGCACCATCCGGTTCAATATTGCGCTTGGAGCCCGTCCTGGTCACGAGCCAACAGACGCAGAAATCGAAGAAGCCTGCCGCTTGGCAAATATCCACGACACCATTGTTAGTCTGCCGGAAGGGTATGACACGAACTGCGGACCCGGTGGAAACCAGCTTTCAGGTGGACAGAAACAGCGGCTCGCAATTGCCCGCGCTCTTGTCCGGAAGCCTCAGCTCCTTCTACTCGACGAATCGACGAGTGCCCTCGATGCGGAATCTGAACAGCTTCTCCAAGCCGGCTTAGAGAAAGCCACCAAAGGCATGACTGTGATTGCCATCGCGCATAGGCTTTATACGATTCGGAAAGCAGATGTCATCTTCCTTATCGAGGATGGAAGATGCACTGATCAAGGCACACATACGGAGTTAGCAGAGCGCAGCGAAAGCTATAAAATAAATGCATTGCATCAAGCCTTTGAGTAATATTGGGCGAAAGTTTTAACCTGTTGATTTATTACTGAGCTTTTTTGCGTTTTGCATCGAACATAGAGTTTGTTCTACGGCGATTTCGTTACAATTTCAGATACAACTTTTATAATAATAATGCTACTAGATACTCCTTTATACACTACTTTATTATTAAATTCTATGCCTATATTGGCAAAAATAAATCTCCAAACGTAACTACATATCTACTTCTCCTAGAACAGGAAACATTTCTTGAAGCACCAAGATACGAAAAGAGAAAATTATTTACCATAAACTGATATATTCAATTTCTAATTGACCCGTTGATTATCCCATAAAATGTAGCCCTTCACATAATGAAACCTATACCCTGACTATCATTATATCTCGCCTGGACGCCAAAACACCATAGGGCCTAGAGAGCAAGCCTAAGTCATCCCATGAATAAACGCAAACGTCAAGACTCCGCCGCCTCTCCGAGCTTTAGGTAATTCCAGCAAACTAATTTATTGTTATAATATTAGTAAACCACTCGTATATGTAGACACGATCCGCAGCAAACAGAAGAGAGGCGAAGACATACTCCCAAATCCTAAGTCATCTTCAAAATAAACTTTCGCGATTTCCTCTCCTGACACCACGCCTTCGGGGCCGCAGGCGACAGTATTCTTCCCCACAGCTATCGCCATGGACGGCGGCAAGTGTGCCACTTCGGAAAATTTCGGCGGCGTCCCGAATCGTTCGTTTAGCATCCGCTGGTAAATGTTCATCCCGGCGTAGTGCCCGTGATACATTGCCCGCCCGGCTCTTTTGATACCAGACAACAGGGCCAGATCCCCCGCTGCGAAGTGGTATTGAGCATTAGGAACTTCGTCGATGAAGTTTAGACTATCGGTATTATGTTAGTTGCGATATGAACTCCTATGTTGTCCACGTAGTTGTGTGGGGAGATGCTCCTTACGTTGGATTGACTTTCACATAGCCTTCTTTGTCAAGCACAGAGCTGGGCAGATATGTGGTTGTTGGGCTGTATTTCGATATGGCATTGATCACGTATCCTGCCTTTACCGTACGTCCGTTTGCTAATGTGAGTGTGTAGCTTGGGGTTATGTTCCCGTTTAGCTGAGCCTGGGTTGTGTCGATTACCCGTGAGCCCATGATCGTTTCGACGCCAGTATCATGGAGTAGCTCGAGGGCCCGATCACGGAATTCGTCAGGAAGAGGTTCCGATGACAGAAGCTTGTCCCTTGAGTGGATTAGGATGACCTTTAGGTTTGGATGCATCTCTTTCAACTCGCTTGCTATTTCGATGCCGACGGCTCCTGTAGAAATTATTCCCCCAGTTAATGTGTGATGCCTCATTAGACATACCAACACTGTGTATCTCATTGGATTGGGGAACTCACCACCACCGATGACAACGACGGACTCTTGGGCCAGCTTTGTTTTCGCAATATGTCCCTCTACCTCCCTGAAATAGTCATCCTTATTCCGGGATTCTGGCGCACTCGGCCAAGTTCGTCTCAACCCAGAGCTTGCAACTAAGTAGTCATACTTTTGGGTGATTTCCTTGTTGGTGCCGGCCTCCTTGATCGTAGAGATCTTTCGCTCACAGTCCACGCCAGTAACGCTTCCCTGTATGAATTTTATGGCTGGTGTCTGCAGGGCGGGAATGTCGGCGAACTTTCTCCAGGAGAATGAAGCATACTCTTCCGATGCGAAGGCGCGTGGAGTCCCAATAAGATGGACTTTTGTGAACGATTTCCGTTTTGTTAGTTTTCAGTTTCACATGCATTGATTGGCGGGGACTGCCAGTCGACTTACAGTAACCATCTCTTTCATCCACGATGGTTATCTGTACTGGGACTTTCTCTCTTGTTTCTGCGGGCTGAACAGCCTCGGTGTTAGAGGCGCCAGCAAATCGACAATCTCGACCTTGGCACAGGTCCAACAGGTTCAGAGCTGCGGCAAGCCCAGAATATGAACCGCCTATCACGAGGACTCTTTTCGGAATTGTGGTGCTGGACGAGCCTACAGATCCTTCGTTGCTGGGCATGGTAAGAGGTTGCCGTTGGAATAAACCGTGGGGAAAGAGGGCGCTAACAACGGGTGAGATAATTGACTGAATATAGGTGGGTATGCCCTGATAGGAAAGCGACAGCATGGTTTGGTGGACTGAGCACAGGATAGTAAATAGCAGAGCAGAGTAAAGAGTTCAGAGGGAGAAAGACCTTCCCTTTGTGGGGGGGAACTTGGAACATCTTGCGATCCGAATTTAAGGCTTCCTGACTGGCAATAATTGCTACTACGGGAGTAAACCCGGTATCGTAGGTTTGAAAGAACCCCCCTAAGTGGAGCTCACCAGAAAACAACCACTCCGTAATTAACTCCCCGAATCACACTTGGCAACACTTTTCCCATGCATCTGCAGCGGGCCCAAGCACCCGTGGATGCAAACGGGTTCACCTGAGGCATACCAAATGGCATGTTCCCGGGAGCTCCTTTGCCGTCTCCTTATCTGATCCGAGATTTGTTGGAAACGAATGTGTGGTACAGGAGAATGGCCCGAGTTAAACTTATCTGATCCGTGTCCAGATTGGTATTACATTTTAATACGTCATTTCCGTTCCCCGAATATGAAGTTTACATCCCAAGTAATTTACTTTACTAGATACTCTCTATACCAGAAGTGTTACTAGTCGTATTACCATTCTGACACCGGCTTAACGGGGCTGTTTCGGTACCAGGTCCTGTATGTGTACATACGCACTGTACGTATGTAAAGCCTTTTATCAGATGAGATTATCTTGAGTGTGGGGCTTGAATCTGCCGAAGAAAAGCAAATAACGCAAGGAAGAATCAGATTTCTGTTGCTCTTTTATTTTATTTTATTTTATTTTATTTATTTTATTTTATTTATTTTGATAATTTTTTTCAGCTTCCATTACCACTTTTTTTTTTTTTTTTTTTTTTTTTTTTTTTTTTTTTTTTTTTCCGCCGGAAAGCCCAGCCTTCATATGACCATGGCGGAGCAACTTTCTCAGGCAATGAAAATGGCATGAAGAAAATTGTCCGTAAAAACTTGTCTGATCGCAATTTCAACTGACCCACTCGAATTCTTGAATCTCCTAACTATCTAGTAACTATCCTTAGGCTGAAGTCCCCCGAAGGAGTAGCTTTCAACCTTCCAAGAATGCTACCCCTCGGGCCTTCAATACCTCGTCTAATATCTGAGGCTACCCAGGCCAGGGTAAATCCGCATGTGCCCATAATTCATAATCACTATTATATTTTTTCCACAATTCACATTTTCTCTTCTACACACAGTAAGCTTGGTGGACTACACCATCTTTCAATTATTTATAATGGTTAAATAATACTAATTACCCGCGGCTCCTTGGGAATAAGAACCGCCTTGTTAGGGTAGCCAGAATTAAGGGCAGGGGCTACGGTTCCGTCCAGCACAGCTCTTCCGGGTTTCGAACTCGATTATATATTCTGAATGTTCGCGTGGAGGCTGTTCGGCGCCTTGATCTCTGTGCAAACGCCAAGTGACAACGACACTATAATTAGCTGCGGTTTGGCACTAGTGAGATGACGTCGCTCTGTTCAGGGGCTGAAACTGAGCCTCAAGATATTAAGTCTTTTATGATGTTATATCGCAATACCGACAGCCCCATTAGAGTTAATAGGTCTTCAACAAAGCCGGCGTGATATGCTTCTGAAGAAAGATTGATGTCAGAATAATTGCTGAAGTATATGTACACCTAGGTCTTCCAGCCCTTCACCAGCTAGACGAGCCATCCTATTCCATCGCTACCGACTTACCCTTCAGAATACAGAATATACCGAATCGTCCAAAATGCATGCTCTCATTGTTGTGGAAAAGTATGTGCAAGAATTACCTTTGCCCTCTTCTTATGGTTTGCCAAAGTGTATGATGTAGTCAGTTATAAGTGCGCTGCCAGTCGGACACCAGCATCTACTCTGACAATGACAATAGTCAAGTTAATCAGCGCCTCCTGGGGAAAATGCTCGAAATAAGGGGTATTACTCGTGACGTGGCTAGCAACGATCAGCAAGCCTTAGAATACTTGGGGCGGTGCATCCATGGCCAGCATTTGACAAGGCCAGATATCATCTACATGGATGTGAGTGCCTCTGACCAGACTACAGAAACCTTTCACGTGTGGCCTAAAAATTGTGCATTTCATGCATCAATCGCTATATGGAAGTCCTCAGACCATTTACATCGAGTCTGCTCATCTGACACTTTACTACGTACTGGTGTTCCAGGTTGGACGAGATGTTGTTCACGGCCCAGATATAACCCACATCGTCCGCACCCAAGCCCCCTTCTCAACCGACCCCAAAACTAAAGCTACACCGATTATAGCGATGACTAACTGGGGGATACCACCGGCTTATCCCAAGCATCTTTGGGATCTCTTCACCAGGGACGGCGAGATCCGTAAGCCATTGAAAGTGGCCGATGTTTTGCGGACAGCGAGGTCAGTCAAATTCGATCTGGTTCCGGCGACGAGGTTAGGCTACCCGGGCAGTAATCATTCCTTACCTGGCCACATCAATGGCTTGGTGAGAAGCCCAATATGGGGACCGATGCCCTTGAGGAATTATTCTGGTCCGAGATCCTTGTTATGAAGTATATCTATCGCTACCACACGAATTGGATTTACTACTCATTTTTCCTCTTTCCTATGTTATGATACTTAGTTTAGCTTATTCGACTTTTGAATATCCAAATCAACCAATGATATTCATAGATAATTTATTCCCGCAACAGAACTTTTTCCAACATACGACTCGATCGGTTTAAAATGCAGGCGAGTGTAGCCATGCCTGCTCTCATTTAAAAACCCCGTGAAATCTTTTTCTAGGCACAGTTCAATATCCGTGGAAGATGGGTGTAAAAGCCAGTCTTCTGAATTCCTGTGGTCATCCAAATTTTTGGGCAATTTTTATGTATATACGCAGCGAATATGTAGAGACCGAAAACAGCCCTCCACACGGTGCTACTCCATACTTCTCCTTGACTAGCGTCCAAGATGACCACAACTAACTGCTTAACTACGGGCTGTAACTGAGTTAACTATCCTGGATGACATCGTTAGCCGCAGCTGTTTGGAGAACAGTGCTTGTGCTGGTAAGGAACGGCCAACCGTGAACTGGTTGGATCTCTCTCACCCTAGAACGCCTAGGGATGTCCCGCCATTCCTGACTTCTCTATGCTTCTACTATCTCATTGGAATTTCAGCAATTTTCGTCGCCGCCAGATATGTCATCCGCTCATTAGAACCGGGAATATGGGTTTACTTTGCTTCCACAGTGTACTTTAACACGATGCCGGAGCAACTATATCCCTACCGCAACGAGTTGTCGCAGTAGGGATGTTCAGAGAACGCGCCGAAATTTCAGTCACCAGCATGGCAAAGCTGGATTTGTCGCTTCAGCAGTGATAGTGATGGCAAAACTGATCATGAAAAATGATTTGCATGTGGAGCCAGATGAGGACGGAAGAGGGTCAAGCAGCGAGATAAAGCCAGGAAATTGCACTATTGCTCACACCCCTCCACACCCCCCCGGGCATATACCGGGCCATCTATAGTCAATTAGATAGAGAATTCAAATACTCCGCGGGAAAACACAGTCAAAACAGAAACGACTCTACCAAGTCAAAACCCCAAGCGCTGATATCAACCACCGGACCCGAGTTCCAAGCCCAGTCCCAGGCCGCGTTGCAAAACGCACCCAAACAACCTCACGCGAAAAGACTCCTGTAATTAGACGAAGTTCATGCAATAGCTGAAAAATATAACTCTCATCATTCATACTCCTGTTCGCCAGACACCTAATGTAAAATAAAAATAAGAAAATCAGAAAGGGAAATTTAAATTTAAACAAGTAGCCAGCTATGACAAGTAAAACAAAGTCAAACTATCTTTCAAGTATACAAACAAAACGCTTCGAAGGAGGAAACGCAAGGAAAGTCGAGAGGGAGTATGGGGCAAAGGCAACAAGATATCTGTCGACTACGAGCTATCAAATTGAGCCGCACATCAATCAGTCTAGGAACAATAGGAACAGATGCAGAGAACAAAAACAATTCCAAAACTCCAAAAAAATCTAAACCAAAGTGGTAAAGGACGCAGATACATGCAACGACGAAGTTTGGCAAAAATCAATGTTACGGTGTGCAACTGTGCTGGGTATCGTATCGGTAATTGAGACAAACAAGAGGTAATATATCAAGTGTACAAGATCGGCGGAGACGTCATATCCCCCAAAGTAAATGGAAAATGGAGACATGATATGTCATCCATCGATAGATTCTAGAAGTCCTTGGGTCCAATTCTTTAGCTGTTCGATTTTATCGAGAAGTTTATCCCACAGGGATGGTGAGCTCTTAGAAGAGGCGTCGCTGTCTTGCCCACCATTTTCGGATATAGAGGTCGGGTCTGGGGCATCGGCAGATATCGTTACTGGTGGCTGGTTGGGTGCATCTGTATGAGGCTTGGAGGTAATAGCAGCATTGCTAGGGCTCGTGCTAATAGGCGGATCGTCTGGGGTTTCGGCACCTGGAGAATTTTCTGGAGAATGAAGACCTATAGGATTTAGAGGGAGGCGGAGAGTCCCGTTATTTGGATGGGGTTCTATTTCTAAGGAATCGCAGACGATATTATATACTTCGATATTTTCTGGCGCGCATTCTTTAGTTAGTATTCACTCAGCAGCAATGTTTGTGACGGATGAGACTTACGGAAATTTTTCATACGACTATTTGGGTTGTGAGGGAACTTGGGGCCGCGAGCAACAAAAATGGATCTCATGAGAGGGTGCTCGTGGTCATATCCATGTAGGCCTCTCGGGTGATAAACTTCGTTGTTCTTTTTTGCCTCCTTAACATCGAAACTCGTTCTTTCAACAATGGCCCACCCTGTTTTGGGTATTACCCATAGCGGTGCGATACGATCGTTACGGGAGAAGTGATAGCGATCAGGCATCGTTTCCCGGGTGTAAACTTCGATTGAATCGCGATATGGCTTGGATGATTCAGCTAGCTGCTGCTTGAGGGTTTCGAGGTCTTCAGGCCGTTTGGGCCGTATGCCCCGGAGGGGCCACCCATCGAGGCGATCCACCAAATCAATATTGATTAGATCCTCCAACTGGACCAAGCGATCCGTTGAGGTGGTTGCCATGCCATGGTCAGATACAATGACCACATTGACGATGTTAGTCAGATTACGGTCATGAAGCCCCTGGAAAATATTTGCAAGCATTTGATCTACCTGAGCTATCGTATTTCGGATTTCAGTGCTATTCGGGCCAAAAGTATGTCCATCCGCATCGATGTTAGGCACATATGCGGCTATGAGTTGCGGCCGTCTACTAGTGGTTGGTGGCAAGTCTTCAGCTTCTTTGTCGCCCGGCAAGTCCAAAAATGAGATCACTCGGTTGGCTTTTTGAACCAAGTCTTCCTTCCCATTGTATTTATCAAGGTACGTGGGTTCAATGCTGCCGATGTGGGCTTCGGAACCTGGCCACATATGGATGGCTGTCCGAACGCCCTGCTTTTCAGCTGTCACCCACAATGGCTCTGCATTCCACCACTTCGGCTGCATGCTTCTGGCAGGATCAGTATAATAAAACTCTTCCCCAAGGGCAGGATCCCAGAAGGTGTTACCCACAATACCATGGCTTTCAGGGTGAAGCCCAGTCACCAGGGTAAAGTGGTTAGGAAAAGTTACGCTAGGGAAACTGGGAAGCATGTATGACGGGGACACTCCGTTAGCGATAAATGAATTGAGCATTGGGGTAAGACCGCGATTGAGAAAGTCGGCTCGAAATCCATCCAAGGAGATAAGAATCGTCGTTGGGAGGAAAAGAGAAGTACCATTCGATAAAATAGTGCGTTGCCGGCGAGAGGTTCGGAAACCAATTGACTCCTTGTACGCGCCCAAGAAGAGAATAAGGAATAGAATTATAATACTCAAAGATAACAGGGCTAATTTCCAACACCATGAACTTCTGGACTAAAGTCGAAAATAAATGAGTTAGTTCCCCGGTAGGCCAGCAATCGCACGGCCGGCAAGATATTGCGCCTCATGGAGGCGATCAAAGAGGGAATAAACATAAAGAATACATACTGATTTGTAGTTACAACTACCTACCGTAACATGGACCAAATCCGATGATGCCGCTGATGAGTCGGAGCTTGCATCGTCATGAAAGGTGCCTTCTTCCATTTCGAACATGAGGCCCTCTTCCTCTCCTTTGTCGCCCATGCTCTTTATCCGTTCTGCTCTTCGCTGTAAACGCCGCTGTCTTCTCCTCTCCTGTTTCCCAATGCGCACGCTGTTGCCATTTTCATGACCAAATATTCTCCGGAGCCCATGCGTTGGGCTCTTCTTTACGAGCAGCCGCTCACGTTCTTCCTCCTCCTCCAGAACAGTTCTATCGTGCTGGGACAACTCCAAGGTCGTCCTAGAGCCTTTTACAAGCTCATCATCTTCCGAGTCCGAGTCCTGATCCGACAGTGATCTCAGAGAACGAACATCATCGTCGTATGCGGCTGGCGAGAGAAGCGACGAGCTGGACGGAGGTTTTCGAAGGGACATTGTTTCGCTGCAAAAATAGGATTCCGCACACAATTGGACTTATTTTCCAGCGTTGTTGGATATTCACATCGTAAATTTGTATTAGCCTCGCTCCATGATGCTGAAGGGATGCTGAAGGGAGAGCGCAACGAGGGTGTTGATAGCGGTGTGTACAGCGTAGTTCGATCTTTTCGAAGATGTTAACTGTGCCAAGCAAACTGACTACCTCCTTACCTCCCATTAGTTACTAGTTATTAATAGATTAATCCCTAATAGTGGGTTGGTTAAACCACCACTATCCACTATGCAAAATATCATCACTTTGCCAATTCTCACATTTTTTTCATCATCATTCATATGTTATCATCTAGTTATCTTAAGATGATTGAAAGATCTCAAGAGATTGAAAAATATATAAAGGCTGTTATAGTTACACGTTGTGTCAATATGTTTGTTTGGATCATATTTGCTTAGTCAGAAAAAACGGTCGAAGGAGCCGATAATGTTGGCCGTTACGGCCGTTGCGGCTATTGGCTGTGGCGATCTCCCTAGATCACGTGACCAACCACTATTTAAGCTCTTTGTAGATAGCTCTTATCAATACAACCTTCAACTATCCTACAGATAAACGCGGAGATCACGCCAGCTTCGTTTCTCTCCAGGGTTCCTACGAAATGATCCCTATCAATTCGTGTCTTTTACACTTTACATGGAGACGTCACTTCCCATCCATTGTAACATTGGTACCATCAAGGCATCTCTCACAAGAGAAATGCACACCCACTATTTTAAAAACATTCCACACCTCACGGCCTCGACACAAGAGGGACAAAAGCCCTGTAGCTTCTGAAACTTGCCCCGAAGTACAAAGCCCCGAAGTACAAATACATTGAGGATTGCGAACGGCTAGAGCGGTACTGTCCAGGTGGCTTTTATCCTTTAAAGCTTGGTGATCGACTCTGTGATGGATGTTACTCTATTGTCCAGAATCTCGGATTTGGTGGCAGCTCTACAGTATGGCTGGCTGCTGACCAGAAGCAACAGGAGTTAGTTGCTATCAAAATAAAATCCGCTGATTCTGTCTCAAAGTCTCAGGAAGTAGATATTCTAAAACATCTTCCTCCACACCCATGTGATCAGACAGCTGCTGGACAATTTCATTGAAATTGGTCCCAATGGAGCTCACAATTGCCTGGTCATGGAAACAGCTAGTTGTAGTTTGATGCAGTCTTTCTTGACAAACAAAATGATGAATATAACCTTTCATTCCCCAGCGAAATTTGGACCCTTGGATGTACTATATTTGAAATCATTGGTAGTGGGGGCCCCTTTAGTACCTTAGGTGGAGGCATACTCCAGGATCAAGTCAGTGTTCTGGGAAAGCTCCCTGATCCATGGTGGTCACAATGGGAGTCCAAAGCCGATTTTTTTAATGAGGATGCAACTATTGATATCATGACTGGTGCTCCTTTCCAAGATAGCGGCTGATAGCCTGGAAGAACGGTATGATTGATTTGTTAATGCAGCTCGGCGGCGATCAGACATGGAAGAGCAGGGGGAGGGGGAGAAGAAGGCTTTCCTGCATATGATTCAGATGATGCTTCAATATTTACCAAGTGACAGGGCAACCATTCGGGATGTTGTTGAGTCTGAGTGGATGCAAAAATGGGCGTTCCCTGCAAAGCAGGAAATTAAATTTTTAAAAGAAAAAATCAGAGATAACAATGCTCAAATAACTATGAAATTGTTCTATTCATCAGAGAGAACGATTCTCATGAAGAACCTATTTAGAGAGCTATAGAGCTACCATCACTGTCAATGAGAAAGTTCCGAGCAGTGATGAAGATTCTAATCACTCGACTTTACAATCTTACGTCTACCGTCCCTGCGTGATCCCCGTCTTTGCTTAAAATGTCTATAGCCTGCCGGAGTAGTCAATGAAGGACACTTGTGCTTCCATTCTGCATGGAATTCTCCGACCAATTTCTTGCAACCTGGAATCAGATTGCTTCACAGTTGCCAGGTAGACTCTCATGAGATGAGACATGATTCTTCAGAATCTCTTCATCCCCTTGCACTTGAATCTGAGAATGCAGTATCTTCTTAACTGGCCACTCCTCTCTCGTCCGATTGTATACAGCTGAGATTGCAGGAAATTCAATATATCTGAAATAATATAATAATTATAATTAATATTTTATTATTACTGATATTATTTCTGATATTGATACATATTATCAGAAATAAAGAGACAGAGAAATAAATCTCAAGAAAAGAAAAGTTTTCAATAAGTGAGCGTTACTAAGCATGGATTAAATGGTCTGACATATAGTTAGTTAGTAGTATTAAGTTAGAGTACAGAGTACTCTGTTGCATCTACTAGATATCTTGAAATTTTTGTCAAAAAAACGCTTCACAGGCTCCTGATGGCAGTTGAGTATTTCCACATTAATAATCACATCGAATAATACACATTTAACTGGACGTAGGGCCCACCCGTGGGCTGAAGGGCGTGATCTAGCCTACCACGCGGCATGGGTATATACGAGGTGGTGACTCAAGCGAGCCTTGCAGAACGAACGTCCGTCCCCCATACTTATACTTATACATCGTGGGCCGTCGATCCCGAACACCCGACAGCTGGGAACTAAAAACTACATACATAAATTTCTATCTATGATTTCATATCTGCAACGCGCTGCCGCCCCGCTGGCATCCTCGACCTTGTTATATTGCCCATGGTCATCTCTCACTGTTGGTTGAGCTTGATCCCACTCCGCTGTTTAGTCCAAAGGCCATCATTATTGAAAGCCAAGGTTTGGCACCATGGCTACGCAAATGTCCCAAGGCGGGCAGCCTCAATTGACGGGAGATGTGAGATTTCTCTCTCTTAAAATGCAAACTATTCATGAAGAGGAACAAACATCTCGAACTGATTTGAGAAACAGGAATCCAAGCCTCTGGCCACCGATTGTAAGGTTACCCGTTTTCTTTTTCTTTTTCAATCTATTTTTCAATCTGATTATATTCTATCCTGAAGACCGTGTACCCCGATGTCGTCAAGATCCAGGAGGAAACGTGAGGCTTATTAATTCCATGAAATATTACAGGTGAAGCCATGATGGCCAAGTTGCTTCCCGTCGACCCGACCTTGGAGACGGCGCATGAATCCCATTTCACCTGGTGCTTACCCAATTGGACGGAATTAGAAAAGACAGAGCTGAGCCCGAAATTTGAGTGCGGTGGATCCAAATGGTAACTATGTGGTTCCCTTTGGGAAATGTGTATAGAATTTTGGACTATCCCTGGTCTAATCCGAGTAGGCGAATACTCCTCTACCCACGCGGAAATAACCAGGATCAGCATTTATCTATCTACCTTAAACATGGCTTCGATGATGGAGAAATGCCAGAGCACTGGCATGCTTGTGTCCAGTTCGCTGTAGTCCTGTGGAATACCAATAGTCCGGAATCCTACATCTCACAGAGTAAGCATCCATACGCTCCTCCAACCTACCCTTTTAACGTCAACGTCTTAGCTTAACATTGCTTCAGATGCAAACTTCCGTTTCTCGCCTAATGACCCTGATTGGGGCTTCACAAAGTTTTGTGAACTTCGAAGGCTGTTAGGCCATCTTGGGGATAAACCATCCCTGCTGGGTAACGATGAAGCAAATATCACAACTTATATTCGCGTAATCCGAGATCACACCGGATCCTTATATCACACGTTTTACAAGTACGTATCCTCCTCATTTATTGGTCGTTCTGAACCACAACCTAATGTCACAACAACAGCTACGACTCAAAGAAAGTGACTAGCTTCATTGGTTTGAAAAACCTCGGCTCCACTGGTTATCTAAACGTTATATTGCAGTGTTTTTACTTTACGAACAGCTTTCGCAAGGTACGCCGGCCCGTACTCGATGTATATGTCCATATTATTCATTTTCAGGGGCACTAAGAGGCAGCATCTAGGCTATCTACCAATTACCACTTAACCATGAATCCAATAGGAACACGTTCTTGTGGGCATTGCAACGTCTTTTCTACTCTCTGCAGACCGATGATAAGCCAGTGTCACCGCTGGAGTTCACCAAGGGACTTGGATGGGCCCCTCAGCAACTCCTTATGCAACAAGACGTCCGGGAGATGGCTCGATTGCTCCTATATCGATTTACGAAGGAGCCCAAACTTCCAGACATCTTTCGCGGCAAAACAAATACCTATACTACCATCGACGGCGCCCAACAATCAAGAATAGAAGACTTCTTGGATATCAGCATCAATATCCAGAATATTCGCTCCCTCGAGGAAAGCTTGGCAGAATATATCCGCGAGATAGTTGATGAGGAGCGGACGGAAAATGGTATTCGAAAAACTACTAGTGGTGTTCTCTTTGAAACCTTCCCTGATGTTCTCTATCTGCACTTGAAAAGATATGCGTATGACATGGCCCAGCGCCGGCTCATGAAAGTCAATGATTTCTTTGCCTATCCGGAAGAATTTGATGCTTCTCCATATCTCTCAGCTGACACCGACAGGTCTGAATCATGGGTTTACCGATTGACCGGTGTTGTCGTTCATAGCGGCGGTGTTAACGGCGGAAGGTACTGGGTCTTCTTGCGACCTGGAGCTAACCTGCCCTTTTATAAATTTAACGATGACCGGGTTACTGGTGCCATGTTAACGAATGTCATGGAAGACAATTACGGGGGGGACGGACAGGCAACGAACGCATACATGTTAATTTATGTCCGGAAATCAAGGATAAACGATATTCTTGCTAGCGTTACCGCAGCCGATGTGCCTGCATATATCGGTAGGTGTTCTGTAAGCTCCTGCCGCCTTATCCTCAACAACTCCGTTGGTATTTCTTTTTCTTTTTCTTTTTCTCTTTCAATCCTTCTAACATGTACTTTTAAAATACAAATAGGAAACGGATTGGTGGAGGAACGGGAAATGGCTGCACGTCTCAAAAAGGAGAAGGAAGAGGAACGCCTCTACCTACACACCGTCTTGGCTTCAGCCTCCCAGTTCCGCCTCCATAGCGGATTCGACATGACTAGCCCCGGCGTGGATAATGGCACACGACCACCCTGCGCATCCGCAAAGATACATCAGTTAACGACTTCACGAAATCCGTTGCTCAGAAGCTGGCAGTGGACCCGGGACGATGTACCCTGTGGATTTGCCTCAATCGCCAGAATGGAACACGCAGGCCTCACGAGCCTTTACTTCGCGCCAACATTACCATCGCGCGGGCATGTCTCGACGCAAATTTCACTGGAAGCAACCCTCGTATATGGGTTGAGGTTAGCCGAGTCGTTGCAGGTGTACCAGCCCCATTGCCTCAGGTGACAAGTGGAGGAGACACGATCTTAATATTTATCAAGAACTTCGACGTGATGAGTCAGACGCTGCGCGGTGTCACTTCACTCTACGTTCTGAAGGATAGCACAATTCGTCCCCACATCGTCACTGTCATGGGATGGTCAGAGGATACGAGGTTTTCAGTTCATGAAGTAAGAATTGAACGCCTGTCTTTCTTTTTTCTTTTTTCTTTTTCTTTCCTTTTTTCCTCATCCCATTCGGCTGACCGCGCGGAACCCGTAGGAAGTAAAACCCACAATGATCCTCAACGTGGACCCTAATTCAACTTTCGAACGGGCCGAACTTGGAAATGGCGATATCCTCTGCGTTCAAAAGCTGGTAAAGCCCAGCGAGTAAGCATTCTTTTCCTCTCCTTCCTGCGCCTTCCCTCCCCATTAATCTCAACTGACCTGCTGATTTCAAAGCTTTTACCCTATGGCCAGGTACCCTCCAAACTTGTTAGCCAAAGATGTATTACAGTACTTTGACAATCTCAGGAATGAGCGGAACAGGCTAAAATGCACATGAGCAAGAACTTGGCTTTCATTTTTCTCCCCAGCCCCAGCGCGAGGCTAGTATTACGCGTGAAATAGGACCTTGACGTCAGTTTCCGCTGGATATATGGGGTGCTGAGAATTGGTACGCGCATGCTCTGCTATGTCCGGCTTATATTCCGCCATTGGCATAAACTATGAACTCGGGGTTGACTAGGGCCCGGTCATTTTTCAACTCCACTAACTCCGGACATAAGGGAGATGCTACACAGGCGCCGCACACAATATATATATATATATATATATATATAGATCTTATGTATGTTCCAGAGTACAGCATTGGTTAAATACATGATAAGCTCGAACCTTTCCAACCCGGCTCACCCCCTCCAACCCCGTCTTTTTTTCTTTTTTAAATAATGTTATTTTCTGTTTTGGCTTATGTACTTATTTAAACTTGGCTGTTTCGCTTCGCGTTTTCATCTTGCGCAGACGAATCAATTATAGTACCATCAGCATCAACAATCGGGTCTCTGATGCCAGTGATCTTGGCGACAATGGCACCACCATAAAGATCACCGGTGACATTGGTCATGGTTCGGAAACGGTCCATGAACCAGTCAATGGCTGTGATTACTCCGTACATGCCCGTCACCTCAACGCTGATACTATTGGCGATCATGATAATGAGGACAAGGGAAGAGCTTGGGATTGGTGTTGTGCCGATCGAGGCGAGCGTCGCGGTCAAGAACACTACGACGTACTGGCCGGCACTGATGACCTGGCCTTGCGTGGCTGCGAGGAAAGTTACGGTGATAGGGAGGTATATGGCAGTTCTGTGAGGGAAAGGGGAAGGAGAAAGGGACGTGTTAGTTTTAAACGTACGTATCCACGGATGTGCCCATAGAGGAAATGTAGTAGAAAAAATCACATACCCGTCCATATTGACCAGAGTACCAAGCGGAATTGCAAACTTGGCTATAGTATCTGGCACCTTACGAGCTGCAAGACACTTCAGCGTTACCGGCATAGTACCTGCGGACGATGCCGTGCCCCATGCGGTGACCCACGCGGGTGAGTTTTTCATCCAATATGCGAAAGGATTCTGCCTCATAACAGCAAAGTAGAGGATGGGGTATATAATAAAAAGCTGAATGGCCATGCCGGAGAGACCCGCTCCGATCAACAGACCCAGATTGATGCCAACCTCCTTGATATCGAGCTTGAACAGGTTCGGCATGATCAGGAAGAAAATACCGATGGGCGCCATGTTGATGAGGAACGTAATGGCAACGGTGATCAGCCCTTCAATCTCTCTCACGACCTTCAGAATCGAAGAGGTCGCCGGGTCCCGAATCATATAGCCGAGAATAATCGACACCACGAGCACACCCAGGAGGATATCATTAGCGAACGCCGCGACGATGTTGTCCGGCACCAGCGTCTCGAACAGCTCGACGACGATATCGTGTGCTTTGTACACGGATCGTGAGTCAATGTCCTTCTGCAGGTCCTTGTCGATAGCCCGCGTCTCTGGATCGACTTCAGTGAACTGCTTGGCCCAGACCAATGACACGAGGATTGTACTGTGCAAGATGGCGACCAGAGTGGTGAAGAGATAGTACCCAATCGTCCAGCGGGCAAGGAGAGCGCCACCGCGCGACATCTCCCGCAGGCGCTGGACGGCGAGGATCAGAGAGACCACGATCAAAGGCAGGACTAACACGGAATTAGCACAAGAACGGTCAACAGTCAAAAGGTTTATTTATCTTCCTCTCCTTTCTTTTATGTTTTTATGTTTTTATGTTTTTATGTTTATTTTTATTTTTTTTATTTTCCTGTGTTTTCTTATAATTATATAGTTTTGGGGTGCAAGAGTGGTGTGTGGTTCTCACTACTTACCGATCATCTTCAGCGCGCGCAACCAGACTTTGCCGGGAATGCTACACAGGTCGACAGCGGCAACAGGCACTTTTTCCACGGTTGTGTTCACCGCGAAACCGATCGCGATCGCGATGACCGCGGAAATGAGAATCTGGTATACCGAGCCGGGCGTCTTCACCTTCTCCCACAGCGTTTTCTTTGGCTCTTCAACGGTCTCCATTGTTTCGACCACTCCAGGGCTTTGGACTTGCTTCAGGTTCAGGGGCTCGTTCTTCTCCGTAGACCCTGTCTCCCTCAGTTCGTTGGACGACATAGGCTAACTCTGTGGATTATTAGAAGACCTTGAGATGGGATAAGGGGGCCGAAGTCTGCCTAAGAAGAAGACGGGATGGGGAGGACCAGGGGGAGGGAGGTCGCCAGCAGACAGACAGACAGACGATGGGAGGAAAAAAGAGAGGAAAGAAAAAGAGCAGGGTTTGCGGGAGAGGAGGGTGCGGGCGACTGGGGATCTTTATTCACGAATTCTCAAAACGCGCTACTTGTCCCCTATCTTCCAAGAAGGAGGAGGATTATTCTTGTTCAGATCCATCATCAGGACAATCGTGGAGACAACCAGCAGTCTGAACATGCCAAGTTTCGATTCAAGCTTGGGGAAGGGTCAGCGTGATGGCTGGATACGGGAGATATCTGCCAATCCTCTCGTGAAGACAGATTCAGGCGGCTGGAGACTGGGATCTAAACCATGCATCCAGGGGTGGGACGCCAAGGACCGTTTCCTACACGCCACGCCCGAATCAGGCAAAGCATGAAGCTGCTTCACAGAGCGGACCGGGTGAGCCTTGAGCCCTGAGGGTGGGCAGGAAATGCGCGAGGGGGCAAAAGCGAGCGACTCCGCCACCAACCGCGTCCCCGTCCGCCGCAAACGGTTGGCAGGGTGGATGCGATATTTGTTGCTCTATAACTTAGCCATCTCTTTATTGTTTGGGGTTCCAACTTCTAATAAGAGAGGGATTAAAATATTTAAGCTCCTAAGCTATGCCCCACAGCAGTCAAAGAAAGGCAAATTCTACTGATCACTGATAACAGAGATATGGCAGGAGTTTTCAATGTGATTTCCAACAAAGGGAAACTAGAAAAATAAAAAGAAAAAGAAAATCCCAGGAATTATAATTATAATTATTATTATTCTCACGATTTAGTCCTTCATTATTGCTGTTCATGGTTGGTTCGATGCTCACTCACCTACAGTTACCACTTCCATCCCTGCGCCAAGACGTTGCGCCGCGCTCAACCTGGCCGTTTCCCCCGCAGCGCGGGCATCCGCTCATTGGCGGGTGGAAACATTTATTGCCGTGCTGTCAGACAGACACTCAGACACTGCTTGCTTGGTTGGCGTTGTGTCACCATGGGATTTGGTTATTATTATTATTATTATTATTATTATTATTTGGGAGAGGAGAAAACTGACGAGTTTGAAGCACTGCGCAACCGAGCAAGTTTTACCAGTCACATGCAAAAGCGCATAAAACAAGTAACTAACCCGTCCACGCATAAGGAGGATCCATGCATCTAGGTTCCATCCCGTATTATTTCTTGTCCCATGTTGAGCAGAGATGTCAACACACCAACCACCATAGGAAAAATATAATATACATACAACGAAAAGGGAGGAGAAAATAAAATATTATTATCATGATCAAGGTAAGAAATGCCGACCGACAGCGCGAAATACTACCTCAAACTAACCCCACACACCCCATCGCATCGGCCACAAATGAACTTTTCTCGGCAAATAATGCTCCCCGAATTCTCATTATTATTCTCATTCTCATTCTCTTTCTCTCGGACTCCAGCTTGCGAGTTGCAGCCCAGCTTGCCAACAGTCGGCCCGCCAAACTAGCTGAAGGAACAAGCGTCCATTAATATCCCATCCCCACAACGCCACCTCCATTCAATTTCCCGCTCCGAGTTTGACTCGAGTCGGCCCAGGCTGGTGGGCGGGGAGCTCCGCCGAGCATCAATTGGGTTTGGCGTGCCCCCGTTCGCTCTCTTAAGCTCCCCGCTGGCCCAAAACTTGCAGTACAGTACTCCGTACTATATAGTATAGTGGTTTAATAAAATCATAATGTTACATTTCCCGGAGGATTTTATTCCTGCTTAGCTCCGCTGCTAGCCCGAGAGTCACACCACCTGGGGGGTGGGGGGTGGGGGGTGGGGTGGGGGAAGAGACAGACCAAGAGCAAGCACTACAACTACGCTACGTATGCCTTCTGGCCTCGCTTTGCCCGTATAGAAGCGTATTGACCGAGGTTGAGCTGCAGGCGGAATTTATCAATATTCACGATTGCTTGGTTGGGGAAATGGAAACGGGCAAAGACGAGACACACAGCCCACATGGGCAGTGGCATGGCACGGCTGGTTTGCCTTTTGTGTTCATCCTAGTTTCGGGCTAGAAGTTCAGCTTATAAGGCAAATCATAATAATAAGCATGATGGTGAAGAAAAAAGTAAAGTGGTTGGGCAAAAAAAAAAAAAAATACAGAAATATAAATAAATATAGATAAAAATAAATAAAGATAAAAATAAAAATAAACCCCGAACAGAATCATCATAGAGAACAAGGAAGCAAGGAAGAAGGAAACTGGTGACAGGGAACAAGGAAGGAGGAAAGTTTGAAATATCTTCCGATCAAGGGGGTAACTTATTATATACTATACACAATCTGCACAAAGAAAGCTAAACTATACTACAAGCGATGTAGGTATCCAACATCCCATTATTCTTTTCAGCAAACTCAAAAATCACATAAACATCACAACAAATCCAAGGACAACCAGACAGGCCCACCAAAAAAAAAAAGCACAGCAAAGAAAGACTCCATACCATCCATCTCCCCACATGTAGAAACCCATAATGATAAATAATTAAAACATCATAAAATCCATACCCTCTCCCCCCCCACTCCTTTCCCCCAGATATCATCTAACCGTCAACCAATTCCTCCACTCACACCGACACCCCCCATTCCCACCATCAAACCCACCAAATGAAGAACCACCACTCCCACCACCAAGCAACGTCCCCGGCCTAACCAGCTGGCCCCCAAACCCGCGATCCTCCACCTGCAGCTTCTTCGAACTCACAATGTACCGCTGCTCCAAATCCAGCTCGTAGCAATACACCATCTTCGCCCTGGGATTGCCGCCATGTCTGTCCAGCACGATGGTGATAGGATAAGGGAAGGAGCCCGGGCGCGTGAAATCTGTGCCGGACGGCTGGAGGCCTGCCGTGGAAGACTCTGGCGGGGAGGAGGAGGAGGCAGCAGAGGATGACGTTGGCGACGACGGTATCACTCCCATCCCATTCCGCGCGGGCTGCGTCCAGATCTGCACGAGGAAGCGCGTCTGCGTCCAGGTGCAGCGCACGCGGGCGGCGGAGCGCGTTGAGCCGCCGTTCTCGTCGTCGGGAACCACGGAGAGGACGGAGTCGTTGTTCAGCGGCCTGTCGGCTTTGAGGAAGATGGAGCGGTCGTAGAACGTGTAGAAGCCGTAGTGCTCGGTAGGGAGGCCGCGGTCGTACAGCCGGATTGGCTGGGCGATCGGCAGCGGGAGGAGGTTTGCGGGCGCCGCGGCCCCGTCCGGGTTGTGTGCTGGGTTGGGGATGGCGTCGCGTAGGTCGTCGGCGTCCATGCCTTCAAGTTGAGGTGGAGGTGTGTCCGCGCGTCGCTCGCGGCTGGATATCGTTATTGGTTCTGGGGAGAGGAAGGTTGCAAGGAATGGGGTGTCTTCCCCTGCGAACGGCCCGGTGACTCCATCGGTCGTGTTTCCGAGAAATTCCTGCTCTTCGATACTTGGCGGGGCGGGAATAGGGGAGAACCCGCCGCTCCGCTTCTGCAGCGATTGACGACTATCGAGAGATTTGGGGGAGGCGCCCGACTTGCTCAAAATGGTGAAGACCGACCTCTTTCGAGCCGCCTGATTGGAAGGGACTGTGCTGTGAGCAAAGGTGCCGTTCCGGAAATTTATCTGGATCCTGAAGTTCGGTTGGTCCGGGTCGAACGGCTTATTGGCATCCTGGTTTTCTTTGGGTAATGCGCAACTCCACACGGTTGGCGGGCGTATACACCCTGAGTTCGCGACCGCTGCATTCGGGCCCGCAATGGTTGAAACCCCAGTTGGCATGGGCGGGTAGCCGGTCAGGTTCAGCCAGCGCGATTCGGGGGTGTCATCACTCTTTTTCGTGAGCGTAACCGCGAGTACAACACTGACAATGATAATGGCGATCAAAATAGCTGCAATACACATGTACCACCGGCGTCTCTTTCTGCCTTCCCGACCGGATCTACCAAAACATCCTCTGTTGTTCAAACAGCCCCTCCCGCGCCACAGCCCTCCAACTTTCCTAGCCATTCGATCTTCTCGCTCTAATCTCCGACGCCTAGATTCGCTATTTGCTCGTACATCCACCGGTCTTTCGACGTCCGACAGGCGGACAGGGTTGTTCGGCAGACGGGGCGGTAGAACTCCTCGTGGAAGGGGTTCGTTTCTGGCACTATACGTTGCTGCAGGGGGCTGGGGTTGCTGAATGCCAGATAATAGTATTCCACCACCTCTTGACGTCATTTGTGCCTGCGTCTCCGGGGATAACGGTCCTGGCGATTGGGGTTGCGGGTGCAAATCTGAAGGTAAGATAGCCCTATATCGCCTAAGCTTCGTGATCTTCTTAGGCGGAGAGTAAGGAGGAGGTTGGATGCTTGAGTTTCCCACGCTTAAACTCGGGGAGCTGTCAAAAGGGTTTGGTGAGGAAGATACACGTCGAGGGATCGGTGGTAGAGGCGCCGTCTGCCCAGCTTGGAAAGGCCCTATTGCCGCAGCTCTGAGCAACGGAGTAACCGTAGCTTGACGAACGTTAGGGGAAATATCTGGCTCGTCCTCGATCACGGTTGAATCAGAATTCGACCGCTCCCTAGGCTCTACTCCGCTCCTCAGGCTATCGACAAATCGTTGGAAAAACGGGTTGTTTGGATTTTGATTCTCAACCTGAACGTTCTCGCCAGGCACCGGTGGGAAAGCTGCGATGTAGTTTCTAGAATACCCAGTGCGTGGACTCGTAGATGGTAAGTGTGGAGGACTTTGTTTATTAGTAGAGTAGTCATGTACGCTCTGGTGAAAATGTTCCTGTGTATAGCCAGCAGAAGTAGGGTTCGAGATCATGAAAGGAATAGTCTGGGCGGAAACCGTGGAAATGTGGGAAGCTTTATCCCTTGATTGGCGTGAAGATGGCTGTGAACAATCATCAGCGTCATCATCATCCCATTCAGAAGCGGATCCTTCACGTTCGACACGCGGTTTGCCGACCGTGCCCGCGGCAGATGACCAAAGGCTCTCTTTCTCCTCCGCGCTGTAAGGGGTATCTGGTGAAAAGAAAGAAACTTCCTCCACCACACGTTTCTCTCCGTCCCGATTACTGTCAACCTGTAGTGACTGTGACACAGCAAACGGAAACGCGGGAACAACCGGCGGTGTTTCATCTTGGGGCGACCTAAAACTCATTTTGCTCGCCATGGTGTTTGAGCGTGAAAGGAGCGGAGAAAGTAATAGGTTCCACCATCCCTGCGATCGAGGCCTTGTAGCGATGGTGTCGATGCTATATCTGCTGGCTATTCCCGCATGCAGTCTGCTTTCATCTGACATGGATCGTGGACGCGCCGTTCGTCTACATACAGGCGAGTCATCCTCGATCACAGTCCCAATAGAGAACGCGCGATTTCTTCGCGCGGGCGTCGTCGTCGTCGAACCTTGGTCGACAAATACATCACTAGCCTCAGTCTTGGTGAAAGAATGGGACGCAGGAATCGCCGGGACAGGTGGAATGATAGATGGTGGACGACCGTCTTTCGCCCGTGGCGTAGGTTGAGAATAGATGCTCGAAGCGGGTCGTGCACGCCGCGCTTCGGGGCTTCCGCTACTGAAGCTGTCCCAAGGATTATCTTCCCTGGCAGGCGTGATGATGATGGTTGGAGTAATAGGTGTAGAATTTGTGCTTTTCTGGCTATTTGGGCTGCCAATGTTGCTTTTAATCGGCGTGCTGCTATCATCTCCGAGCCGTTTGGTCTTCCCCTGGCCTCCCGCGTTATTGTACGGAACCCTTAGCCCAATCATAATCGGGCGATCGGAAGGGGATAGATCCTGTGATTTGCTAGGAGAACCGGCCCGCAACGCATCCAGAGGAGATTTCTTCATCTTTTTAACATAGTTACTGGCCTGTGGGCCCTGTGTGGCCTCTCCGACATTGTCTTTGATTTCCTCATACCCCTTTGCTGACGATATTCTCCGCTCCGGCAACAGCCTGTTCCCCTGTGCCTGTACTGGTCTCGCAGTTTCCGTCCCCTTCGAGAGTAACCGTAGATCATTCAGGTCGATAAACCCCCTGCCAGCCGACTGTCGACGTTTCGACACTGCGTCTCTTCTATACTTGGGCGTATCATTGGCGAAGTTCGTGACGAGGTTGAGTCCGGGACGCGTCTTCTTGTTTGTTGTGGCTTCTTTGGGGTTCCGCTTCATAATAGTCCGTCCGCGTTTAATTGAATCCCAACGGCTAGGGCGGGGAGCTTGAGAGGACTCGCCAAGAAGTTTCTGTTTATCCTCCGTTTGGCTATCGAATTGCGTTGCATTGTCGGTTTCAGACTGTGTTTTCCCGTGGGTCAAATAGTCCTCAGACGAGGCAAAGGGGTTGTCTTTGTCCGGGGCTACCAATTGTGAGCTTCCGGGCGATTCGAAGGGGGTGTATATTTCTTCGTTAATAGGCGAAGACAATGGGAATATAGGTATATTCTGTGCACGGAGATGTGAAGCGGCCAACGGCGGCACCCCGTATTGAGCGTTATTATTTCCCATCTCGGCTATATCATAAACGACAAGACGATGGGCTAAAACAGGGCATGTTGAAGTCAGTACCTCTATGCATGCATATTCTTTTCCGATGAAAGTAGTCAAGGTAGGAAATGCTTACCATCATATATATCAACAGAGATATTTGTAGCAAATGCAACAAGAGTATTGGATCATAAAGCTGACATTATAGGGAATTTTTTCCAATATTAGAAACTCCTCACAAGGACAGAATGAGGAGAACAATAACAAACAATGAAAATAACTGTCACTGTCACTGTCACTGTCAGTGTTTATGATAAATGAGTTGTTGTCTTGTTGCCAGTGAAATGAAAGACGAACATCTATTGAATGACAATATCAATGAAATAGGCTATTCACATAGCACAAAAGAATGGAATATTCATTTAATATTTGATGTGATCAAAACAACAGAAGAAGCATGCATTCAACAGAATAAAATAATATAATCTAAAAAATGAGAGTGTAGTGTTTATGTGAGAGTAACAAGTGACAAGAGAAATAGAGAGAGAGAGAAGGAGAAGAGAAAGGAAAAAGGAGAAAGGAAGTTGTCAGAAGAAAGAGAGAAAGAAAGAGAGAAAGCAAGCAAGCAATAGTAGTTAGTTACACATCTCACAAGCAACACCAATAAGAGAGGGAAATTGATCAATGAAGAGCAAATTCAAAACTTCTCCCCATCTCTCTCTCTCTCTCTCTCTCAGCAGCCAGCAGCCAGCAGCCAAGCGGATGCTGATACAAGAATAGATCCAAATGTCAGTGGGGATAGACAGTAGTAGTTACACTACTACTACCCTCTCCTTTGGCGCCCACGAACGGCGGCGCTCCGCTCAATATGCCAATTTCCACAACAGGTGGAGATGAGAACGGACACAATTTATAGAGAGAAACCGGGCAGCCTTTCGCTCCCCCGAACAACTCCAGCTCCAACCGTGGATTTTTCCTAAAGCATCAAAGGGGAAGTGAGATTCCCACTTCTCTGGTCTGGTCTGGTCTGGTCTGGTCTGATCTGATATGGCATGCAGTGGAAATAGCGCTGGGATGGAGGAGCAAATGGCATCTGGTAGTTGAACTCGTTTTCTGGCCCGGCGCTACGAAAAGAGAACCCCCGAATAACAGACATGTAAATCATGGGACTTACATGTAGGGTTGTAGCTCTAGGCCAACTCTGCATGAAGAACAGTGGAGGAAACAGTTGGAGGGAGGGAGGGTGATTCAACATAAATGCAAGAGTTGGTTGGCTAAATAATCGAGTGGTTTAAAAATCCACAGTGTTGGGCGCGTGGATTGTTGTGGATTGTTGTGGCTTTCTGGCGGCGGTTAGGGACAAACGAAAGGTTCTTGGGGCGGGCGTTGATGGGTTGTAACTATACCTAGTAACTAACTAGTTAACGCTGTGGTCTGGGGCAACAACCTTTGATGAACAGCATCCTATCCTATCCTGCTTCTAACTCGTTTTTCCTCACAACGTAGGCAAGTTACATTTATTAACTACGGAGCGGAGCAGTCACGTTGAGGTTGTTGGTTGAAGGCGTTGGCCAATCACGCGATCGGGATCGTCCTCGCAGGCTTGGTTGGGCGGCAACGGGAAATTAGTCATGCTGGGCGCTTAAAAAACGATATCCCAATATCTATGGCAGCATGGTATGATACAGTGGAAACGTAACCGTTGCAAGATAATAATCATGAGGCAATAACAACAGTCTGCATCTTATAAAGAAAAGGGAAAAATATAAATGTATATAGTTCGCCGTTAGGAAATGAATCCCTTTCACTATTCCATCCCCTACACACGAAGTACCGGCTTCGATTGTGCATATTTCACAATTTCATGATTTTCACTCGTTTGACTCGGTTGCATGCGCAGTGGACCATCACTAGAGCCTATAGGCAAAGCAATATGTGGATTTGAAGAGTTGAATGATATAAAATGACATGACATAATGTATATATATATATTTTTTTCTCCCCCTTTTCAAAGAATTCTGCGTTCTGTGGAGTGAGTCGTAGAGAAAAGCTAAAAGAGGATAGATATATAAATAAAATAATGGATAAATAATTGAAGAGAATTGAATCATTAGAAAAAAAGGAAATGTAAAGTTGAATATCAATTAAAAAAGAAGGAAAAATAAATAAAATCAGACATCATAGTATGTAAGTAGAGCCCAAAAAGAAGAAGAAGAAGTCAATAGATATGAGCGGGCACGTTGATTGGGGTATAGTAATGGCCTTGAGAGGTGAAGATGGATTTTGAGAAGAGTAGAGTAAAGAATAGAGAGATAAGAAAAGTACAGAGAGAAAAAAAGGAACGGAAACCAAGAAGAGTGGACAAGTCTGTGGAGTATAGGGTGAGAGAAACAAAAGAAAAAGAACCAGCCAGGGAGCACTGTAAAATGGGCCAGAAAATGAGGAAATGAATAAGACAAAAAGTGTAAGGAAAAGGACAGCAGCAGAGACTAAGAGACAGGTCATCAAGGGAATCGGTATCAGATCAGGAAGTGTAAATTAAATCAAGCCCAGAAAAGGAAATGAAAAGAGAGGGAGGTGAAAAAAAAAAAAAAAAAAAAAAAAAAACTCCGAATCCAAGACCCAAAGACGGTTTTTTTGCCTCCCTTTCCTTCCCGTGTCCGCATATTTCCATCCAAAGAAAGAGAGAAAAAAAAAGAGATGATATCGAAATTGAAATGAAAGGGGAAAAAAACCATGAAAATTGACATGAACAAAAACGAGAGAAATGAACCACGGGAAATAAGAAACGGATATCAAAAAGCAACTCCCCACGCTAGCAGAAATAAATATAAGCCAGACAGCCAGTCAGAGAGGAAGATCGTGTGGCGTATTTTTGTTTAAACCAGTGGGTGCGCATATAATATCTGTGTCATTCCCCTGGACAGGGCTCTTCTCGTTAAAGGCACCAGTCTATCAACGTTCCACCTAACGTGCATAGAACACCGGTCCATCGCATCGCAATCGCATAGTATCGCGTCGTATCATGTCGTATCAGCCCATCTGACATTTTGCCCCTGATGATGTTGGCAGCCTCATCCAGTGTTCGTTTATTTTTATTCAAGTCGGGACTATCCGCTTGGTTGGCGGTGATTTTTTTTTTTCTTTCTTTTTGTAATTGACGCCCATCGTGCAGGACGGGTGACATAAACAGGGTATGACATGGTAAGACAAAAAACACCACGCTACGTTACAGCGTGTCATGCCATAGCGCGGAATATACCATGGGGCTTCGCTGCTATTAGATTTACACGGTGGTGACAGTAGGCTAGCGGGCAGGTGGAAGGTGTTGTCGATGTCGCAAGTAAGTCGGTCAGTAAGGTTGGCGAGTTGACAGGTAGGGATGGAAATCGATGTGCATGCATCCAGGTAAGGAAAAATCCTAAACCATCTCCCCCATAGTAGCTAGTTAACGCGGTTTCGAGTTGAAGCGTTTTTGTTGTGGGGCCGATGTATATCATTCATGTGCGTCATGGGGAATCGCAGCGCCGATGTCGACATTTAAAGCGATGGTCGAGTGTTACTTTTGGTTCTGTCCGTTAGACGACTTAAAACAAGCCGGTCGATTGGGGTGAAATAAAGAATGGCGTTAATATAGATAGGTGAATCGTCCTGGAGAGGGGCAAAAGAAAAGAAAAGGAAAGAAAAGGAAACATTCAGTCAAACTCAGGCAGGCGCTTAAAAATATAGGAGTCGTTGCAGTGGTATAGATCGAAAGCGGTCCTGAAGCGATGCTGTCCAACCTTCCCCGGATCAAAAGTAGCGGACGGGAATTAGATACGAAAACAGTATTACAGTCCAGGTAGTCAAACAAAATAATAATAATAATAATAGGTAGTAGTAGCAGTGATAATAATCGTAAAACACCCTCATCGCCGGCCCTCGGTATACTGTACACCTTGCATTGGTGCCAGGGAGCCGTTCATCAGCGGCGGGAGAGTTCTCGCTGGGTCCATGGAGGGGAGTGGGGGCTGCACAGCACCGGGAGAAGAATAGGGGCTCCCGTGGCCGTTACTATACATCTGAGGCTGTGGATGGGAGTGTGGATGTGTACCGTTTGTTTGCTGTGGTGGTGCGCGGTCATAGGTAGGCTGGGGGTGATGGCCATTTGTGGTTGATTGGCGTTGTAGCTGCTCATTGAGCTGTTGGCGGAGTTCCGCGACCTCGGCTTTCAGGGTGACGGATTCGTGACGGCTTTGTTGAATTGTTTTCTCGAGCTGGCCGATGTATTCGATTGCTGGTATCCGTTAGCACTGGTATTCCTTTGTAAAATCGGCTTGATATTTCGTATTTTTAGTTGAGGGGCCGTTACGTTAGGGTTGGCTTTTACCTCGAGTTAGAGTTTCCCATTTACTGGACTTGCTGCTCTGGTTTGATGGCAGCCGTGAACGTAAAAGTTCAAAGCAGTCTTTCATTTCACTACGTCTTTTGCGCTCTGCCAGCTTGTGCGTGACGCGCAATTCCGGGGTTCTACTGTACGGGGTCGCGCCGTTGGGTGACTCCGGATCGCCCATTAACTCTCTAACCTGCTTCTGCTGTAGGGAATGGTGATGGACATTTTGTGGCAGTTCTAGCACAACAGTAAGTTAGTACTGAATGTGCCCATACATACATATATATATATATATAAAAGAGAAAAAAGAAGAGAAGAAGAGATATAAAAAATAAAAATAAAAAAAATAAAAAAAAAATAAAAATAAAAATAAAAATAAAAATAAAAATAAAAATAAAAAAATAAAAATAAAAATAAAAAATAAAAAAATAAAAATAAAAAAAAAAAATAAAAATAAAAAAAAAAGAGGACCAACCTTGTTGGCCATGTGGCAGTCTGGAATCTGTCGTAAACACACTGCTGGCCAGAGACTCCGTGGTGCTACCTCTCCGGTTGAACTGGGACGAGGGTTGGCCACGGGCGCTTTCTTTATCGGATGACCGGGCGACGTCGGGGTCAGGAAAAGCATAGGCCTGGCCTGCAGTGGGCGATTCTGCATTGTAAATCTCTGCGTGAGGATTGTTGGAAATGGCGGGGGCAGTCCTCCGCACAGGAAAGGAGCGGTGTTGACCCGTGTTGGGGCCCAGTGGGGAGAGTGGATGGCGTTGTTCACCGCTGTAGCGGGGCCCGCGTTGGCTTGCTACGCTTGAATATTCCCCGGATATGCCACGGTCGCGCTGGAGGCCCGAGACAATAGACGACTGAGAGGCATTGGTGCTGTGGTATGGCGAGGCTTGGTTTATGGCCAAGGAGCCGATGCCCTGGTTCATTCGACTATCAATGCTGCTGCGGCGGGACTCGGGGAACTCAGCAGGGGGTCGTTGGACGGCGCTGTCAAAGTTTTGGTTTATAGAAGGGAGCATAGCGTTTGGCTGGTGCATGGAGTAGGTGGGGGACTGTTGTTGGGAGGATGGCGTAGCAGAGGAGGGAGTCTGTGGTTGTTGATCTTTTGAGGACTGCCGTTGTGACTGGGGATGTTTTGGAGAGTGTTGAGAGGAAGTCATGTAGGTATATTGCGCATAGCCATTGGTGCCGTTGGTGCCATTGGTGCCATTGGTAGTGTTTGAGTAGGTGGAGGAGCCTAGATGAGCAATGGATTAGTATACATATACACAGATATAACACACATATATATGCACATGTATATTCATATATTTCAATATAATAAAAATAGACAAGTTGTATAAAAAGGGAACAAAAAAAAATCAAAAACAACATACGGGCACTCTGGGGCATGGACCAATTGCCGGAGTCCCGCTCGACGGTGTTCATGGAGGCCTGCGCGGGCGATTTTTCTGCGGGGGCAACAACACCATTGGCAAGATTGCCGAGAGACATACTGGCGGTAAGGGTAGAGATAGAAGGCAGTTTCTGGACCTGCTGAACACCAGCACCAGCAGCATTGCTACTACCACCAGCACCACCAGAGGCGGCAGCGGCCTGGGGAGTCTGCTGGCCGGCCCTTGGTTCCTCCCATGGACGACGCGCAACCGAGACGTCCATCTTCCGGAGCGAGAGATGAGGTTGGTGTGTTTTTCCAAAGCGCCGCAGGAGGAGGGACTGGAGGAGAGGAGGATTGGGATGGGCGACAAGGTTGACCTGGCTGGCTCTTGGGGACGAGAGGGAGGGGTTTCGGGTTTATGGCTGTCCTGTCCTGTCCAGGCTGAGTAAGATTGATATCGAGAATGTTGAAGAAGCAATTTGATTTCGTTAGGGGGGGGAAGATTGTCGAGGAGGAAGAGGATGAAAGGACGAGGAGAAGAGGAGGAAAGGAGGAGGAGGGCTGATAGGTTGCCGAGCTGGAAGGGCTGGCAGGGCCAAGCAAGCCAACGAAGAGAGAAGCACGAGGGGAGGAGATTCGGAAGAGACTCAGAACAGAAGAACCAGCGCGAGAATCAGGGGATTGAGATGGGATATTATTCCACAGAGTGCACAGCTGGAGGAGAGGAGAGGAGAGGAGAGGAGAGGAGAGGAGAGGAGAATGGGAGAATAGGAGAGTAGGGGAGTAGGAGAGTAGAAGAACAGTAGAATAGAGGAGTTGGAGAAGAAGTGTGCAACAGAGGAGAGAAGAAGAAGAAGACGACGAAGTGGGGAGGGGGGGAGGACAGACACAGAACGGGCGATGGAGAAGAATAGCTGGGGTAACTCACCCAGCGCTGGCTTGCTTGGTTAGTTACTCAGTTGCCCGGGGAGAAGACAGCACCACGAAGGAGGAGAGATTGAGAGAAGATGCATCAGACAGACAGACAGAGAGAGAGATAAAGAGAGAGGGGAGAAGAAAAGACAGTCATGTAGTCAGGGTAGTCAGACAGGTCGGACAGACACACACAAACACAGATACAACAACTCGATTCCCTTCAGGCTCTTGCTGAAGAAGACAGAACCGAGCTGGCACGTGGCGGCAGAACGGGGTCCAAGGCAGTTGGAGCCAGTTGCAGCCAGTTATAACCCTAAGGACCAGTTCGGGACCTGTTTGGGGCCTCTTTAGAGCCTGTTTGGGGCTGGTTGGGAGTGGTTGGGGGTTGTCTGGCGTGGTCGTTAGGGTGTTGTTAGGGGGGGGGGGTTTGTTAATATGGGGGGGGGGGAGGGGCGGGGGGGGGTTAATTGGGCTAATTATTGGGGTGGGTTAGGGTTTCTAGGATGGGATGGCAAGAATGGGCTAAGGCTAGCACCGATACTAGTTGGCCGTGGCTTGCTACTTACATCGGCTTTTTATTTTTAACATCCTCGTTTATCCTCGTTAATCCCACCACTCTTTAGTGTCTGTCTCTCTTCTCTCTCTGTCTGTGTCTTGTCTTCTGTGTCTGCGTGTAGTTTATTTGTTTACTTCCTATATCTACCTAGACAACTTCGCCCAAACCATGGCTGTCTCCAAAGTATGTACTGAGCCTGTACAGTACCTGTGCACACCCAAGCATCCCCGGAGCTGCGGGTTGCGGGTTGCGGGCTGACTCGCGCCATGGATCGAGATAGACTGTGTCCCAGCGACCAGAATGCAGTTGACGACAAGACATTATTGGGCAGCCTGTATGTATGTATGTATGTATGTACATGTACTGTACACTACCTAATCCCTCTTGCATACATTACATATATACATGCTATTATTATTGTTTATCTACCAGTGAATAAACTAATTTGTATATTTTTGTAAAAAATACATAAATACTTCTCTTCTTCAACTAACTAGTTACTCTAGTTACTCTATAACTATAACCTAGTGTCTAGTATTTATCATTGACTGACTACATACACATATTCTCTCAATGGATTTGTTTGTTTGTTTCTAGTTATATATATATATATATATTATATATAGAGAGAGAGAGAGAGAGAGGAGAGAAGGGAGCATGATCATCTCACTGCATGTTACCTGGGGATTCTACTGCCCAATAATAATGACGATCGAATGATGAACTCCCTCCCCAGCCCCGGCCGATCTCCAAACCCACTTCTGCCACGCGGCCGGGCGAGGAGAGGAAAATACGCGGCGTACAACACCCCCCACCGTAGTCTGATCTAGGCTGCTTTTGGCTTTAATTCTCCAATCTACAGGTTATTTATTATATATTTCTCTCCACGAATAGTGCTTGTCTCCCTGCTGTTTCTCTTCTCTCTCTCTCTCTCTCTCTGTGTGTGTGTGTGTGTGTGTGTGTGCGTGTGTGTGTGCAGGAGAAAGAAGAACAGAAGAACAACTGCTTATTCAGTGATGCAGTGTTCAGTGTTCAGGTCACTACTTGTACAGAGAAAGATGCTATTCACTCTTCTTATTTCTTTTCTTCTTTGTTCTCTCTCTCTACTCTCTGATTCTGAGTCGGCTCTCTCTTCCGTCCAATCGCCACACTCCGACAGAGTAGCCGTGAGTGATGATCTGTTATCCGTGTGGTGCGGGTTGCGGGAACCTGGACCCAAGAAAGAAAAAAAAAGAACCCAATAGACGCCAGAAGCTAAATTCCGTTGTGAATAATAAATATAAAATAACTATATGATATGTTCTCAACTACGGAGTAGTTAGTTACGGAGTACAGTAGTGTTAGCACATTGCCATTCTCTCAGGTTCCAACGACTACTTTCCACGGAATCGATTTCCCCGTATTTTTGTGTTTTCTTTTCTTTTTCTTTTTCTTATTCTTGTTCTTCTTTTTGGTGATTGGACTTGCTAGCTATTTTCTATTTTCCATTATTATTTGTTATTCCTCCTTCATACCGCAACATCCCAACAACCCTCTGGCGCGCGCATGTAAAAAAAAAGTATACTCCCACCCCCCACCCCCATTTTAACAACTAAATTTAACTCTGAGATAAAGTTTCTTTTAGAAACCTACTTACTTACTGTACATGCTTTTTATTATTAATATTCCGAAGACACATCATGCATATTACTAACGATTATTGATGGATTTGCCTCAATCTTGAAGTAGCCAAGTTAAATAGCTAAGTTAGAATTATTAACTTAGCTGCTGTGTGGCTTAGCTGCACGCACGCTGCGTAAGCTGGTGCGCTGTAACTAGTTAACTAGTTAAGTAAGTTGTTACCGTGCTGGACGCCGCCAGCCGCCAGCCGCCAGCCGCCAGCCGCCCGCCGCCCACCCCCCGCAACCGCGCTTGGACCCAAAAAACAGGTTGGAGGGAACGAATGAAGAACGACGTCTGGAGGTTTGGATGTAGCGTGGTATAAAAATGATGTGATCCGCTATTACCAGCTAGTTATTCTTTGTTTTCTTTTCTTTCTCTTTTCTTTTCTTTTCTTTTCTTTTCTTTCTTTTCTTTCTTTTCTTTTCTTTCTCTTTTCTTTTTCTTTTTTTTGGGCCCTCTCTTTGGCTCCCTTTGAGCAATCTAGGGAGGTAAGGTAGTAGGCAGGCAGTAAATCAAGCTCGATTAGGACGTTGTTCACTTGTTCTTTTGATTCATTTTACGGGATAACCGTACGGGCAGTCACCTCTAAGAAAAGTGTACAACTAACGGCATATTCATATTTATATATGTATGGTCTTGAGTAATTGTCTGCTCCCGCTGCTACGTTGTCATATTATATATATATATATCTCTCTCTCTCTCTCTGGAAAGGATGTTACCGCATCCCACGCAGGGCTCCGGGTTACACTTGCACATGTACAACTGGTGATGCATACAGAAATGCAAAAAAGGAAGAGAAAAAAGGAAAATTGCAAAGTTTGCATTACCATTTTTACCATCCGTCTCCTTTGACACAGCGACCAACCCTGACGCGACAAGAGTCTTCTTGTCAAAAAGGAAGATGAATGGGTCAGTGCGCCGAATACTGAGGAATTTCATTCGCAGCCGCAATTGCACCCACGTCCCCCCGCCGTTTTGCTCCCCCTCAATAACTACTCCGTACTATTTATTCTCTCTACCATTCATGATAACTCTAACACGAGGCGAGGTCCACGTAAGCTTAAATTTGAAACCTAAAATTACCCCAGGTTGAGGACTGGGGAGAGAGCTCGCGTGGAACACACTTCTAGCTAAAGGTTAGTTAGGTGTTTGTTTGGCTGGCCTGGATAGTTAATATATGAAGGACTGCTTAACGTGGAAGCAATATATATATATATATCTAGTTATATCTAGAAAAAAATGAGGATTAAACAAGAAACCGGAACGTTGTGTGGGGAGTGGGGAAAGAGGAGATGAATTTCGTTATATGTCTATTCCTAACTATACATATCTACAGCCGCTTTACTTACCTCCATACCTACGATATTTCCCGATTCATATACACATACTTTAACCTCTTTATTACATTTCATGGACCCTCATATATATATATATATATATAACCCCCAATAAATTCCCCGTTCCATCCCAATCGCAATCTTCATCCTAATCCTCCTCCATCTCATCAAACTTCAACCCAATCTCCCCCGTAACATCCCACCGATCCCCCGCCGCAGAGCGGCTAACATATTTCACAAACTTCAACGTCCCCGAATCGCGCATGACAATGCTCATGCGGTTCCAGCCCGCAGCCATGCTGAAGAGGATGCCGTCGTCGCCGTCCGCGCCCGAGGCGGCCTTGTAGACTGCTGGGTCGGACTTTTGGGGCTTTTTACTTTTTTTAGTACTTTCTTTTTCTTTGCTTTCCCCCTCTCCTTCTTCCCCTTCCCCTTCCTCTTCCTCTTCATCTTCATCGTCGTCGTCGTCGTCGTCGTCGTCATCGTCGTCATCGTCACCAGCCATGTAGATTTCATATCCACCGACGGAGTGGTCTTCGGTTTCTGTCGAATTCTCCTTTGTAGGCTGTTGTTCCTTTCCGTTGGCGCTTGACTTGGCCTTGTCCCTCCCTTTGCCATCGGCTTCCCCGTTTTCATCTTCCTCCTCCTCCTCCCCCTCCTCCTCGTCGCCATTGTCGCCCTCCTTCTCCCACCCAGACGTTGGCGTCAGCCCAATCGTGAATTCCAGCCGCGGCGTCTCTCCCTCATACCCGCTCGCCAATGTATAATCCTCGCCTCGTCTAAAGCGGCGCGCAAGAATATTGTAGTCGAGCAGATCACTACATCCAGTCGCCACGGCGAGCCATTTCTTAAACGCCTGCGAAGGCAAGAGATCCTCCAGCAATTCCTGAATAGGCGTCTTTGACTCTATTTCTTGTCCGGCGGGTCGTGGCTGCTGGTACAGATATCGGTGTTTGTGGGGCGGCCGGCTGACTTTCCAATCAGTTTTCTGCTCTATCTCGTGCGACGCAGTGGGCAGGGCATTAGATGGTTTTTCCTGCTCTTCAATATATTCCCGGAGCCGTGCGGCGAACTTATCATGGAGGAACCGTTCAAGGCTTAGCGAGCAGTCTGTGGTGAAGTTCTCACAGAGTTCCTCTGTGATGTCTGGAGTGAGATAGGAAGGCGTGATATACTTAAGCAAGAAGTCCAGGTCGGCCTCTGTAAACTCCTTGCTGTCTCCCTGTGCATCTTTATACGGCGTAACCCGTGGCTGAGGCCGGTCAAACGTCGTATCCCCGGAACTCTGCAGCTGCTGCAAGCTACTCCGCTCGGCCAATTTCTCCTCCAATCCTTCCTCATATCCATCCTCCCCTTCCTGCGGAATATGATACCACCCACTAATCGCCATGCGCACTCTTTCCTTTCCGCATTTCTCCCCATTGGGACCCGCATAGTAAACCTCTTCCACATCATGGAAACTCTCTCCTGGCTGCACCGTGAAGAAACTCAATTGATTGAACGCCGGGGGAATCGACAGGCTAAAGTCCGGACTGGGGACCTTCACCTCCTTCCCAGCCTCGTCCTTCTCGACTGTGGTCGGGAACAAACGCAGTGCCCCTCCCCAACTCGGCTGCCATGCCACGTCCGGATCCGTGAGGTAGAGAATGTAGCTCACGCGCCGGCTGCCGATCACGTCATCGTGGCAGAGCAAATGGCAGCCGCCAGTGTAGACATTGATGGCCATGTCGGTCTTGCGACCACTCAGGTCACCTGCGCCCGTGACCTCGGACAGATACTTGCGGAAAGGCGCAGAGTAGAGGGCGTCGCGTAGTTCGAGGAGCGAGGGTAGTTTGGACAGCGAGGCATCGTCTAGTCCATCTAGGTTGGCGAGGTCGCCTGATTGGAAGATTTTGTAGATGTCTGTTTCCTTCTCGGTGAAGGAGAGGTGTTCTTGGATCTCGGTGCGGACGGAGCGGAGGAGCGTGGGGTTTATGAGCGGGGAAATCACGCCGTGCTTGTACCTGTTGTTGTAAGAGGTGCGGTTAGCTGACGATTGAGGAGCATTGTTGACGGCAAAAATTAAAATTTCTGTGAGGCTTACGGTGCGGAGGCCGCATAGCTCTGTTTGTACTGCTCCAGAGTAGCTCTATCAAGCAGCCCCTCGCGGAATCGCGATTTAACGGTCTCGGTGTCCAGCGCCCGCTTTTTGGGGCCCGGTAGGCCATTGCCATCGAGGCTATTCCGCGTAGACGTTGTTTTGCGCTTCATTGTCCACTACAGGTATGACATGTATGTGGACGGGACGGGCAGATTGTGCCAAAGCGGGCGGGACAATTGTGGCTTAAAGCGATTGAGTGGTTTGGTAGCAGATGGCGGATGGCGGATGGCGGAGGTTCTGCTCTGGTGGTCAGCGAGTGGAAAAAACGGCGCGAGTGGGGAAATTCTTGGCGGGACCAGGAATTAAATAACTATGTTACTTCCAACCAACACAACACAGCAGAACAATAGAGTGATGAGGAGAGAACCGTTGAATGTAACTAAAACTTGGAGAATGCTTGTCAACGGCCTGCAGTCTATGTTTCAAATGGAGAGAATACACAAGATGATTCGAGAACGGAGCCATATTGTTGGCTTGGTTTCAGGTTAACCCCTCCACATCAATCTAGTATTGGACATGTATCAAGGAACACAATTAATTCAACACAGAGGAATGAATATACGGAGTAATGACTGATATGTTGGGATACCTTTCACTATTTTACAAAGTCCGCATTGCCAGCCATCTATATCGCGGGCACAGAGTAGTCAACCATGATAGCTACGGGGAATCGCGCCGAGTGCTTCCCGAAGTAATGAGAAATCAAGCCTCAAGAAATGAATGTATAATTTGCAACGAGTAGACAAAATAAGCAGTTCGTTTGTTGCCTATAGCTCATTTATTTAAAGCTTTAAGTGTGCGCTCCGGGATGTCCTCGGTACGTCTGAAGCAGCAAGAATTATCAAGAGGCACTTCTTCACTGGGCAACAGGAGCATCACGAAACTGCAAAAATCCATACATTACACATCCCGTATTTAAAAAAAAGACAAGGAAACGAAGAAAAAAATAAAAAATAAAAAATAAAAATAAATAAAAATAAATGCAGGGCGCCGCAAACCAGGAATATGTATCTTTGGGATACACAGAAACGCGCAACTGGCCCGCACTTGTATCGGTACCTGGGTTTTTCACCATTCGAGAAACCAAAAGGGATCTACCACGGCGTTGGAAGCACAAACCCACACCCCTTCCTCCTAAACAGCTGTCAGTTCAGTAGCGGGTATGCTGTATGCTCGGCTAGGCAAATCCTCCAAGTGCCAGTAAAACGAAAATAAAAAATACAAAATTATCGGCATTGGCCTTGGCCATATGCCATCCACGAGTATCGTGCGGATTAGCTCAGGGTATGTGGGCACATACATACATACAAAATGAGATATAACCCGTAAAATCCAACATTCTTCAGGCTATGGCCGTTGTGTGACCAGCCTGGGCGGGTTAAAATTCACTCTGTACGCGGCCAGCACGGGGTAAACGTCGCACCAGGATTCCCATGGACAAAAAATGGGCGCCCATGAGCGGGAGGCAGGGAATTGCGACGTGGCCTGGAATGAAGTAATTTTTTTTTTTTTTTTTTTTTTTTTCCTCTTTCATCCTTGCTCTCAACCATCCCCTGCTTGCTTGGTGTTACGCAGCAACGCAGCAACGGACGACACATGGAGCCCCCTTGTTCTAGTAACTCTTGTTATGATCCCTCTCATTGGGCATTCTTCAAATGAGAAAACCGTGGGAAGTCCATGGCTATTGAGCAATCTGTGCGCCCCCCCCATCCAATGTCGGCTCAGGGGGGTTGGCTGCCGTGGATGGGGAGGGTGACGCGTTTGCTCGGATGCCATGCATGCGAGGGAGATCATATCACCAAATCGATAAGTCTTTCGTGCATCGTGTAACCCAATCCAGGCTTCACAGGCAAGTGTATCGTATCTCATGGGTGGGCAGCCAGTGAGGTGCTGAATGTGATTTTCAACTCTTGTTTGTCCTCCCACCGACTGAGGAAGAAATATCCTTTTGAGAAGTTTACTTGTGTCAGGCCGGCTCCATCAGCAGCAATTTTAGCAGGCCAATCGTGCTTGGAATTTGAAATCTTGGTAAAAATATCATGGGAATGAAAGCACGTCATTTCCCTCAGCCGTGTGTAATATTTCGATTACAACCGTAGCTCGGGGATATGGACGTCAGTGTGGCTGTGGATTGCCCGATGTCGAGTCATGAACGCGACTCGTCTCTTTGTTCTCCCCGCGCTTTAAGGATTTGAAATAATGGCGCTCGTGACTTCGTGACTGTTGGCGGCATTGTCGCACAATGGCTGAATGGACCACCCAATTGTTTTGGTTTGTAGTTGATTGTAATCGACAAGCGACATAATGTGGTCTTTGCCGCCAGCACTGCCGCTCTGGGGATCCTCGAATCGAAGGAAGCAGCTAGTGATATCATAAAGAAGTGCGAAGGCTTCTCAACCGCAGGCAATGAATATGTTGGGATGACTCCTTTCTGTTGCAGGAAATGGATCCAATTGAGAAGAATAAAGGGAAACAATAGAAAAGCAGCAAATGGTGAGGAAAAAGAAGGGAATGAATGTTATAGTAAAGACACCATTAGGAGAGAACTAATGCAGTCACTATAATGGCTATCACATAGCACTTGAGCGTATTTATGAGTCCCTCGATGCAACATCTCCAGGTTTTCTGCTGGTCTGCAGGGCCGTAAATCAATTATCCACTCACTTCGTTTTCCTGTGCTGTAAAACTGGCCAGTCGTAAGCTGCCTTGTACCGTTGTTCCTTGAGCGTCTTGATGCCACAAAGAGATTCTCCACCGGGATTCAGGCGTAGCTAAAAACAGTAGCAACATTTGCAATAAAGAACATGAAAGACATGCAAATATCTCACCTATGCTGGGCCTCTGATCTGCAGAGTATACGCACGGTACTTATTTGTTGTCTGTTAAGCACAATCCATCGATCACGGATGGGCATGAGTAGAGTAGGATGTTGGTAGTTGTAGGCTACTACTGGGGCAAAAGAGCTCACTCACCACCAGCGCACTGCTGGTAACTAGGGTAGAAGAGCCGATCAACCCGGGACCCCCAACAGTAGTTACCTAGTTGCTCCGGCTAGTTACCTAGGTACGTTACTGCAGTCACGTGTTCCACCTTATGGAGAAACCTCTCCACCTAAACCCAGACAGACTCCGGTTCTGCTCCGTTATAGCTCCGCCGGGATAGTTACTGTTCGACATTCACCAATGGATCCCTCTAGTAAGTGATCCTGCAGCAATATAGTGGCAGTGATGGATACTCAGAACGATCCTCCGCGACCGGAAGGCTCGCCCCGCACTCCTCCCCACCCCCCTTACTCCCTCAGTCCCCGGGAGTCTGTATGATGCTGTGCTGTAATCATTGTTAATATAATGGAGAAGGAGGGGCGCGCCGGGGCGTCGTAGGACTATTCATCTCGTTTTGGGCAAAATGCAATAAAAAAAGAAGGTTTCCTCCCTTCTCCTAGCTCCTCCGCCGGTGCCCGCGCGGGTGATGATATCCTTAGGGCAAGTGTCAGTTTATTCAACATTAGTTCCCGTGGTGTAGAGCTTCCGTGATGAGAGGAGTAAGAATTCATCAACGCTGCAATCCGCAA